TGCGCCAGCCTCCTCCGCAAAGCGTTTCACATTTGGCTCAGCCTCCATGTCGACTTCCTCCCTCATCATCAGCCGCAGTCGGTCTTGCTTGTCGACCTTGCCCGTGCAGCTCAACCCATGGTGCTCAGCAAATTTACTGATCGCAAGAAACAAGAGGCTTACAGATCGACTCTCGATGTCATCGCTCTCAGCCTCCTGCTCGAGCGCATCAGTCGCTGCTGCCCTTGGAGAGAAGGCGCTGCCCCTCCTCGCTGCTTGCGTGACCTTCTTGTTCCCTTGCACCCGTGTCCAGCGCTGCTCGCCGAGGTATGCTCTGAGCTTTTCTTTCAACATGTTTCGCTTCGATCCCAGCGTCGGCGTGGCTGCCCAAGCTCCGAGCGTCATGAACTCTACGTTGCCCGGCGAGCAGAAGGTGTCATGCAGCTTGCCAACACTCTTGTCTAGCTCCAGGGAGATCGGCTTGCCAGCTAGCAGCTCCTCCTCTGATGTCTCCAAGAGCATCGTCGAGAGGTCGAGCAACACCTGTTGATCGACTGGCCCTGACGGTGACGCTGCTTCCATGGTGATCCTGTCGATGTCGCTGAGCTCCAGCCATCCAGCTCCTTGCTGCTGCCCTTGGGGGTCCTGAGCTTGCTCCTCGCTCTCCTCTTCCTCCTGAGAGCTGACCGTGGGTTTGAACCCCACCGCCTCCAGCTTGACTTCCAGGATCCCTTCCAAGTAGAAGGGCATGTCTTCCATCAAGCGTCGAGCCTCTGCCTTGGTCGCCAGGGAGAGAGCTATCAGGCTCCCATCCCAGCTGAGCGTGTCACGATCTTCCTAGACCTCGACGCTGACCAGCTTGAGGTTCATTCTTCTTGCTAACTCCAACATGGCTCGCTTGACTCTCGTGATCGATGTGTTACCTCCTCCGCACAGCGCTTCCATCTCCTTCCTCGAGAAGCGGCCTGTGCTCATGCTTGACCTCGACTTGATCTGTACTCTAAAGCTGCTGCGCCCCGCATGATCTCTCTCGCGAAGTACCTTCCTCTGCTTGGCGATCTTTCCCCTAGGAACGAAGGTGTCGGCTGTGAGCTCGACTGCAAACGTCTCTCTGAGCTTGGCGTCGTCGCTGATGAGAGTGAGATGCACCCCCTCCATCGCCTCACGAGGCCAAGGTCTGCTCGCAACTAGCCGTCGAAGGCGAGCTCAGCACCCACTCCAGCTCTTTTTGCTGGAGAGTGCCCGGGCCTCTCCATGATCGATCCTTTCACTCCTGCTATGAATGTTGCTTGTTCCACTTCATGGTCAGGTAGCAAAGCTGTGATTTCTGCTCGCAGGGGGGCATATTTCTCTTCCTTTTCCTGAAATTTCTTCTTCAGGCATTCCAGACTTGTTTGCTCGACTCCGTCATATTCCGATGTCCTTGCAAATTCGATGAGGACAATGCGTTTGATGCTTGCAAAGTAGCAGCAACCGTCTGGTATCCATTGCCCTTCTTGGTGCATTGAAGTCCCCATCGCTTCCATCGGGGATTCCCACCATGTATCGGACCTGTAACCTAAGCCCTAAACCCTAAACCCCCCCGCGTCACGGCCTGTGGTTCGCACGGGTTGGTATGGATACTTAGGTGTCAATGATCCTTCCGCAGGTTCACCTCAGTACGGAAACCTTGTTACGACTTCTCCTTCCTCTAAATGATAAGGTTCAATCAACTTCTCGCAACCACTCACCTTGCGGCAAATGGCCAGCAATCCGAAGATTTCACCGGACCATTTGCTCAAGACCGAGTTTAATGCACACGAAACCAGAATTGAGGAGCACATGAGAGATAGACTCAGTATATACTAGGATGTGAAACCCAAGCATCCAGACATGAGAGTACCTTAGCAAGACGGCTAGGAAAGCCCCCCGAGTCTTCGTCCAGACGGAGCACAAGTTTGTTAGACTTGTACTATGCCAAAGTCACGCAGATCATAGTATCTGTTAGGATATGCTCCTAAACTGTGATTCAAATAACAGTGCGAGTGATGCGCAGCAGTTCCTTCAAGAAACAAACAGTATCTACGATTCATAAACCATGCACGTGAAGTTTATTCTTTCTCAATTTTCCTTAAATATAGAGGATTAGCTAAACTAGGAATCTGCCTCAGATACCTCAAAATAACCGAGTAAGTAAAGTTAGCACAATAAATCCTATCAGTATCACATCGACCTTAGTTGTAACAAGACAGTTTTTGCTCAAGACCGAGTTTAATGCACACGAAACCAGAATTGAGGAGCACAGCATCCAGACATGAGAGTACCTTAGCAAGACGGCTAGGAAAGCCCCCTCCTCGTCCCACACGCTACATGCCGCCTTGAAACACGTAAGTCGTCTTGGTTTACAGGAGAGTTTTTGTTAACTCGGCGCTATCTGACTGGCACGGCTGGCATACGATCCATCATACGTCCTGTACTAACGAGCCGGAGCACTGCCACCAGTGTGTGAGCGGAGCCTGACTCTCGACCAACACGTGGACGTAGGACAGAGACGGGGAGTGGCTCGTAGGTTTGTAAAACTTCCAGAACACACTCTCCTGTGAGTCTCTTCCCTTCCCTTCTCCTTCTCCGGTTCGTCTTCCCTTCCCTTCTCCTTCTCCGGTTCGTCTTCCCTTCCCTTCTCCTTCTCCGGTTCGTCTTTCCTTCCCTTCTCCGCCTTCCGAAGACTCTCTGTCACCCGATCTCCCCGGCAAACGCTCCGAGTATGTTGCCACACTGCTTCTGCCGCCCTCTCCCAGCACTCCTTCTTCCAACATCCTCGCGCAGAAGGAGGAGACTAGAGGAGCAGCTGCAGGAGAGCCAGACCGTAAGGATAACGGGAGAGGACGGAGGGCGAGGCACGGTAAGTAACTGGGAGAGGAAACGGGAGCAGAGACCGGAGGAGACTGGAGGAGATGCTACACAGGGCATGGAAAATTTTGATACTGAGACGTCAGCGGAAGATTGTCCCGTCTCGCTGTTTCAAGGGTATGTAAAATAGGAACAGAATTTGGTTCAAGTTCTGTTCACACGGTGGTTTGGAATTTGGCATAGGAGAAAGCATGAAGAGACTGCATTGTTAGGATACTGCTTCAAAAGACCTGATCAATTGGCACATTACTGAGATTTTTTCCCCTTGAGCATTGCATCATCCCAATCCATACTAACAATGTGAAGGTCAGATCATCTACAATCATTCCATCATCTCATATTGTACCAATCAGCGCTCATATCCTGATCGACATCGACGTATTTGTTCGACTTGCGACTTCCCGGCTGTCCATGCTCACCAAGAAGTTCATTTAAACGAGTCTGATGATGAGAAATTCATCAGGCAAGGTGAATCACACAATTTCCAAACTCACTGGGTCCTTGATATGAGTGCGAGAGAAGACCATGAAGGACAACTCGTCGTAGATCTGGCGTTGACCGCGAAATCACCCTCCAGTACTCCATCAACACAAGTCGCACCATCAAAATTACTGCGCACACCAGACTGCAGGCAGCTGGGGCAATCATACTTTGCCATGGAGCACCGAACAGAAAATGATTCTGAGCACCTGCAACATGTTAGAGTCTCTCGTTCGGTTAGTTGTTTACATATCATCGCCGGAAGGAGCCAACAAGGAAAAGGTGGAAGAGGAAGAGGAGGAAGAGTGGTGAGCTCGGTCGGATGGGACCAGCTCTCAAGACAGATCTGGCATGTCATGTGAGAAAGGAGAAAGCCAAGGATTTGAGACTCACCAGGGAGAGGATGAGACGATGGCTAGTCCAGGGGGAATGCTAATCGCAAAGGTCAAAAATGCTGTAAGGAGATGGCAAGAACAAATACTCTCGTGTAGAAGAGCCTGTGATAGTCACAATACAGCAGACCCGTTCCACCTGGTCCTCGTCAAGCCGGCAACACAGTAATAACCTCACATAATGACAAGGCGAGGAGAAACCGAAAGCTCCTCCCTAATTCTATCCTCATGCCTGGGTAAATATTAAAAAAACAAGAGCATGAAGGCGTGGAAGCACCTGACTGACATAAGAAGAAGAGATTGATCATGCTGGCCATGTCGAACTTCCCTCCAAAGCAAAGAAAGCTGCAATAGCATTGTAACAGGTCCTGTCACTCACAAATGATCAAACTTTGTGATCAGCCGATACTGCTGTCCTCCTTTGATGATGCTCCTCCAGTCTAAGTGCAGCTCCTGCGAGATCCAAGGTGAGACGCATCTTCAGCCACCAAGCAACCTTCTTGTATTCGGGGTGAAAGCGAAAAAGGATGATCGAAGCTACCAGGAAGAAGCACCAGGTTGCACACACTGCGGGTCATTCCATGACTAATGCATCCGTTTTGCAGTAATCGGCTGCTCACCTGGGGTGACTCTTCCTGACATGTTGGTGATATGCCCGAGCATGCTTCGTAACTATGATACAGAGACAGTGACTGCATATGAGATGATAATTAGATCTTGACAATCTGAACACAAACGCAACATTTTCCTCCCTTTATCAAATTGCCCCCTCCTGCTTACCTCCCTCCCTCCCTCCCTCCCTCCCTCCCTCCCTCCCTCCCTCCCTCCCTCTCCCTGCCACGCTGTCTTCCCATGCAGAACATTATTTTCCTCATTCAGGTAAAGTTTCGGCCTCCCATGTAAAAATAATAAAAGGTGTAAAAGTGTTTTTTTAACAACACAAGGAACAAGCCCGACTCAGAGGAAAAGAAGAGGCAGCAATTTACGGTAACGGAGTAGCTCCCATTCCTCTTGTTTCCAAGCTCTTGGGGAATCAGAAGAGTCAAACCAGCTTTGAAAGGTAATAATAATGCAAGAGGCAAACGAGATGTACATGGATTGAATCGTCAAACTCTGAACGGAATTCTGCAGGATTCAGCATGATATCTGCTCAATTCTTTTATCACAATCTGTGTGATAATCAGGAGGTATCATTCTTGGACTTATTCTGACGTGAACTCATCATGCGTCCCATCAGTTCACACGGTTGCATATCACTGCATTCCGAGGAGCTTTTGGAAATCTTGGAATCCAAATCCAGCGTGATAGCAATATGAAAATGTTCCGAATAATGCATATCAGTGATTCGGTTTGAATTTTCGGTTTTCTCCTGGCCTCTGCTGATCGTACCACCTTGAAATGCAGGCTTCAATGCAGTTGCACGATGGGGTGTTTGTAGGAGATCTCATCGAAATGGTGAATCAAGAGAAGTATGTTGATTTCAACCTGGTTCTTCTTTAAATCAATTTCTTTGCGTAGTTTATTCGCTAAGTCAGATTTTGAAGCTACAAAATGTCTCGAGGGCCCTCCTTTCAGTGAAGTGAACAACATTGTGCTCTTCTCTTTCATCAAGTAGATTATAGGTTTATTTGACCATTCTGAGAAAAGTTTCGACCAATTCTGCTTCGCCACAATCCCGTCATGTAATTAGGGTTCTTGATTATTGGGTTTTCTTACTATTTTCAAGACTTTGAAAGTTCAAAATGATCAAACAAGTGATTCATCGAAGCCAAAAAGTGAAGCGGCTTCTAGCAATCAGTTTTTTTCGATACAAGGGCATATTCAAAGAATCTTTCGATTTGAAAAGTCGCTCACAGTTGCGTGCAGAAAAGAAATCTTGGATTACACGAATGTGCATCATTGGGACATTTATCAAGTCTGACTTCTGTTCCTCATTTTCTCTTTCATGAATATCATTTCGACAGGTGTCTGTTTGGCTGAAAATCAGAGGTATAGAGCAAAACTGTGTTCAGGGTTTAGGAGAACTTCTTGTCATGATGGTTGATTATGGAGCCTTACTCAGGCTTTGAGCGAGAGATTGACATTTTCAAACGAAATGGAATTGATGGACAGGTAGGATGAGAACATTCGACGATCCATTTCAGTATGAGCAAAGTTTTCCAGGTTTTGTTGAAACTTACAAAGGAACACTTGGCCGAGCTAGGCATTGGTCGAGGTGACCCCCCTTGGCATGTTGACGCAAATGTTTGAAGTCCCGTTTAGTCGGAGTTTCAATCAAGCTTCACAAGGAGGTGTCCTTGGTGAGAACGAGATGCCTTCGATTGTTAGGTCATGATTTTACGCAGCTGAAGAGACTGCACTTGAAACCCAACACAAAGAAGCTTTTCATGAGGTAAGCAACAGAATGATCTCGATTCGGTAATTCATGGAATAGGAATCCTTTCCGATTAATCTTTGGATTGTTCACTTTTCACTGGGCTCAAACTTCGGAAGTGGTGGAGAGTGATGCTGAGAAGGTAAATTTCCAGAATATTCAAGCTTACTCCCTAATTATTTGACCGGGTAGGATGAGTGCGTAAATGTCAATGTACAGATAGCTATTGTGTCTTCATTGGCATTCTCATTCACATGGACCATGTTGTTCAGATGTGCAACTTTGTGCATGTGTAATGGGGACAACTCTGACTGCTTTTGCAAGAGAGGATTTGATGTAAGACCCCCGATTCCAGCGTCAATCATGTACTGCTTTTCGGCCGTGGCTTGCATCTTTTTCATGTGGGCTCTAATCATCTCAATCATGATGATCATTCTGATCAACGAAATGAGTGACGACAAAGAGATTTTTGTGCTGATAAACACAGTCATGTCAGCAAGCTCACAAAACACCTCAGGAAGGTTTTTCACCTTGGGTATGTTCTTTATGTCACTTCCAGTCGGAGTCTACTGCCTGTACAATCAGGATTTTGGCCTTGAAAGGATAGAAATTTCACAGCCAGATGACTTGAAGACTTTCGCACTTGGTATTTGTTGCGCTACTTGCATCTTGATTGCATTGCTTTGGGTCTTTGCGTGGATTTTCTCCATTCCACGCGCCATTGGCATTGTCTATGCTTCCAAGCTCAAGGCGACTGAGGATGACATTAACCTTTGGATTCAGAGCAAGAAATTCTTTGACCAGGTTGAAAACACCTCAAACAACCGTATTTAATCAGCTTTGTTTTTCAACTTTCTTTGAGGTTTGTTGAGCTGAAAACAAGGAGTCAACTGAATCAAGTTGGTTGATGGAGTTCTTTACATCCAGTTTTGCAGATTGCAAGTCACAAGCCAGCAGTAGATCTTGGAAGTAGCTATTTTTTACATACTCCCTATTTCTAGTATCTAAAAACTAAACTTCTAGTCGTGTTGCTCATGAAACGATTTTAGAGTACAAGCATCAAAGTTCTTTATCGACTGAAAAAGAAAAGGCAAACCGGAGCAAACAAAGGAGGACGAGGATAAAGCCTACAAACCCGCCTCAATAAAATACCAGGACACGAAGGAGGCAGCGAAAACCGCTACTCCAACCACGCAAGCGACGGCATGCACGACCAGCAGGGGAACAAGGATCAGGGAGCGCAACCATCGCACTCCGCTGTCAGCGTAGCTCCATGGTGATCCGCCAGGTACCAGAGAAACCGCAAAGCGTCAGCATGAAGAAGACCATCCGTACCTGCAGTGAAGGGAAGAAAGGCTTTCGGCGGGTGATGGGTGCCATTACTTGCGCGATGATCCGAAATCTTCTGTTGGGCGGGGCCGGAGAGCGCAGAAAGTCCGACGGGGCTGCCGCTGCTGTTGTAGGGATGAGTCATCGTGAAGTCCAGAACCAGCCCATTCCAGATGTGGGTGGAGGGGCCAGGGAGCCAAAGGTCGCCCATGTGTCGGTTAGTGGGGCCATGCTGAGGGACGAGGGTCCGGGTGTGTTGCAGTCCCTGCTGATGAAGCTTCATGACGATACCAGCTTCCACACAGATGTCGCGAAGAACCACAGTACACTGCTCATGTGCGGTGGTCCAGAGAGCTGCGCGATGACGACAATTGGACAAAAGAGAGAGACCGCGGCTTCGCAAAGTTCCTTGTCGGAGCAATTTTTGACACTTGGATGTATACCTTGGATTGACAGGGTAGGGTGATTTACCACCGGTTATTCAATATAGAACTATTACTCCATAATAGGAAATCAAGGGGTGGTAAATGATGGACAACTAGGTAGGGTGATATTTTCGAGTGAGCGGTAGCCGAGGCTTGTGATGGCCATGGATGAGCCAGACGTGGATCCAGACATGGCGTTGCAACATCGCGACATGCGCCTCGAGGATACAGCAGCTTCAACCTCATCTCCAAGTCCTCCTCGAAATCCTCGATCTAATGCTGATCAGACCATGGAGTTTCTGGAACAGGACTTAAACGACATCACAATAGCTAAAGATTACATCGCTACCTTGCAAGCCATGCTTGCTTCAGTATCCAGCCAGAAAGACAGCTTGCGAGCCAAATTAAGTTTTCTCCGGCGAGAAAACAGCATGCTGACTGACAAGCTTGACATAATGTCTACCAACTTTCAAAGACAAGCCAATCATCTTGACCTTGAATGTAGAGAAAAGCAGCAATTAGACACTGAATGCTTCCAACTGGGTGAAAAGGTCCTTCTTGAATTTCGAGATGTCAAAAAAACTGATAGAATTGAATTCAAGATGCAAAATTATGTTAAGGAGATGAAGATGGTATCCTCACATTTGGAACAGGAACGAAGTGCAAGAGAACAAACAGAGGTCAATTTATCCATCGGACTTCACATGTTGAATTTTACATACAGGCTAGGCTGTCGACTGCACAAACTGTTCAGGAAGCGCTTGTTCGTCAGGTCCTGATTTCTTCTCTCGGTACTTACCTAAGAAGTTTATTCTGAATGTAGAAGCATGAAGCCATTTTGTTGTCACAAGAATTTGAGCGACAATTAGTGGAAGAGAAGCTTGAGGTGCAACGCATGAAGACAAATTTGCAAGAATTAGGGACCGACTTAAATCTCTGTGTCCAGGTTCTTATCCACTTACTGCGCCTCCTCTGAAAACTTATCATGACATTGATGCGCAGGAGAAACGGTTTTTAGAAGAACAAGTGGTTGGAGCTCAGATCAATCTGCTTAAAGCAAAAAAAGCTAATTTTGACATCCGAGTTTTGTTGAAATATTCAGTTGAATGGAAAATCCTTGTTCTTTTGAATGCACAAAAATATCAACGCTTGGAAGATGTTGCAAAACTGCGAATTCACAAGGCGACACATAGATATTTTCTCAAATGGATGCATATCGTGAAGCATATGAGCATAGTGGCAGGGCAAGAGCTAGACTTTTGTATGGCTGATCAACGAAAAACAATTTTGCTTTTCTATAATCTTTGGGGGATTCATGTTCGAAGGAGTTTTAAAGCAAGGGAACGCAGCGACATTCTTTACCGTAATTTGCGACACAATTCGAGAAAACAGATTTTACGATGCTACATGGTGTGGTGGTGCAACGTGCATCACAAAAAAATTGAAATGCATCGAGTTATTGCCTCACTAGCAAGACATTTCATTGTACGAATCGGATCTGAAGTGCTCATCAAATGGTCGATTCAAACCAAACATTCTGCAAATATTCGAAAACAATGCTTGCAATTACAATGGAAGAGAGGATCAAAAGCTCTAAAGATCCATTTGTGGCACTGGATAAAACTCCTTCAAGCATCCCTGGGTTACAGTGATGGAATCCTTACTATGATTACTTATCGCTCTTTCATCATGAAAGCTTTGAAGGGTATCTTTTATCTTTGGTGCAGTTTTGCGCGACAGAAAAACATCTTGATCACCAAGGGGGTGCATCTAAATAGAAGACATCTTCGTGCCACTGCAAAATGCTGTCTGAACAAGTGGAATTTGGTTTCTAACACTCCAGGCAAAGTTTTTGACAAAGAAGTTCCATATTTTGAATCACTCGTGACTTGTAACCGTAGAACGATTCAAAGAAGTTTACAAGAATGGTATCTGCGAGAAAAGAGTGTCAAAGAATTCAGATCTTCAGTTTGCAAAATTCGACGTAAACATTTTCAGCAAGAAACTAACAAATGGCTTCTGATTTGGAGTGTTTTTGTAAGGAAAAAATCATTGCTCCACAAATATCTTGTACTACTTTCAGCACGAAATTCTACTTGCAAGCTAAGAGAAAGATTTGCAGCATGGCATTGCTATCACATTCTGAATGTCCTTCATCGAAAAGGCGAACAAAAACTAAAGCACAAAGAAATGAAAAGACTCAGATACATCTGTTCCGCTTGGTATCTAACCATTCATCAACAGAAGGCAAAATCAGTGTCAGATCGAGCAAGAAAGAAGAAATTGCAATATACACTAATCCATCGCATACTATCACATTGGAGAGAGAGCGCAGGGGAAGGCATGCGGCTGAGAACAGTCGGGCAGAAGGTCGTGCGGCGGATGAGGAGCCTAGCGCTGGCCATGGGGTACGGGGAGTGGAAGAGCCGGTGGGAGGATGCCAGGAGGTACAGAGACGTCGTCGGGAAGACGGCGCGGCGGTGGAGATACGCGCTAGCAGGATCAGCAATCGGACGGTGGAGAGAGAGCGCAGGGGAAGGCATGCGGCTGAGAACAGTCGGGCAGAAGGTCGTGCGGCGGATGAGGAGCCTAGCGCTGGCCATGGGGTACGGGGAGTGGAAGAGCCGGTGGGAGGATGCCAGGAGGTACAGAGACGTCGTCGGGAAGACGGCGCGGCGGTGGAGATACGCGCTAGCAGGATCAGCAATCGGACGGTGGAGAGAGAGCGCAGGGGAAGGCATGCGGCTGAGAACAGTCGGGCAGAAGGTCGTGCGGCGGATGAGGAGCCTAGCGCTGGCCATGGGGTACGGGGAGTGGAAGAGCCGGTGGGAGGATGCCAGGAGGTACAGAGACGTCGTCGGGAAGACGGCGCGGCGGTGGAGATACGCGCTAGCAGGATCAGCAATCGGACGGTGGAGAGAGAGCGCAGGGGAAGGCATGCGGCTGAGAACAGTCGGGCAGAAGGTCGTGCGGCGGATGAGGAGCCTAGCGCTGGCCATGGGGTACGGGAAGTGGCGGACTTTGGTTGGTATGGCTCGTTCTCTTCGCAAGATCTCCATTAGGTTTCACTTCGCGAGATGGATGTCGCTCATGTCAATCGTAATTGACTCTTGGAGGCAAACCTGTACACGTTTTCGACATTGCCGTTGTTGTTTTGAATTGATAGTCTCGCTTCATTGCTCGAATATTCTTTTTTCATTTTTTTCGAATTGGTTGTTTTTTCTGCGAGATGACGTGGCACGTCGAACACATCTAATTTACAGAATTGAAAGGCTTGCTGTCGTTCAACCTACGCATTGTGGCTCGCAATTGCTTTCAAATTGGTTGTTTATGGTTAATGCAAATCGGATCGAGTCATCATATGCTTCACGCAGAATGGCACAGAGATATTATGCGGTCGTCAAGCTTTATCTCAGATTTTGGATAGAGCTTTACCTCAGCAAGAAATCTTTTGTCCACTTGGTTTCTTGCTGGATGAGAAAAGGTGAACACAAGTATCAAGTTTTTGCCTTTGGATTTTGGAAAGAGCTGTGTGAAGAAAAGAGTATGTTTTCGAAGATCCTGTCTGTTCGTATCAAAACATTGAAATTTCTGATGTGCCGAAAGGTTTTCAAATATTGGGAAATAAGGATGAAAGACAATTGCATTTTGAAATATGGTCTCAGAAATCTATTGAAAAAAATGATACGAAAGCAGTTGGCAATCTCCTTTGCAACGTGGAAATGGTGGCAACTTCAATCCAAGAAAAAGAATTCTAGAATGATGAGGTTTAGAATGACTCGATCCAAATCAGCCCTTCGAGGTGTTCTACAAAGCTTTTTCACACTTTTGGAATGGCGGAAACAAAAAATCATGGCCAAAATTTTCAGAGAGAAAAAATTGATGAACTACAAGAAAAGATTGGTGGGATATTGGATGATGGCTTGCACAAAGCGACAGATTCGATTGAGAATGGACTACGTCGCAGATCGTTACTTGTCGGATATAGTCTTGCGGAATCAATATGAAATTTTTGACCACTGGAAGCTATTATCTCAGAGAAAGAAATATTTGTCTTGCTCTCTCCGTGTACAGAACACAAAAAACGTCAACAAACATCTGATTCGTGCTGTACAAGGCTGGTTGAATTACGCCAACCTTGTCACGAAGCAAAAGAAAAATCAAATACGTTTTAGAAAATGTGTCGAAAGAAAGCTGCGCCTTATTGTATTATACAAGCTACATAATCAAGTGACCATCGTCAAGAATATTACAAATTCAGTCCAAGCAATGCATAAGAAACACTTACACAGTGTCTTTCATCGTTGGTTCGGCTCTGTGCAAAACAAGAATGAGAGCCTTTACATGAAATTGACTAGTTACAGCAGGCTAGCTGTCCGTCTCGAATGTAGTCAAAAGAGCATGAAATCTTTGAGATTCACCATTTTAGGTGCATGGACTTATTTATTCCGACAAAAACGTGGCAGCAAGTTTCTGCGCTCCAATCTTAGTCTACTCTGGGACAAACATGCTCTTTCTGGGAGTTATGATCTATGGAAAAAGGTCTCGGTCTCATCAAGAAAAAAACATTACGCTCTTGTACGAATTCTTCAACGAGTGTGCAACAAGAGGCAAAAGGAAGCATGGACAGGCTGGCGACACATTCTCATTTTGAAGCAATCGATTGACAGGAAGTCCACAATAGTCAGAGTATTTCAATGCAGCCGGAACAGAGCAGGCATTCGAAGAGCATATCTTGCATGGTCTTGGCATGTAAACGATTCCAACATCACTTTCGACTGGATGTTTCGAGTGCGATCAGTAATCATCCAGTGTTGGATATCAAGTTGCTTTTTGGAATGGAAAGCAATTACCAGACAAAAAGCTCGAAAGCTGGAAAAGTTGAACGATTCTCGTGCAGGTCGAGTCAAATTCACGGCATTTCATCGATTCAAAGCGAATGTTTGCACAATTTTATTTGCCCGGTTCGGTTCTCTGCAATCGTTACATTGGAGTTGCAAAAAGGAAGGGAAGCTTGCCTTTGTAATGTGGTTGGAGTATACCACTTGGAAAGCAAACATTAGAAACGTAATTGTACATCGCTGCAAAATTCTAGCGTCACGCAACATGCAGAAACTTTCAATCAGATGTTGGCTGAATTTTCACAAGTTTTCAATGATGGTCAAAAACGCGGCCAAAAAGGCCGAACATCAATCTGGAGATAGTCTGTTGAATCGAAGCTACTTTATATGGTCGCAAGAAACCCACTTGCGCCAGAGGCTGTCATGTGCCGCGAGTAGAGTTGGTTTCAAACAAACATTCAATCAGAAACGAAGGTCTTTCTTAGAGCTTTGCTCATGGGCCCATAAAAGAACATTGCAAAAACATTTCCAACGGAAAATCTCCGCTCGTCATCTCTCATTCCTTTTGCACGATTGTTTGAAAAGGTGGAGAGTTGAGGTTTGTGTGAACAACAGGTAGCCCCTTCTTGATTGTGCCATCATTGCTAACGATCGAAGGTACTGGAAGCTCCAGGATTCAAAATGTAAGGAGATACTCGAGTTTTGCTTGTCCTCGTGGCACAAGAGAACCAAACAAGTTTGACTCTTGCTCGGGAAGAAAAATTCTTGACGTCAAGATGACAGGTAATGGAGAGCTGCGCACTCGGTCGGCGACGAATGCTCAACCGCACACAAGTGTTGCACTCTACCACCTTTCATTCTTGGAGATTGTGGTCGAAATTAACCTCAAAAGCGTTGAGGAAGAGCCAAGCTTACCTCTCCAAGGTCCAGCTAGACTGCATGGTCAAGTGGCAGATGGCAGCAACGTTTTCGGAGGAGGAAAAGTGCTCAAGACAGGTACAGAACATTCTTTACATCTTTTGATGACAAGTCTTTCCAGGTCGCAGCGCTCGTGAGCAGTGCTTGCAGGTCTTCAAAGGGAAGAGAACTTATGCGATATATGATACGAGAGCATGCTGCCTTTGAATGAAGTTCCTATCTAAAATATCACCCCAGATTTTCCAATTATGCTGTGGAATGTGAAAAGGCAGGTTCATCATCGAAGCCATTGAGTACCTGTGCAAGTATCAAGAACTAGCCGCGGCAGCTGATGCATTTACCGAGTGCTCGTTGAGATATTTCACCATGTACTCCCCTTCTCCTTCCAGGTGGTACCCCAGGCTTGCGTAATACTGTCTGACACCCACACCGGATATCACGGCTACCTTCCGTTTCCCTGCTTTCCATGCCTAAACCAGCGTCACAGTCTTCACATAATGCACATCGCTCCCGCACAAGCCGCTCTGCACGAGCCATCAGTCTTCGCCCGAAGCCAACATGCTGCGGCCTGATGAGATTGTCGTCCTCGTAGGTGGGGACAAGAACTCCATAACTGCAAATCGTGTGAAGAGTAGACAGACTTAGAGGGGTAAAACGACTAACGACTTACACATGTAATTCTCGAATCAAGGCAGCGTCCAAAAGTTCAGGAAATATGGTGGATGTGGAATCTCCGTTGATTCTCAACCTGACAAGCGACATTGACATCTGTTTGATTCGTCTGTTCTATCGACCTTACAAATCCCAGCAAAGTTTCAAAGTTTGGAGTCTCAAAGCTGATGAATGTTTCCAAGCCACCGGACGAAAAGTGAGTCCTCTCAACGAGGACGGCTTCCTTCAAATCCACCACCTTGTTCAAGACTTATTTGTAATGCAACACAACCAAAGTCAGTTCGATACTGAATTTTTGATCTCTCGGCATCGAATGCATCTGCAACTTAATCCTTGTTGTCTCATTTTTGATGAAATGATTTGTCTCAAATTTGTCTTGTTATTTCCTGAAAAAGCGTTCATTCTAGTCTTTTAGAAAACCCAATCACCTCCCAGAATACTCTGATTCGGGATGTCTCGAGGGATGCGATTGATCCGCTTCCACTCTTGAATATGCTGCTTGAACCATATTAACAGCTCTACAAGCTCTGTCCCATCATTTCTATCCGCATACGGCTTGTACAGTCCCTCGTGATACCATTGTGCAATCTTAGTAAACGGCGTCACTGTTGTAGGATAAATTTTGTAGTAGTCGGCATCCATGTCGGGATCAAACAAAGCCTTTTCAAGCATTTCTCTGTCGATTTGGGGACTGGCTCCTAAATGAGAAATAAATAATGTCCCATCAAACAAGTGAATTTCACCAGGGAGATCAGGCATCAGATGGATATCCACTTTGAAGCAGTTATCTTTCAAAAGCTTGATCGCCTTCATTCCTTGCGCATGCGTGCATTTTCGATTGACGATCTCTAAGATCGTGTCGTTCGTGTGCTGCAAGCCCACCTGGACTCTGGTACATCCATAGCTGCGAAAACGTCGAATCTCTGCTCTTGTGATGAAATCTGGTCTCGTTTCCAAAGTGATCCCGATGACTTTGTATCTATGAAAACTATCAGATTGATTACCCCAATGCAAGATTACCTTGCGCCTTCATTAATCTTCTGTTCTTCTTTGATCTCCAATGGAAGTCTCCTCTCTTGTGGTGGATCATCAAGAGTATTTGCAGCATAATAGATATCCTTGAACTGAAAATCAAGCACAAGACTCTCACAGAATTCAAGTACGCGAATGAAATTCTTTTGATAATCTTCAGGGTAAAATGACCAGGTACCACCAAGGACTAAGACTTCAATCTTGTCCACCTTATGACCTATGTCTGTGCATTTGTCATTACTGTGAACGGGGAATTGCAATGCTGTGCCCACTTCGAAGGCAAGACACACGGTCGCGAAACTGCTCTACACAGTCCCAATTGTTTGCCATACCCTACAAGGTGCAGGAGACAAAGAAATCACTGGAAGTCATCGTGTTCGGAGAAACTTTACCCGTTTGCATCCCGGCTCTGTTGAGAGATAGCTGCGAGGAAGCAACTGCGTACCGTTCTCGTCGACCTCGTTGGGGCAATAATGGCAGTCCATTGGACATGAGAAGGGACCAGGCGCCGTGAAGAGAGTGACGACTAGCACCTGCAAGTATAATCACAAGAAAAGCGAGGAAGACGCGTGTCTCTGACTCACTCCAGACCATGATCGACAGCTCTTCCTGATCAGCAAACTACTGAAGGAGTGATCCGCCTCAACGACTCCCCTTTGTACAAGATCATTGTATGCTTTCACAAGAGAACTGCAGAGTGTTCAAGTCATGTCGGTGTATGAATGCTGGGACATCAATGCCTGATTGGAGGCATGATCTTGTACTTCTTGCTCAACTGATGCCTGGAAGTATCCAACAAACTTCTGCCTGCCTTGTGATCGAGTCCCGTCCAATTCGTCGAGATCAGAAGATCGTGCAAGAATCTGCAAGGTAAATAGTCAGTAGGCGAGAAAATTCAGAAAAGCAACTTCCTCAGTGTGATATTGGATGTTTCTGTCTGTTCGTGAACTGTTTCTTCAGTCAACCTTGCATGACTCTGGATCTTGTGCGCCCCCTTCAGACCCGTGCTCAAAAGCGCTGATTCCATCACGGAGGCTGCAGTGTGAGGCGAGGCTTCTCTCTCGCAGCTTCCATCGCAGGTCGACAAGAACAAGGTCGCGAATAGCAGCAGCAGCATCCCTGTCGTCGCTTCCCTGCCCTGCATTTTGATGGGATAAAAATGTTCTTTGAAGCCTGCCTCACGATCTACATAGGGAATAGAGGAAGACCAGCAAAGTTTTCTACTCCCTGTAGGTGCATTTGCTTCGCTCAAGAATTGAGCGCCAGGCATGCCAACGACACTGAGTGACCAAGTGATGGACAAGTGGAAGACATTTCGGAAGATGAACTCAGACTCGTCCGCCATGACCAGTATTTCCTCCATCTGCCTCAACATCTGTCCCGCTGACGCTTCTGTTATGTCCGAACTCTGATGCAACAGTGAAGATGGGACCAGACGAAGAAACTATCATTATGGACGGTGACATATTAGAGATCACGCCGGAGGTAAAGTCTGCGAACACTGCCGCTTTCTCAAGCATGTGCGACTAGGAACTTGCGGAAGACATGTCTGAAAGCTCTCCCCGATGGATTCTGTGGAGGTTTTGCTTGTGCACGAAAGGACAGAAATGACAATTGTTAGCATGAAGATCAGCAGGGACGATGGTAGGATTCAGCAACCTCTGATTCTTGTCTTTTTCTCTCCAATTTCCTGCAACACGAAGTTAAGAATGCTCTACTCGAGGTTGATGCGCTTGTTGTTGCCATCTTGTGACCAACTGAAAATTGCAAAGTCGAACAAGCTTACTCGCGGAAGCCTTGAAGGTAATGTTGGGATTTGCCTACCCCCGCCAACTTGGTTGATGAAGAAATTCTCAGATCTCAAGAGTCCATGAGATACAAGATTTGGATGACATGACGTGAGTCCCTTTGGCTGAACTGATTTACAATCCAAATGGAAGATGGCTACTTGATATCGCTCTTGATGATTCTTGCAGGATTGACAACCTGAAGAGTTTACATATCAACTCTGTCACAAGATGATGACACAGAGAAGCTGCGCAGTAAATCAGCGTCTAGTCTTTTATCAAGATGGATCTAGAAATGGGGATCAGAGTCTTGTGTGAGAATGTTCATGAATCCGATTAAATTTCAATGGCAATTGGCTGTTTACACATGAGAACGTCTATCTAGTCAATTGAACCGATTGACAAACTATGAACAAACATTGTATGATGCAATCATGGAGTTTTAGTAGAATTCGATGAAGAAGACAAAGTTTTTGATTGGTTGTTTGTTGTGAGCAACACCTTCCAATGAAAATGAGCAGGATTTATTACATCAAGTTTGACGTGAGATTAGTTCCTATTCGCCAGCCGGTAGACAAGGAAGTCCAGAGCCCATCCCTTGCGAAACCTTACATGATAGTGTTATCACACCAGCGGAATGCAATAAAGTAGAATTGACTCACATCACATACAGACATGCAATGTGCAGCGCTACTGCGAGCTTGCGATACAGTACAATTCTTCAACACATCTCCCCTGCAAAGAGTGTACGATCAAGCGATGCGGGAAAATTGGAAAGTTGGATAAAAAGGGAACTGGAAATATCAGCGCCATTTTGAGTATTAATATAAGGACAATTTGAGATGCAGTGGAATATCTGGTCAACATGTTTGCACTTTGCACTCACGGGCTGGGGATGATAGAAGGCTCGGTTATCTCATTCTTCTGAGCTAATCCGGAAAGGATTCCGAACATTTCGCGAACACTTACTCTATTTCGGGACAAATGATTTTTTTTTAGTGAGGCTTTCAAAAACAGACTCCCTCCCTCTCCGAGAGGTCAGTGAGAGGCTTTGGGTGAACGGTGAACTTTTATTTATCGTGTATCCTTGGCAGTCTTTTGCGGGCTCATCGCAAACTTCTCGAACAGAAAGAACGTCATCTTGCCGCGGCCGTATCTGCTCAGATATGTCAACTTGAAATAGACCAAGGCGTTCGTAGGAATACTCTCGGACGATCTTGTGCCGAAGAACCCAGGATTCCTTATCCAAGTCCTGGTGGTTTCACGTGGTTAGAGGGTTTGCGAGAGTGAGAGCAATACAAAATTACCAGTGGACGCGTCATGGTAATTGCACGTGCTCCCACTCGTAGCTTTTCCATTCTTTTTATCAATGTATCGTTCATCTCATCTGTCCAGCAAGTGTTTGCTGCAAACACGACATCTCCTCTCGACCACCAATCGAACGCCATTGCGTCGTCCAATTTAAAGCTAATTTCTTGTCCAAACCATCATACCAGAAAACAAAGCGATTCAAAATCTTACTTCCGATCTCGGTTGCCGCGAAGGTGGTCTTCCTTTCTGCAACCATAGTCCAGAAGGACTGCTGAAGGCGAAGGGCAGCCTTATGCAACGGTTCAACAAATTCAATCCCAATGGATTCTGAAAATGGAAACAGTGAAGCAGCAAGCAAAACCTATCATATCAAAATGTGAGTAAAATCACTCTCAGTGCGAAGGCTTTGATACCGCCTTGCCTGTCCCAGAACCGAGGTCTACAAATATTTCGCCCTCTTTGGGTTGTACCAAACACAAAATCTGAAGAAAAGGTCAGATAGTCCTTTTCATCGGAAGGTCTCATATTGAGTACATGCAAATCACCTCAGCAAAAGAAGATGGAGAGATTTCGCCATATGTGTGTGAACCAAGATGCTGAATAGCATCTTCTGGCTTTGTTCCCGCAACCAGCACATGGGTCTCCACCTGATCTATAACTTCCATACCGTCTTTTGGCACAATTCCTTTGGACTGCGCCATACTCTCTTCCTTCGTATCTCTCAGCGCTTGGACAGACAAGGATAATTGATTGAAAAGTTTGGGACGAGTTTCCTTGGCGATTCGATAACCATCTTCTCCTTGCAATACCGGACCCAATTGCTGCAATTTTTCCGATTGCATTTCTGTAAGATTGCTGCGAGAGAGAAAGGTTACATTCTTGAAATGCGTTCGGCAGATTACATTACCTCATGAGGCGAATGGGTGCGGAACCAAACTTTTCTTGCATGTCGATCCCTTCAACTTTTCTGACCCACTGTAATCCTTGTTCACCCAAGTCAATCAATTGCAGAGGGGTTCTTTCTCTCTGTCTCTGTTCTAACATTGATTTATCTTTCATTACTTTCAGGATAGATGAGGTCTTCACTGACTTTTCTATTCCCCCTTTTTTCACAGTAAGAAATTCAGGTTTTCTTTTCCAATGCCGGCGTAAATTTCTTTCTTGTTCGGCAGTTAATTCAATTCCTTCCACGTTTGCTCTGTCTTCGTCTGTTGCCTTCAATCTTCCTTTCCTAGAACCTCCCCGCAGGGAGAGGCTCGTCAACATATGTGGTAGATGAAATCCAGACCATATTGTTGGACATATTCTTCGATGCATGGCAGCATCACAGCTATTCAACTCGTCTTGGTTTATAGTGACTTTTGCTTGGCACACAAGGTATGTCAGCCAGCAAACGACAATGATTTGCCAGATCTGAGACATGATGGGTACAGTATGTTTTGTGACAATCTTTTTGTGACAATATCAGCTTGTAGATCCCAGCCGGAGAGGTCAAGTCCAAAAGCTGGTTTACACCTGCAAAACACGATGATCACAGCACTCCCTCGACTTCCATCAGCCTATCGTCAATCTCTGCCTCTCCCTTCTACATGCGCTCTCCTCGCTCGAGGCATTGATGAGTCCCTTCGCCCAGATGTCCCCCGTTGCAATTTCCGTTACTCCGATGTATATCCCGGGCCCGGGCACCGACTTCAGTGATGCGTACTTCTGTCAATTCAGATTTTTTTTGCGTACCTCCGAGGGAAAGTTGGCCTAAAGTTAAGATTTTTTCATTTGGTACCCCTTCATGTAAAGTACCCTCACCCCTGTTAGGTCTAATTCATCACCCCACCCAGACAAATCCATCACCCCACCTACTCTATTGAAATCCTGAAGTAGAAATTTCTGTTCACTACCCCTTGCTTTCACCTCATCAGCCACCCTCCCTCCTCCAGGTCAAAGTGCGCGAGCATGGCGGAGGCACGGGGGAGTCCCCACTCGTTGGTGTTGGCAGTGGCGTCTTCTCTTGCCTCACCAGTCCTCCTCTATCCGCTGCTGTTGCTTCTCTTTGCTGCATCTCCTTCACCAGTCATGGCAGGTACAGTCATGCCGTGGGTAGACCTGACTCGAAATCCTCCTCCGAACCTGTATGCCGCCGGCACTTGTGTGGTGAACAATGTCGCGTACGTGTTCGATGGTAGTACGATCTACACGCTCAGCGATCCTCAAGGCAGCTGGTCCAAGATAACAGCACAGGGATCCACCGGAGCATACGGTCTCTGGGGGTTCAGGATGGTTACAGACAACACTTACCTCTATACGTACGGTTACCAAGGAGGTAAAACTTTTCGTAAAGCTCGTCTGAATGATGGTGACAAGCTGTACGCAGGCACATCACCCTTGTATCGGTTTCAAATCTCCACATCCACATGGTCGATCGTCAACGCTACAGGCTCACCTGCATCACAAAGCGCATTTGCAATGGCATACCTGTCTAACAAGATCTACGTCTTTGGCGGTTACAACAGGAACGATGGTGAATATCTTATCACATGATGACACTTGTCTCACTCCATGTCATGATCAGAACTGACAAATTACATGAGTCTCTTTGACATTTCTACCTCTACGTGGTCAACGCTCACGGTCTCGAGCATTCAGCCATCGGCCCGCTATTATGCCCAGATGGTTGCGATAGGAAACTTGTTATACATGTATGGAGGAGCATGTACGCAGACGCTGCATACATGACGTGGTTGGCTGACTGAGTGTATGTAGATGCGTCTGCAAGCTACGACGACGTCTACACCTTCAGTCCTTTGAACAATACCTGGACACTGCTCGATGTTGCGACTGGAAGTCGACCGACAGGAGGAGGAAGTTACTTCTCGATGACAAGTATCGGAAGCTTGATCTACGTCTTTGGAGGCGAGAGTGAGTTAACCGTCAGACCAGAATGGTGTGGTATGCCTGACATCAAATCGCATCGCAGATAGCAACAACCAAGTGAACACGTTTGATACCTCCAACAAGGCTTGGACTCTGCTTACAACGAAAGGATCCCAACCTGAAGCAAGATTGTCTGCGGCTTTGTTCCCTTTGAGCAAGAGCTCGAGCACATATCTTGTAGTACATGGTGGAATAACAGGCAGTACTAGTGAGTCTCGTGCTTACTTTTACTCACACTAGTGACTTGTGCTTGTAGGTAATCAAGTGCTCAGCAACATCTTGCGATGGACTCTGGACCTGACGAGTTCAGAGTGGACAAAGAAAGATGACACTGTGCCTTCAAGTCGCTCTTTCTTTGCAATGTCATCTGTGAGCAAGCTCTATGTCGTCTCAGGATATGGAGCAGGTTGAACAACACAATGTTGATGATGCCTCGATGTGTTGACCCGATGCACGCAGACAACACCTACAATCCGTACGTGTACACGCCCTCTACCGACTCCTGGCAAGTCAAAAATGTATCAGGGTTCGAGTTTTTGTGGAATCAAAGAGAGAGTGCTGCAATGGTATCAGTAGGAACCAAGACTTACTTACACGGGGGGTATAGTAGTCTTCAAACAACGGCTTACAACTACGAAGTCAACGTTCTATTTGGTGAGACTTGATTGAGACGAAGACTCGTGCAAGGCTGCCTGCACATCTGTTGTTAACCATTCCACCAGGTCAAATGACGATCTTTGACACGGCAGCAGAGGCATGGAGTCATGTCTACTACAGTTCCCTCTCCACCTCATCGACGTATCCATCTAAGCGATATGGCCATGCAATGACTGCGCTTGGGACTGCGATCTACCTATTCGGCGGTTATGAATACACCTATTCGAGTGGTGAGTTGGAACGAAGTATTGATAAGCATGCTGTGATGACTTGCGTTTATCAGGTGATGGTCAGCTCAAAAGTGACCTTTACAAGTTTGACACATCTAGCTACCTGTGGAGTCTGCTGAGTGCAGGCGGGTCGAAGCCTTCAGCCCGATATCGGCATGGGATGGTGGCAGTAAACGGCAAGATCTACTTGTACGGGGGAGCAGAGAGTCACGACACAAGTGAGAAGATCTAGAGCTGTATCCCATACCTTGATTGAGCTTCTTTATAGATACGACTGCTGACACCAACGTGTACGTGCTGGACCCAAGCGCGTTGACATGGAGCATCCTGTCGACCGCAGGATCGACTCCCTCTGGACGTCGAATGCACAGCATGGTCTCTATGGGATCGCAGATCTACCTCTTCGGAGGAAATGATCCCGCCTCAGGCAAGTCTGGCCGTGAGATGACCTGATTATTTCTGACGAGGTCTCAAGGCAACCTGGCAGACAATAACCTTTACGAGCTGAATACCTTGACCCAGACATGGAGCATCAAAGCGACTAGTGGCAGTCCAGCTGCACGCTCGGGACACGGCATGGCAAGCTTGGATGGATACTTGTATATATTTGGAGGTTACGGCTCTGACGGTACAAGGAAGAGAGCTTGACGTACATGGTAGACTAACGTGAGAACAGGGTATGACACCCAAGACTTGTACAAGATTCTGATATCAAGTAGCTGCGAAATCGGATACGGATACGTGTCGTCGTCAAGCTGCACGGCCTGTGCCGTAGGATACTACAAGAGCTCAGTCGCCAACGTGGCATGCGACGCATGCTCAGGCATGACGACGACAGCATCAACAGCAAGCAGCTCGGCCAGCAGCTGCCTATGCAATGCCGGATACACAGGCCCGTCGGGCGCAACCTGTGCTGCTTGCAGCTCAGGCACATACAAGAGCAGCCTCGGCAGCCAAGCCTGCACCTCCTGTCCTGCCGGCACGTCTACATACGGGACAGGAAGCACACAAGCGAGCGACTGTCAGTGTGCGGCAGGGTACGGGTACTCGACGTCGTCATCAAGCTGCACGGCCTGTGCCGTAGGATACTACAAGAGCTCAGTCGCCAACGTGGCATGCGACGCATGCTCAGGCATGACGACAACAGCATCAACAGGCAGTAACTCTTCGACTAGCTGCCTATGCAATGCCGGATATGAGAGTACGGCTTCACTTACCTGCACTGCCTGTGCCGTAGGATACTACAAGAGCTCAGTCGCCAACGTGGCATGCACGACCTGTCCTCTTTACTCCTCAAGCTCTTCTACCGGCAGTATCTCAGTCAGCTCTTGCACATGCAATGCCGGATACACAGGCCCGTCGGGCGCAACCTGTGCTGCTTGCAGCTCAGGCACATACAAGAGCAGCCTCGGCAGCCAAGCCTGCACCTCCTGTCCTGCCGGCACGTCTACATACGGGACAGGAAGCACACAAGCGAGCGACTGTCAGTGTGCGGCAGGGTACGGGTACTCGACGTCGTCATCAAGCTGCACGGCCTGTGCCGTAGGAAAGTACAAATCTTATACAGGAAATAGCGTGTGCACCGATTGCTCTGCTGGCAAGTACTCGACGGTCGGAGCGACCGCGTGCTTGACGTGTCGCGCCAACTCCTACAGCGCCGCAGGGAGCTCGCAGTCAGGGTGCGTATGCAACAGCGGCTACGGAGCGACGACCATCTACGAAGACTGCGTTAAGTGTCCGGCTGGGACGGTGACTGATCTCTCTACTTCTCAATGTGTCACTTGCTCAGAAGGAAAGTATGCCGTCGAGTCGACAGGGGAGTGTCAGTCCTGTCCCCTCTTTACCTCGTCCGTTGCTGGTAGTTCGTCGGCGAGCAACTGCACGTGCAATTTGGGATACACGCAATCCGGTTCAACCTGTGCTGCTTGCAGCTCAGGCACATACAAGAGCAGCCTCGGCAGCCAAGCCTGCACCTCCTGTCCTGCCGGCACGTCTACGTACGTTACAGGAAGCACGCAGGTGAGCGACTGTCAGTGCACCGCGGGATATGGATCCAACGCCGCCTCTTCCTCTGGCTGCTCCCCGTGTGCTGCGGGCAAGTACAAATCTGATTTGGGAAACTTTGTCTGCACCGATTGCTCTGCTGGCAAGTACTCGACGGTCGGAGCGACCGCGTGCTTGACGTGTCGCGCCAACTCCTACAGCGCCGCAGGGAGCTCGCAGTCAGGGTGCGTATGCAACAGCGGCTACGGAGCGACGACCATCACTGAGGCCTGTCAAGCATGCGCAGCTGGGACGTACTCGGACTCGACGATGAACGAGTGCGTGACGTGTGCAGCTGGGAAATACTCAGACTCAGCACGATTTGGGTGCGTCAGCTGTCCTGCTTACTCCTCTTCTTCTGCTGGCAGCTCGTCGGCGAGCAACTGCACGTGCATTGCGGGATATGAGCAGCAAAGCTCCGGGTGTACTGGGTGCGTCATTGGTCACTACAAGCCGCTTGCAGGGTCATCGCCTTGCACGGCCTGTCCAGCGCACATGACGACACTCTCTGGCGCGTCTACCTCACAGTCGGATTGCGTCTGCGACAAGGGATACACGCTCAACCTCTCTTCCGGTCTGTGTGTCGCTTGTGCTGCTGGGACATACAAGAGCCAGCTTGGCTCAAGCGCCTGCATGACGTGTGGAGTTAACAAGACTTCTGTGTCCGCAAGCGTGTCAACCGCTTCCTGTGTATGTCAAGATGGGTATGGCACGACAGGGACAGGAGATGGATGCTCTGCGTGCTCCATAGGAACATACAACCAGCAATGCGCCTCGACCTCCTGTGCTTGTCAGGCGTGTCCTGCAAACTCACTGACTACCCAGACGGGGTCGTTGACGCTTGACAGCTGCTTGTGCGCCGCAAACTACTATGAGATCCGGTCGTCGTCAGGTCTTGTCTGCAACAAGTGTGCACTTGGGAAGTACAGCTCCATGGGGGCTAAAGTCTGTTCCGACTGTAAGATCTGCGAGTACGGTCAAGGAGCTCAAGAATGCTCCGCAGGCGCAGCTTGTGTGGATGTATGTAGCTCCAACCAGTATTACCAGCCCGGAGCCACCTCCAACTGTCAAACCTGCACGTCATGTGACGGCAAGAAGCTCGTCAGGAACTGCTCGAAGTTTGGTGATGCTGTTTGTGTTCCCAGCACATGCTCGTTGAGCTGTGACGAGGGAACATACGCGACGTCAGACTGCCCGCAGCAATGTTCGTCTTGCATTCAATGTCCTGCAGGTCAGGTGAGGTACGGGTGCGGGGGAACAAGCCCTGGCTCCTGCTACACATGCAACCCAGGCTTCTTCACGATTACCAACAACAGCGAATCTTGCAGTGCCTGTGCAGCTGGCAGCTTCTCTGACGTGTCCGGAAGTACATCATGCAAGATGTGCGGGCTAGGGAAGTACAGCTCTCAGTCTGTGATAGGATCAAGCACTTGCTACTTGTGTCCTGCTAACTCATACACGTCATCATCCGGATCGTCTTCCATCGAGGCTTGTCAGTGCAACGCAGGCTTCGCAGGTCAAGACGGAGGCCCCTGCAATGAGTGCGCAGTTGGCACATACAAGAGCAGCCTCGGCAGCCAAGCCTGCACCTCCTGTCCTGCCGGCACGTCTACGTACGTTACAGGAAGCACGCAGGTGAGCGACTGTCAGTGCACCGCGGGATATGGATCCAACGCCGCCTCTTCCTCTGGCTGCTCCCCGTGTGCTGCGGGCAAGTACAAATCTGATTTGGGAAACTTTGTCTGCACCGATTGCTCTGCTGGCAAGTACTCGACGGTCGGAGCGACCGCGTGCTTGACGTGTCGCGCCAACTCCTACAGCGCCGCAGGGAGCTCGCAGTCAGGGTGCGTATGCAACAGCGGCTACGGAGCGACGACCATCACTGAGGCCTGTCAAGCATGCGCAGCTGGGACGTACTCGGACTCGACGATGAACGAGTGCGTGACGTGTGCAGCTGGGAAATACTCCGCGTCCATGCAAGGGGCTTGCACAGCTTGTCCTGCGGACATGACTTCAGCAGCAGGTGCGATCAGCGAGTCTGAGTGCCTCTGCTTGGAAGGCTACACCAAGTCAGAGTCGAGCTGCATGGCGTGCGCCGCCGGGTCATACAAGAACAGCATCGGGAACATGGCATGCCTTTCGTGCTCCGATGCCGCAAGCTGCCCCATCGGAACTTACAAGCCTGACTGCCCGTCAGCATCGCGAGTCGACAAGCAATGTGAGCCGTGCATGAACAAACCTAACAACAGCGTCTACACGACCAACGGAGGTAACCGGGACGCATGCAAGTACCAGTGTGCGGAGGGATACAAGCTCAACTGCGAGACCAACACTTGTCAGATCTGTCAGCCTGGCTCGCAGTACTACTCCCCGCCTGCTGCAGACTGTAAAGAGTGTCCCGTCGGCGGGAAGTGCGACGGCTCTACCTTGCAGCCCAAAGTCGCCGGCTCAGCCTGGGGCTGGGAAGGAGGTATCCTCCGCATCCAGGCTTGCCCAGCTGGATACATCCTAATCCGCAACGAGTTAAACTCCCAGCTGGACGACTGCAGCGAGTGTCCTCCCTCCTATTACAGCCCCGTCCCTGCAAGCTACAAGGACCAGATCCAAAGCGTCAGCTCACCGTCCGCTGTCCTCTTGAAGTGTTTGCCGTGTGAGCTGGATAAGGTCGACTGCCCGGGAGGCAGCCAGTACATCGCGAAGTCAGGATTCTGGACGCTTAGCGAGCCGTCCACGAGCAGGCGAGCTGAGGCCAAGAACGCCTCCAGCAGCTTCAGCATCCCCATCTATCGCTGCCCCCCTGACGCTTGCGAGCAAGGCAACAACTGCACCGTCGGTCGCACTGGGGTGCTTTGCGCTCTCTGTGCTGAAGGATACTACGTGGCGGGCACGGCGTACGGTGAGTGCAGAGCGGTTGAGACGTTTCCCTCGTTGCTCCTCTCACTCTCATGTCAGGAGCACAGTGCAAGCCTTGCATGGGAAACATTGAGCGCTTCAAGACCGGAGGGCAAGTGCTTTTCGTGCTCGTGATGCTCGTCCTATGGTACGTGTTGATCCTCCGCCCGCTGCTCGGCTTGTCGAAGCCGGAGAAGCGAGCGACTAACGACGTGACGACCTGGACGAGGATCGTCTACTACCTCAAGAGAGCCTGGGAGTACCTGAGGCTGGTGATCAGCTTTCTCCAGGTCACTTCCTCCTTCACAAACTCCTACAACGTCCCTTGGCCTCTAGAAGTTCAGAACCTCTTCAAGATCGCAGCGGCTTTCAAGTGAGTGACGGAGGGGACGTGGCTGTGGCGGTGGGGGCTCAGAAGAGGGGTGGGGTGGGAGGAGGAAGAGAGCGGATGGAGGGAGCTGACGCAAGTGGGCAGGTTCGACTTGTTCGCCTTCACAGGCATGCACTGTCTGCTGTCGGGGATGACGTTCAGCCAGAGACTCGACCTCTACGGCGTTGGGCCTGTGGTGGTCGGGGTGTTCATGCTCCTTCCCCTGCCGTTCCTCAGGAAGACAAGCCCTGCCAACGTGCTCAGAGACTCCCTCCGCCCCTGGTGCATCTTCCGCTTCAACCTAGCGAGACTCTGCCCCTGGTCCGACCAGGAGGACGAGGATGGCACCAAGAATCGTGTAGATCTGCTTGCCAAGGGTGAGGACATGAAGCCGGAGCAAGTCATGGAGCAAGTCGCACAGGTCAACGAGTACAACGCGCATGTGCAGGAGAGAGTCTGGTTTTGGTTTCTCTTCTGGTAGCTCATCACCTTGTGCTCTGTTTCTCCTGACGTTTGTGTGCTCAGGTGCTTCTTGATCTATCCTCTCCTCGCCATCTTCGCTTCCTCAGGCTTCATCTGCAAGACCGTCGGGTCCAACAAGTACCTCCTCATCGACTTCTCCGAGGCCTGCCCCGTCTCCGACGCCTCGAAGCCCATCTTCTGGAAGGTGGTGGTCATCTTCCTTGCCTACCCCGTGGGGATACCAGTCTTCTTCCTCTGGATGCTCTGGCGGCATGAGGTCCCGAGGCTGGCTCGGGTGAAGAAGGAGAACCTGCTCTTCATCGAGGTGCTCAAGGAGTTCAAGACCCGAGCTGAGCGAGACAAGGAGAGGCAGCCGGTGGTCCGGAAGATCGCCCACCTCCTCCACGAGCACAGCAGCCACCGCAACCGCCTCCTCATCTCCGACAACCTCACACCCTCTGAGCTCGAGTCCGTCCTGCAGTTTGAGTGCGTGCGACTGCCCTTCCTCGCTTCCCCACCCTCTATCTCTCCCTTCCCTCCTCCCTACCGTTCCCTTCTCTTCTTTCTGTGCCTGCCTCCCTCTCTTCGTCGCGCCCTCCTCTTGTAAACGGGTGGAGCAGGTGGTGGCACGACAGCTTGACGGAGACCGACGATCATCAGTACCTTCGACTGGTTCCGCATGCTCCCTCTTGTCTCCATGCGTCCTGACTGCGTCGTGGCAGAAATGGCTGCACACGTCCAAGCAGGAGAAAGGCGAGGGCGCGATGGATCAGGCGCAGGAGGCAATCAAGAGAAGAACGCTCTCGAGTCTGAGGAGGTGGAAGCGAGAGGTGGAGGAGCAGCTCGGGAAGCTGCAGTCACAGGAGGTGAGCGGGACGAGAACTCAGCAGCTCTTGGAGAACAGAATCATCTGGTGCAAAAGCGCGATGCGGTGGATCCACAAGTGCCCAGCACATCTGTTCCGCGACTCGCTGCCTCCCGGGCACGAGGGGGAAGACTTGTACAAGTGTATCGTGTTCATCAACAACCTCCTCTTCGACGAGGCGCGAGACTTTCTCCTCCAGGGTCAGGAGGTGGTGGGCAGGTGGAAAAAGCAGGTCGACGATCACTCGCTTGCTCATGCGACCGCTCGCAAAGATCTAGGGTTTGAGGATGACGATGAGATGGAGCAGTACTGCTGCTTCCTCCCGGCCTCCAAGCAGCCTCTCGAGCGCGAGTCCTCGAGTTTTATGCAGCGGTTGTTCTCGCGGGACCTGAAGAAGCTCGTGCAGGAGGGCAAGCAAAACGTGACGCTCGCCGAGAAAGACCTCGACCTGGTCGCTCGCTACCTGCGCATCCAGGAGGCGATCTGGGTGAGGAGCATCTGCGAGAAGCTCGACAAGGAGAGGCAGGAAGGCAGAGACGATGAGGACGAGGATGGCGTACTGGCAGTGGAAGAGGAGGAGGTCGACCCTGAGCAGGTGGAGGTGAAGATGCTTGGTCGGGGAGGAGAAGGAAGTCAAATCTTCCAGTCCAGCGAAGACGGGGAGGGCATCATTGACACAGGAGAGCTGCAGGAAGGCTTCACGCGGCAGAGCTGGCTGCGCTACTTCATGAAGCGAGGCTTCTCCAACCACACCAGACGCGCCTTCGACTGGCTCCTCCTCCCTGGGTGGAACAGAGCCTATCCTGCGGGTCCGGCTCGGCTCTTTGCCTGGATCGACCAGGAGGGACGATGGTCGAGCATCGTCGGGGCACGGGAGGAGAAGCGGCAAGAGGTGCTGCTACAAGCAGCTCGCAGCTACTTCGAGCAGAGGAAGGCGCTGTCGCGGTTCCCCATGGCGCTGGAAGAGCTAGTCATCCGCCTGCAGGAGATCCGCCTCAAGGAGGCCGTGCTTCTCCTCGGACGACAGCTGCAGTACCAGGGAAAGATCGCGGTCCCGCCATGCCGGTGGATGACCCAAGACGAGCTGCTGGAGCGAAGGAGCCGATTGAAGATCAAGGCAATGCAAGTGTCATCAGAAGAAGAAGAAGCGTTCGAGGACGAGGACGATCTGATCAACATCGAGAAGATAGCGGTTCATCAAGCTGGCTTCATCTTCCAGGCTTACAAGGTGAGCTTGTGCTGCTGCTGTCATACGATAAACGTGTCAAGGTGGACTTTTGGTTCTTTGAGATCGTCGACATGCTGCGAAAGTGAGAGTCGCTGCGTGGCGTCGGCTTGCTCCTCACCTTGTCATGCGGCAGGTTCTTGATGATGGGCATTGTCAACTTCATCTTCCCCGACTCGCCTCAGCAGACAGCAGCTGGCTGCGCTGTGGCCTTCACTTCTCTCCTCCTCGCCATCTACTTTCGTCCCTTTGTCAACAGGCGGCTCAACACCTTGTATCAGCTCGCGCTCTTCACGCAAACGCTGACGCTATTCTGTGAGCTCTCTCGTTGTCGCGATGATGGGTCTGACGGGTCATGACAGACGGGCTGATGCTTGACTTGCAGAGGTACTGGTGACGAGGTGCAGCCTCTCCTTGACACGTGTGATGCTCCACAGCTTGCAGTACAGGTTGGACGAGGTGGTGACGGGCGGGACGGAGCAGACGACCTTGACCATCATCATCATCGCATCCAACATCTCCGTCTTGTTCCTTCCGGTGATTCTTTGGATAGCGCAAGAGGATGTCATCGACCGCTCTTGGCGCTTCCTCGTCACCAAGACTGGCCTGCGCCGATGTCTGTCACGGATGGTCTCGTCCTCGCTCGCCGCGCTGCTTGCTGATGACTTTGATGCAGGAGGCAAGACGAGGAGCAGGACAGATCAACCAGGGAGCGCAGAACTACATGCTTTACCCGTCGAAGATCGCAGAAGTTGACCACCCGACATCTCAGAGGAGGATGTCGAAGCGCAAGATGTCGTCCTTGGCCTCTCTCGCGCCCCTCACTCCCACCTCCCCGACAAGCATGACGGAAGTCTGCATGTCCTCCTCTCTCTGCACCATCGATATGACCAGCTCTGCTCCGACTGAGGAGGAGAGGATGATATTTGTGCACACAGATGAAGAGGAGATCCGGGAGGAGTAGGAGGGCGGGCATTTCGGGTATCAGAGCCGTTCTGTTCAGAGGGCTGCCTGCCACTTCGCAATGAGATCAGCCTACACTTTATAATACACAAGACAGAGAGGATCCACCAAATGTCTACGCGCCGTCCGACTGCTTGCGAAGGAGTCACTGAATCGCACAGGCCGCCCAACGGCGAGAAGAGAAAAGACAGCGAGAACCAACCCTCATACTGCCGATTGCTGTCCCCCAAACTTAACTGATACTTTCACGTAACTACGCGCAACTGAGACCATTCCCCCGCGCCATTGGAAGAGTGAACAAGCGGACTCCGCCCCAGTGGAAGTAGTAGAGTAAAATCAAGCAAATAGTAGAGTAAAATCAAGCAAATAGTAGAGTAGAATCAAGGAAATAGTAGAGTAAAATCAAAGAAGTAAGTAAAGAAGTAGTAGAGTAAAATCAAGAAGTAGTTCTTTTTTAAAATCGTACTGAGTTTGATTTGATTTGTGGGGTAGTTCGATAGTGTGGGGTCGGGATCCAGGGATGGTGGGTGTAGTCGCTTCTAAACTTTAAGAGGGGTGGGTTCCTCAAATACTAGGGGTGGTAAATGCAACACACAAATTATTTGGAGAATTGAGCTAATTGTGCCCCCTAAAGATGATTTGATTCATGCTGTGAAAGATGGATATAGTGTGGGTGGGGGTACATATTATTGTACCGAATTGAACCCCCCGGTCTAAACCTCAGAGTGTCAATCTGTACCCATCAGACTGGTTCGATTCTGTAGGCACCGGTAGTCAAAACCCAACGCAGAAACGCAGCACCCCACCTTTAGTTAGCAGTAGTACCCTCTCGACTACCCCTTGTTTTTCCTCCACGTCCTGTTCATCGTGACGGCTCTCCAGGTGTCAACTACCCCACCCTTTCGGCTAAATTTCGAACAGACCTCCTTCCTGCTACCCTTTTAGACCCCACCCTTCTCTCTGATTCAACTACCCCTGCTGAAATCGGTTTAGCTTTGGAGCACCCCTGCGTTTGGGACCTCTACCTGTATCACACCACCCACAGAAATTACCACCCCACCTACTCAATTATTTCTATCAGTTTTTTCACCCCCACCCCTTCTTCCTACCATCCGACGCCATGTCCTTCTTGTCCTACATGGTGCCGCTTTCTTCCTCCTCTCCCCCCCCTCCCCCCTCCACCAATACCTTCACTTCATTCTCTGCTCTCGCAACTGCTCCCGCTCCCGCAACTGCTCCCTCTTCCCTTCTGACTTCATGGCAACCCTCTTCTTCCTCATCTGCATCGACCGTGTCTTCTTTGCTTCCTTCTATCCAATCATCGGCAGCCCCTTCATCCTCCTTGTTAGATACTGCTTTCCCCTTTGTAGGTTCTGCATCCTCTAGCACCTCCATGCATCCTTCTGCCTCTGATGCATCAGCGGCCTCATCGACCACATTCCCTACCAACTTACCGGTTTCTTTGGCTCCTACCCACTCTTGTACTCCAGCTCCATTGCCTTCCTCCAGCAGCCTCTTGTCCCGAGCAGGCGATTTGATCCCTTCAAAGATCATTGACAGCTTTGAATCATTGTCGAATCCTTCGAATCATGGACTTTCATCTCGAGCAACGCAAATAGCATCTATTCTCCCGGATCTAGCAGCACTTGCTCTGCCTCCACGATTTTCAGGTGATCTCTGCACCATAATGGGAAGAGGAGGTTCGTCTCCGACAGGATTCGCGATAGGCATCATTCTGGGGCCGATCATCGCCGTGCAGAAGATGGCCGGCATCATCGGGGTTGATCTCACTGCCGAATCCATGGGGATGCAGGAACCGGACTATGCCTTCTCTCCAGCAAGTGTTGGGCAGCGTCTGGACTCTCTAGAGATCTGTGAGGTCAAGCGCAGCAGCAGCCAAGTCGACCAGGAGGAGGTAGTGTGTGCTGTGTGTCAATGTGCCTTCGAGGATGAGGAGCAAGGCTTCGTGCTACGGGGGTGCCAACACAAGTTCCACGTTCAATGTCTCTCGCCATGGCTTGAGAGAAGGCACACTTGCCCCTGCTGTCGCGAATCTCTAGGAAGCACTCCCTTAAGGAGTTCTCGGCCCACAGTCTCCATCGCAGAACTTAGGGAAGAGGATGTTCCAGCAGAGGCGTCGCCCGGCCCCGAAACCTCGGAGATAGAAGACTGTGGACATGAGGCTTCCTGTGAGGTCAAAGGTGGAAGACCAGATCTGAACGAGTACTCGGGTGCAGGAAAAGCGTTTGAGAAGAATAACCTTGAGCTCGAGCCCATGTGCTTGTCGCTAACGAAAGAGAGGACATCATATTGACGACAGTGTTAAGAGTATATACACATTAAATGACATGATTTGAGAGACCGAGGAATACAAGGGCGAATGTCTGTACAATGATGTTGCTTCATGAATCTTGTCTGATTCTCTTCGTCATCTCCTCCATCTCCACCTGCAGAGCGACATACTGCGATCTGCGCTATGAATCACTGAGAGGCAAACAGGTGAAGAACTCACAGCTGCCACCATAAGTCCCTCTCTTCTTCAGTCTCTCCCTCACTTCCTCCCGTTCCTCCTCTTGCTATCTCGAGCGCCATACGGCACCTGACGCTCGAGTCAACGGGATCTCAAGAGCAAGAGAATAACCTTGTGCTAAACTCTTCCTCTCCCAGCTTCAAGACGAGAGAATGCCGAGCTTCACTTGACGCTAAGAGGAAAGTCATCCTTTTCTGCAGCATATTCTCCTCCTCGCCCTCACAATCCTGCACCCAGGCACTCACCTGCGCGAAGGAGCATGAACCTGGAGTACTCGTTCCCTGCAGCAGGATAGTCGGCAGCTGGGAGCACAGGAAGAGCGTCTCCTCCCCTCGGCGACTCGTCCAAAGTCTCGTCCAGCAGCGAGCAGTCTAACGTGGAGTCTCCAGGAGAGGTTCTGGAGGAGTCATGCGAGGAGGGGGAGGAATGCTGTCCAAAGCTCTCTGTCGCATCGACATCCCCTCGGCTAGATGTTGTGGGACTCTTGAAACCTGCATCAGCTTCCTCCCGAGAGAGGCTCGATGACGATATGGTTGAGGACGTCCGTGAAGTTTCCAAGATCTTCCATTCAACTTCACATCTCTCCTCCTGCCACCGGGACAAGTTTCCGGAGTCAAAGTTTTGTCCTTCCTCTGAACTCTGTCTTTCAACTCCTTCCGTCGATCCTCTCCTAATGAGGTTCTCTCCGTTCTCTTCCTCTGCTGGGGATTCTTTCCCTCCTTCATCTCTCAAATGCCAGCCATCCTACATCAAAATCACCCGGAGCAAGTAGAAGGAGGAACTCACCGCGCCTCTCTCACGCGAGCATGAAAGCCCCGACATTGGACCGCTCAGTGCGTCAAGCAGCAGCATGTTACCATGCGCCACTTGGTTAAGCCCGCCCAGGTCACTCCCAGCCGTTGTCATCAGTTCCTCAAGTGCTCCTTCAAGGTTTCCCAGCTGCCCTTTGTCTGTGTGATCCACGTGGCCTGACGTCAAAATTTTGCCCTCGATGACAAGGTTCTGTTGGTAGAACCACTCCAGCAGCGCTGCATGCCCATCCTCAGCTCGCCGAACCTTCTCCTCGAATTCATCCGCGATGGTCACGTCTGGGTTCCAAGCCTCCTCGCCCTGCAGCGCGTCCTCCTCCTCAGACTGCAGCTCGTCGAGCTTGGGCTGAAAACTCTTCCCTTCCACTGCCTCGTCTTCTGCAGGTTGCAGGTCACAGAGGGTGAGGAGACAAGAGGCGGCAATAACAACAACCTCTCGAGGGCTCGACTATGTCGGGAAGAGCAGAAACTTCTTGACGTGCGATGTCGTCAACCGTGGGACGATGGTACTGCTTCCTGCACTAGAGATTCACTCAACCATCTCCACGTGCTCCTGTCGGACCTCATTCCCGAGCTTTTTGCCGGCGGCGGGTTCAAGTGCTTGAGGTCAAAGAGGATTGGCGGCCTTTCTGCTCCTCTCGGACCAGTCAAGCACCTTCGACACAAAAGCTGCAAGTAACCGATGTTGGGGGTCGTGGGCTTGAGCTTGAGCTGCCTCCAAACCCCAGCTGCTCCTCCTCTGCGTTCCTCCTCCCCAGACTTGCGGGCGGCGGGAGGATCGGCAGGCACCTGGTGAGCTTTGTGCACCTGCGGCTTAGCCAATGCTATCGCCAGCGGAGTTCCAGCTCGCTTCCTGCCCATCCTCTAGGAGCGAATGAGTCAGAGCAGTGCTAGGGAAAAGCAGACCTGGAGGAGGGTTGGAGACCGATCGGCTGCTCGACCTCTAAGGCTGGCATGCTGTTGCGTTGTCTTGAGAGCTGGTACACGCGATCAGCTCAGCGATCAGCGTACCGAAACTGAACCTGTTGAAGGATCGAGCTGGGCCTCTGCTGGAGAAGCTTCTTTCGGCCTGGCTTTCGGTTGCGGTCTGGGCAACTCCCTCGGGACGTGCAGCCTCGGATGAGCTGAGAAAGGACGAGACGGCAACCCAGCTGGTCTCAGTCGCTGTAGCAAGTTGACAGCCTCTTGCTTCGTGGCGCCTGGAGGCAGACGTTAGGGAGGCACATCCAGTGCTGCCGGCGTTACCTGCGCCTCCTTCTCTTCCACACGAAGAAAGAGGTCGAGAGGTCGAGATCGCAGCATGAACCTTCGCCTTGTCCTGGAGGTGAGAAGTGAAAACGGAGAATGAGCTGCAGCGTTGAAGTACCACAAGTTGATCAGTAAATCGGTAGCTCTCCAAGTCAAGCTCTCCTTTCATCGTCAGATCGGCCAGTTTCCTTTCAAACACGTTATGGAGACGAATGGAGCGAGGAGAGGAGACCGGAGAAGCTCTTCAGTTGTCGGTCTGCTCCTGACGTCCTTCTGCAGGCACTAAAAGTCCTTGAGCCAAACGACAATCTCAGCAGGCACAGAGCTTACATCGTCCACAATCCTCGTCATCACCTGGGAGTAGGAAGAAGGAATCTACAAGGCATCACGTAGTAAGAAAGGATGAGTGAGAGCAGCGACAGCAAGACGGCAGACCGGAAGATATCGTCCTCGCACAATCTTGAGCACTAACGCCCCGTGGTTGGCAGCCTCGAACGGATGCTTGAAGGTGCAGAGCTCGTATAGAACACAGCCGAGGGACCAGACGTCAGACTTCTCGTTGTATGCTCGACCCTCACAGAGCTCGGGGGAAAGATAATAAGGAGTTCCAACCTGCATCGAAAAGCTCACGACGAAGTAGCATACTTGATGAACGAGTGGACAAGGCAGGAGAATGTGAGGATGGAAGTGAACAAGGGAGAAGGGAACGCACCATCGTCATCGCCATGTCCATGGTGTTGTCGAGTATCTTCGCTACTCCAAGGTCGCCAAGCTGCGCAGTCGTCTCCTCAGGCAGCGGTGAACGGGAGGGCAGTGTTACCTTGACGTCGCCGGTCTTGGTCAGAAAGATGTTCATGGTCTTGACATCTCGATGAAGAATCCTCTGTGAGTGAATGTGGAGGAGGCCGAGGGCTGTCTGTATGACATACTTCCAGACTTGTTTCTCCTGCAGCATCCTCGTCTGTCGTTTGATCATCTCGTACATAGTCCCTCCCTCTGCGATCTCCGTGACGATGTAGAGCGTCATGCCCTCCTGGAACGACGAGAGGTATCGGATTACATGCTCGTGCCTCAGCCTCGACAGCACTCGAACTTCATGGGCCGCCTCCTCCCTCATCTTCCTTGACATCCTCGACAGCTCCACAGCTTTGATCGCTACGACGCTCCCGTCCAACTTATTCCTTGCTCGATACACGCATCCTTGCGCTCCCTTGCCGAGCTCCTTGCCGAGCTCGAAGTCTCCTCGTCCCATCCTCGCCCTCTCCTATCCGCTCTCTCTATCCTCTTCTTCTCTCTGCTCCAGAGCCTATCCACCCTCGGGCATTGTCATTCCTCCAACCAACGCCCGATCTGAAAAACCCGATCAGAGACAAACTTCACTCAATTGAAGGTCGGGAGATGCGGGGACGGGGATGGAGGCGAGGGAGGCAAGAGAGGCAAGAGAGGGAGGGAGGGAGGGAGGGAGGGGAGGGGATAGAAGAGCGAGGGAGGCAAGGGAGGCAAGGGAGGGAGGGATGGGATGGGATGGGATAGAAGAGCGAGAGAGTGAAGAACAATGAGCTTCAACACCATCGTCGCTTCTGAAGGAGAAGATGGCGACAACGACAAGCCGAACCGCTTCAAAGATGCTCGAGCTCCAAAGTCTTCCATGGGTGACTTTGGCGAGTATTTTGCGGGTGAGCGAGGGAGGAGAGGGAGAGGCTGGTGGTAACTCAGCTTGTCGATGTCCTTGACAGATAAGATTCGGAAGCTACGAGAGACTGTGCAATCTGAACGAGCAAGTGAGACTACTGGCAGTGTCGCCATTTTCAGGTAGCATGTGCCAGGTCGCGCATGTTGCTGATCGACAGCAGTGGGGTTTGTGTGTGGGTCGACGGATACACGCAGCCGAGCAACCGAGAGATCAGAGAGATCATGTCGCCTCCTCTCGCTCCCTTCCCGCCATGTTCGGGCTGATCCCACAGCAGGGCGCAGCATGGCGGACGATACGAGCACTACTTTGACGCGACGGTCGTGACGCATGTGATCGCAGAGACACTTGCGGAAACACACTTTCAAAGGTTGAAGGAAGAGAAGACAAGTGCCATGATCATGACGGGGCAAGCAGGTATCGCTCCATGAAGAGAAACATACAGGTGGTCCGCCCTGCTTGGATCTCAGCATGCGTAGGTGTAGGGTTGTGCATCTGCTCGCTGCTGATGTTCCTTGCTTGTCAGCTGAAAGCTGGAGAACTGCTGAGCTGCTCCGAGTTCTTGCTGGAGAGAACGTCGCTTGACATCGGGCAGGTCGCCATGTTCAAGGCTGGATCGCCGCACTCACCTGACAGCAGAGCTCAATCTCGTCGTTCTTGAGGGCAGGAGGAGGGAAGGCGAAGGTTGTCGATGCTCTCAGCTTGAAGCCTGTGGGCGCCTCGCGAGGAAACGATGACGAGAGCATCGGACAGACGCAGGGAAAGAGAGAGCGGCTCCCTCGCTTCAGAATGTCGCAGGTTTCTGCTTCCTTCCCTTTGCCTCGCTGAGAAACTGTAGGAATTCTGCGCTCAAGTTCCGATAGACAATGAGAAAAGCTGCGAGAGGAAAGACTGGAGACGAGAAGATGGAGCAGAGAACTTTCATGCAAGCAGAGACAGTGACGAGCATGAGAAGAGAGACAACCCGACTGAACGACGAGAGCAGAACAGGCACGGGCAACATGAGACAGAACGCAGCGAGCCAGCCAACGAGCTGATCTCGACTCACAATATGTATCATGAATCGTTAGAGAGGCAGATGCCAGAGTCTGTCAAGGAGACACACGATGATGAAGCTGCGCGTGTCTCTGCCTTGCAACAAGAAGAGATCAGCGCTGAAGAGTTGGAATGCATCTTGCAGGTCGAGAAGTTGTTGAGCTCCGGTGGCGCCTCCTCCCTCGGTCAAGAGAGTGGGAGGAAGCACAAGAGACCGAAGATGCATCGATGCGAGGAGACACCAACGATCTCGTGGGTGGGAGGCGAGGACAACCAGCGAATTGATGAAGACAGAAACACAAGCGGCAGCTCTTACTTTCAGAGGGTATGGCAGAGGAAGAAGCGGATGCTCGAGGTAGAGAGGTCGAGTGCTCATGGGCTATGCTGGGGCCAACGGAATGCTTCTTTCGAGGATGACGGAAAGGAGCGACTGACTGTCTTTGTGGGATGTCACGACCCTCTGCTTGCAAGCTCGTCAAGAGGTCAATTGCCCACAAGTGGCACCAATTCAATGAGTGACGGAAAAGAAGAGAAGGGAAATCTAGATGGTAAGGAGCAAGTACCCGGTTTACCTCCTGAACTTTCGACACTCTCACGCATGAGGCACATGCGGAGGAAGCTTCAGGACGAGCTCAAGCAACTCTCCCTCCTTCGCTTTGCTCTCACCTCTTGCCGACTTTGCTTGTCGTCCTTCATCATCACGGGCTCTTGTGCTGCTGTGCTTCATTTCTCTGCGCTTATTTCTGAACCGCCAGAGCAATCGGACGGCCTTAGGTTGGATGGACCCGAAGACTTAGAGTCCCACCTCGAGACGCGCCTGGCGAGTGGCCTGAGGGTGCCTTTCCACGCCGGCAGCGGCTCTGAATTGAGCGGAGCATTTGAGAGGTACAGGAGCAAGAGTTGTGAGGGAGATCAATCGGGCATTGTGAAGATGTCAAGAGACGACGTGAGAAGAAGGATGAGCATGAGAGAAGAGACGAACGTTGATCGACAGGAGCAACGGGAGCACGAAGACAAGAGGGATCACCAGCCATCACGTCAAGATCGGACAGCTCAGCAGCAAGCAAAGAAAGAACGAGAGGCGACATCATCCAGCCTTGTCGATCCTCCTCGCCTCTCACAGATAGACCCTGATATCATGAAAGAGCTTCCTCTCGAGATCCGGGCTGAGCTGCTGTTACATCTCAAGGGGACGTCAAGGTCTTCTTTGCGGGTCTCGTTTCACTTGCTGACTTGCCCTGTCAGGAGCTCAGCACAAGACAAGAAATCTGACCATAACAAGAAGTACACGAGTGCGAAGCTCGCCAATAAGGGGAAGAAGCAGATGAAGGGGATGAACTTTCACTCCCACCCTCAACCACCATCATGTGAGCTTGTCATGCTATTGATCACTTCTCAAGCTATCCACATCTCAGTTCATAATGACAAGCTCGACCAGTCTGTGCTCAAGGAGCTACAACGGAGCATGGGGGTAAGAGCATTGCCCAGAACCGTGACAAGCTCACGTTCGTGTTCTCTAGGCAGAATGGGTGAGGGAGAACGTCAAGGAGAACTACACGACGAGCTCGGGAACGAGGAAGCGAGCCAGGGAGGAGGGTCCAAGACGCGTCAAGGAGGAGCTGGAGAGGGAAAGGCAGCATGAGCATGAGCAGGAAACAGAGCATGAGAGCCCAGTCTTGCAACTTCCTTGCGGTGAGACGGCTAGGTTGAGGAAGGCGATCAGCGACTGGTTAGTCAAGATCGACGTAGGGACTTGTTTTCCCCTCTTTCCCGACTGACGCGACTCTGTCAACAGAACCCCAGGGATGTACATGCCAGACTGTTGACCACTCTTCTTCAGTGCGCTGACGCCTCCATCGATGACTAGATGACGCTGCTGCAGCTCCTTGATCGCTCGAGAACGACGCCTGGACGCTGCTTACGTCCTCATGCGCATGCTCACCCGCAAGCAGGAAGATTATCCGAAGTGGAGGAGGTTGTCTTGCTTGTGCTCCTTCCCCTCTTACGAGACTTTCAAAGAGTGTTGTCAGCTGTGATGCTGCAAGGACAAGCTCTGGTCGCTCGCCTTCACCGAGGAGTGCTGAAACTCGAAGATGTGTGAAGTTTAGAGTCCGTTATCATCCCCTCTTTGGACTCAGAGATCCCTTGGGCAAACTAAGGCATGGAACCAGCAGCTCGAAACAGAGCCGGAGACCGTTGCAGGTAAAGTGACGTCCCTTAGTCTTTGGCCCTGATCATATTCAAGGTATCGATCCCCGATACAACTTCCGAGACGAAGTTTTACTCGCTGCCTGACCTGAGGGTATTTGAGTAAAGGTTTTGTACGGAATCGCATACCCCTCCAACGACCCGAAACCGAGTATGGGAAAGGGGGTCCGAACCTTTGAAGGGGTAGCTAGACGAGGCGAGGCCGAATATGCCGAATGAGAGAGAAGAGGAGGAGAACAATGAGCGAGAGACGATAAGAAAATGGTGAAGATGGAAGGCATTCATCGTTAACAGCTGCTTGAAAAAGCTTCCCAGCATGAGAGTTCTTCATCTTCCTACTTTGCAGATTTTCTTTGTGTTCCTGTCTGGGTTCAATGACCATACGAGTGTCTTGAGCCTAAACTATCACAAACTTCCAGCTTTTTTACCTCCCGTGTCTCCCAATTCAAGGATAAAGCGGCAGCATTTCAGCATTGTATGCTCCTCGCAAAAACAAGAATGGAGGATCAAGAGGTCAGAGCTTGAGGTGCAGTTGGAACAAAAGATAGAGGAGTCTTTCCGGGTAAGAAAAGCTTTAGAAAGCTTGAAGCTGAAACGTGAAGAAGAAGCCAAGGCATTAGAATGGCAATTGTTTCTGCAAAAGGTGCAGCAGGACATCGATGAGCCTGAGGTCGCCCCTTGGGAAGTCGCAGATGATCTGCAAGAGGTTGTGCAGAGCTACTTGTATAACACGTCGCTCGAGGGTGTAGATCTGGGTTACATGAGTGTAGACCTGGGTGGAAACAAGACCGGGAAGAATATAGTGGGGAAGATGAATGAGATGGATAGAACGGTCTTGAAATCGGTATTCGACTCAGTAATTGCGGACCAGAAGAAAACGCAGACAACAAAAAAGAAGGGTGTTATGTCCGAACTCTTTCAAGGGGGAGGTTTTGGCTTGAAAGGATCCATGAAATCGGACAAACTTAACGCGCAAGGCACGTGGAGCCTGAAACGCGATGCAGTGGAGTCCTGGGTCAGACAGGAGCAGATAGCCCTGAGGAGGAAGAATCCATCGTATGCCAAGAAGATGCTAGCTGAAAAACTGCAGAACCGAACCAAAAAGTCGATCCCATGGGAAGAGGTGAAAAGGAGAGTTGAAATGCTTCAGTATGCGATCTTGAAAGAATCGCAACCTCAACCAAGGAAGACATCGTACAATGCAACGACTGACGACACCCTCAGAATGCCAAGGCGGAATCTCAACGTCAATGATGAGCTTGCATTCAACACTCAAGCAAGCAAAAAGGGGAAAGATGAACGAAATACCTACCAGGACATCTGGTTTGATCTCTTCGACCCAGATGAACAATTTGCAGAGTTGACTGCGACTTCCACTCGTTTTGGATTGCGATCTATGTCTGTCAAGAACAAGATCAAGACAATGCAACATGCGAGTGAAGATATGATTCAACATGCAAACAAGTGGTTGAAAAAGGAAGACAAGCTTCCGTATGAGTCGGTGAAAGACTTCCGCAAGTATGTTGCCGAGGAGTTCAACAAGTACAAGAATGAGGAAGAAATTGACGGACTGGAAGATGGAGCGAAGCAACCGTCGAGATTGATAGAGTATATGCTAAACAATGTTGACACAGACAAGTTGGATGCAAGCTACTTCGGTCTTCTTCTCGTCCCTCAGAAAGAATTCATCGAGGGGACAATGAGGAGGTGTGGCTTCCTTGTCCTGTTGTTCTTGCTGCTGACTCTCTCCTCCCTCAAGGCAAGGGTACGACATGGAACAGATCTTTTTGAGTCCAACCGATATCGAGGAGGACAACTACCGCTGGGCGGAGCTGGATTACGTAACTTGAGTTGCACTTGGGTACCTCTGTGATCAGATTGGCAGATTGCAGAGACAGATTGGCGGTTTACAAATCCTGACTTGTACGCAAGATATCAAAAGAAGAGAGATCTAGACAGTAAGTTTCCTGCAGCATATGTCATCGCTCACCCCACACTGCAGTTCAGACATTGGAATTGATAAAGCGACTGGAACGAGATACTGAAATATTATCCCTTGAGGTTTTCCTGCTTGCTGTTGACTCCAAGCTCCAGAATATGAACACACTTGGTTCAGGCTGAAATTTCTGTGCAAGAGTTCCAGGCGATCATGCTTGATCTTGGGCAATGCCGGGTGCAAGACGACGTACCTCTCCTACATTCCTGCACGCGACTATGGACCAACACTTGATGCAGGTGATCATCTTCGAGCCAGGAGATTGGACAAACTCGCGCGTCCTCGGGACATCAGATGACTTGGACGAGATCGTCGACGTCGGGTCTACTCTCATATTCGTCCTGCTCATGCTGTACCCCTTCATCCCGGTATCGGAGGCACTCCTCTTCGACCCAACCTGGTAAGCATGTCGAGATGGGGGGGAGGGGAGTGAACTTAGCATTTGACAGGGTGGAGGAGAACTTCAGGCTGGACAACTTCATGTCGTTTCTCTCCCTCCCCTACAACGTCGCCATCACCGTCTTTCAAGGCCTGCGCTTCGCCTTGGCGAACATGAACGTCGGCGACATCAACATTTAGAAATTTTCTTTTCAAATTTCATTTGTTTCCTACCCTACAACTCATTCTTTCACGGTCATATTTTAAAATTTGAATCAAATTTTTCCCGCGTGTCACCCGTTGCCAGAGGCGAGGTAGGATGTTGTGAAAGAAAATGGGGAGAGAGGGTAGCTAGAAGGAGCTCTATCACCCACACCATGGTGAACCACCTACAGCCACCAGAGAACAGTCTTCTGCGTTCCTTCATACAACTCTGATCTCTACCCTCCCCTCTCACTGCACTCCCTCTCTTGCTCATTCCATGCCTAAGTGGTGAATTTCGCAGGTCAATGCAGCCTCGTATCACTACGATCTTTGACAAGTCTGCTGACCATGGCGCATCCGGATGTCATGCGAGCAACGGACTGAGAAAATCTCCAGAAGATTCCAGTGAAACAAGAAAACAAACGCGAGGATCCTCCTTGTTTGAAGAAATCTTGAATGCAGATTGGAGCGACAAGAAGAAGTTGAGGGAGGAGGTTCAGGAGAAACCCTCTGGTTATCAAACGAATGTGGAATCGAATGTCAAGGCAGATCAGAAGCGTTTACAGCAAGAAGGGAACGAGCTGGAAGTAAAGGAGGTGCTCGATGATGAGAAAACGAAAGAAGAGAAATTCGAGGATTTGGAGGCAGAGGATGCAAATGAACCGGATGTCAAACTGCAGTTAATACAGCAGTCTGATTCGCAAGTGAATGATGAAGAGAAGGGCGAGGGTGCAGACCAAATGTTGGTCTCGTCCCAACTGCTCACTCAAGAATACTCTCAGCCTACACAAGATCAGCTGGAGTTGACCCAAGATTCTGTTCAACCCACCCAAGAGTATCAAGGAAACGTGTTCGAACCTCTCGTCCCCGCCTCTCAAGAGGACCTCAGGTCCAGCGAACTAGCAGAGGAGCCAACCGAGGCTGAAATGCGTCCAGGCAAGCGTAGAAGAATACGAGCAGCTCTGGATAGCAGCGATGAGGATGAAGATTCGGAATACGGGATAAAGAGGGAGGAGCAACAGGCAGAGGAACTTCCAGACCTGAGCAACTGGAGAGTTCGCATGGAACTTCTGCTAAGAACATCGAGGATGGGCGAGCTTGCTGAGCTGTTGGGAAGAGGTGAGAGGATCCGACATTCCCTCCGGTGCTCACCAAACTTCGCTACAGACGTGGCTGCACGATATATCAAGGCGAGAAGAGATGCTTCCGCTCTTGCGATCGAGGTAAGCTGGCGGCCAACTCGATTGGGCTGCTGAGATCATGACAGGACCTCGAGATGCCGACCTACGAGAAACTGCAGCGAATCCTCTTGATGCGAATGTGGGAGGGGCGAGACTTTAAGGTTGCAAGATGAAGATGAAGACTTTTATTCTTCCTCGAGTTTTGCAACACTTACCACCCATGTAGTACATGCCTGCAGATTCCCCTACTCACTCAGCTCATGAGCTGCTGTGCCGCCACTCACTGTCCTCGCCTGCAAAACATCGAATGTCAGCGACATGAGACCGGGATGTTAAGCCAGTAAGACGAGTGCTCCTTATCGCCACATGGCGCTTCTGCTTCAACACTCAATTCCTTGTCAACATCACGTTTCCTATCAACCGACCAGCATTGAGCTGCTCCCAAGTGGAGTCTGTAAAAATTGCACGCATACACAAGAGAACAAAACAATTAGGGCACATCTGGGCTCAGAGCCTTCACATGATAGGACACTTGAGTCTGCATATCAGCAGTGAGAGAAAGCAGATCAGCACACAAAATGTCACAAAGGGGCTTTGATAGAATTGCAAAGTCGAAGCAATGCGAGCAAATCCAATCATCATCTGCTCCTGGCGGGAGCCAAGGTGAGTCGCCAACAAGTTTCTGTCCACCAGCCCCTTACACTCAACGGCTAAAATGTTGGACGAACATTGACACGCATCGGAAAGACCGAAACCAGGTCTAATGTTTAGAGTTCGGACGTGTGCGTTGAGCGCAAACAAGCATGCGCGAGGTACTCACGGAATATTCGCTTCGAATGTTCCTTGCGCCAAATAGATTGCGGAAATCTGCTTCCCAGCAAAGAAACGACCTTGCAAACCAGCTTGCGCCTGCCTCCAAAGTCACAAGCATCACTCGCTAATAAGCAGGTGTTATGCCTTCTGCGCGGTGTCAGTGGAATCAAAACGAACATAGACAAGTCCGTTCGGATGCTTGCGATCAGCGACAACTTGAATTACTCTACCTGGAAGAGATGTCAGGTTGTCAGATCTCGTCAAAGCACATCTTCACCGAATTTGGCCTCGCACTCTTCCTTCACATCATCTTGAATCTCAACGTGGAAATCTGGCTCAGTTTCTCTGCAGGAAATCATCACAAGATTTCCTCGATGGTCGCCACAACTCACTTGGCAGGATCGAACATATTCACCAACACCATGAACACCGAAGGCTGTGACTGTCCATTGGGGATCGCATCTGTGCATTATCTCTCACATAGGGATTTCACGAAAAGATTCAAACTCCTACTTGCAGGCTTGGATGGCTGTAGTGCACCACTCATGAGACTGTTAGGCACAGCGCTGGTAAGCTGTGCATCGCCACGGGCCAACTTTTGCATCAAAGAGTGTCGAGATTGGGCCGAAACGTGAACGCCCCCGATCTCATTATCGTCAAGCATTTCTGTAGCAGGGCCACCTGACGATGACATCGATCCTGTGTAGCCAGATCCCGCACTCTGAATGATCCGCACATTAAGAGCCTTTCCGGCAAGATCAAAGCCATTCAGGTGAGCAACAGCTTTTTGGGCATCCTGCAGAGTTCTAAAAGGAATTAGAGTCCAACAGGTAAAGTTGATAGCACTTACTTGAATTCCACCACGCCCTTTCCAGTGCTCCGTCCGTGCTCTTTGTTGATTCTCACACTCAAAACCTTTCCAAAAGGTGAAAACCTAGAGTTCTTTGTGTTAGAGGCTATTGTCTTGTATTCCCTGAGGCGGCTTACAGGGTTTGAAGATCATCCTCAGCAATGTCCATGTGCAAATTATCCACTTGAAGTTTTGCAGGAAGATCCAACTCTCCAGCAACCTGACATTGGGACATCACAGACTGCGATGCATCAAGAGCAAATCTTGATACCTGAGCAGCCAATCTGGCTGCTTGATTCTTCTCAGCTTGAGACGCTTGAACCACCACAGGAAAGCCACACAAAAGCTGTGTACAATAGATCGATCACCAATTCAACCAAGTGACCCAAACGATAGCAACCTGGCCTGACTTCTGCACAGCTGCTACACATTGCTCCTGCTTCTCGAATTCGACATAGGCTATACCCTTCGATCGCCTCGTCTGTGTGTCCTTGATGATTCTCACATCCACAACCTGAGATACGCAAGTTCAGCATCGTCCTTTCACCCACAACAGACCAAACCTTTCCGGCTTCAGAGAAGAATTGGAAGAGATCTCGTTCATCGGCTTTGCGCGCTACCTACACGAAAATATGAGAACCTCTCATATGTGAAGAGGGAGAAGCCAATGCAAACACCTGCGCAACAAAAATAGTCCTCATGTCTCGATCGAACCCCTCATCATCTTTCGCAACTGACATAGAAATTTCAAAAGAATTCATATCAGGTCTTTCAATATCGTGTACTTTGTTCTGCAGGCAGACGATCAGGAATTTCTTTCTCGTAACGATATGTCTCATCATATCGCCTCTTTTCGCCGTCATGCCTCCTTCTGTCATCGTGCTTGTCTCTGTGCCTGTCGCGGTCCCTCCTGTCCCTTGACCTGCTTCTCGACCTCTTTTTGTCCCTCGATCTGCTCCGAGAGCGATCTCTCTTGCTTCTCTTCCGATCGCTGTCCCGGTCTCGGTCGCGATCCCTGTCCCTGTCCCGATCCCTGTCCCTGTCCCTGTCCCTGTCCCGATCTCTGTCGCCATCTCTGTCTCCTCCATCCTTTTCTTTCTTCTCAGTTGGCTCTGGAGCATAAGATGCTTCTTCTTCTTCTATTCCTCCTCCTCCTCCATCTCTCCCCAGCTTCTGGTCCATGTACGCCTCTGGGTCGAACTCCGCCATTTCGCCTCTGCGCGCCTACCCCTATCGACTACCCCCACCTCCTAACCTATGACCAATACCCCTATCTGGCCAAGGTGGTTAGTGCCCACCCACCCAATTTCCCGATACTATTGCTCGAACCTACCCCTGTAAAGAATTACCCCTGGATTCTCACATGAGAAATTGAGGTTTGGTAGGGTACGTCCTCATGATGGGAGAACAGTACCCTCTACACTCCGCATCACCTGGCAAAATTCTCTCCATGTGACCCGTACTGTACCCCTACCCCCATTGTACGTACCCCTACCCCGTGTTTCTTCAGGGTACCCTCTCGTGCAGGGGTGACAACTGATCCTCGAGCCCTTCGAGAATTCTCTCCTCCAATCAAATTTTGAAAATTTCCCTAATAAGTTATAGCATAGCACAAAATATGCTCCTCAACATTGGAAAAGCAAGATCAGGTTTGAGAGCCGAACAAGACTGATCCGAGGGGGGCTCACCGGGCTTGAAACTCACCCGCCGGGGCCCGCCGGGCCGGCCGACAGCCACCCGGCCGCGCTCGAACCGCTTTGGCAGGACACACAAGCAAGTTTGCTCCGCCGCCATGGGCAGCTCGAGCATGTGCGGAGGAGGGGAAGGGGGAGGAGGAAACGTCACCCTGATGGTTGACATCGGAGATGTGAAGCGATTCGGACCCTCCGATTGCTTTCAAGATCTTGTTCTGCGTCCTCTGCTTGTCATAGCCATCTTGTTGTTCGTCTTCAACCATGTTCGCAGAATGTGGTATTCGGCAAGGAAGCACGAGGGGCTCAGTATGTTGGGGCTTACGATCACAGACAAGATGCAAGCTATACTTGTGATCGTTTCGTTTCTCATTACAATAGCCGATTCTTCAGAGAGGAGTTCAACGACCCGGCAACTTGCGGTCTTTGTTGCGGGAGCATGCATGTGGTTGGGATCCTTGCTTGTGATGGTGCTAGAGAGCTCGAGGGGGCTAGCACGAGGATGGCAGATAAAGAGCTTCTGGTTGCTCTACCTGGCTGTCCTCGCAAACTCTCTGAGGCTCAAGGTCCTTCAATTCTCTTACGGTGAGGTGGTAAGCTCGGCTGGGATGCATTTACTAGTAGCGCAATGCTGTTTGGGGCTGTTGCTGGGCTTGTCTGCAGTCTTACAAAACTCCAAGACATCAGGGATTCAACTAGATGCTATCGGACCGTCTCATGCCATGGCCAACGAGGAGCAAGAGCTACGAATATACGGGAAGATGGAGGAGGAGGACCCTCATTCCAAACTATCGCATCCTCAGAGTGACACACAATCACAAGAGTTCTCTGCAAGTTTGGGTTCTCTTTGGCTATATAGTTGGATGAATCCACTGCTGCGCAAGGGATTGAGAAAGCAGATCGATGACTCTGATCTTTCTGCCCTCCTCGGCCTGGATCGAGCCAAAGAGAACGGGGACGAGCTTTGGGCGACCTGGCAGAGAGAGCGGCAAGGGACGGAAGGCTCCCTTTCCTTGTGGAAGGCCATCGGAAAGGTCTATGGTCCGTCTTTCTGCTTCGTCATTCCGCACAGAATGGCAGGAGATCTGCTCACGTTTGTATCTCCTCTCCTGCTGCAACAGTTGTTGCAGCTGATTGAGAACGGAGAGATGGCGGAGAGAGGAGGGATGATCGATGCTGTCCTCCTCACTCTCTGCATCTTATTCTGCAAGCTCACTGAGAGCATTCTCATTCAAAACTACTTTCATCAATGCTTCCGCGTGGGATGGCGAGTCAGGACGGCTACTGCAACCATGGTGTATCGGAAAATCTTCCGACTGTCAACACGAGGTCTTCATCTCTTCAAGACAGGACAGCTGGTGGACCTCGTTTCTATAGATGCTGTTCGACTCTGCGTTGCAGCGGGATACCTACATTATGCCTGGAGCGCGCCAATGATGGCGATCATTGCGATTATTCTCTTGTACAACCTGCTGGGCTCCTCAGTCTTTGCAGGGTTATTCATCATGATTGTTCTCTTGCCTATCAACACTTACGTGATCAAGAAGATGCAGTTACTCAACAACAAGCTGATGGAGGCAAAGGATCGGCGAACAGAGAGCATGGACGAGGTTCTTCATGCGATCCGAGTCATCAAGGTGATTTCGCTCTGTTCACTATACAATCAGTGTGATACAATGCTGTAGCTCTTCGCATGGGAAGATTCTTTCATGGATAAGGTAGCACAAGTCCACAATCGTGCGCTAGAGATAAAAGATGTGCAGGTCCAGAAGCTGAGAGAAAAGGAAATGCTCTTGTTGCGGACGGAGGGGGTTTGGGCGGTGGCTTCAAGCTTCGTGTGGATCGGGTCTCCTCTTCTGGTGTCTCTGGCATCATTTGCTGCTTTCACTTGGAGCGGCAATGAGCTGAAACCTCACATCGCCTTCACTGCCTTGTCACTTTTCAATGTGTTGAGAATGCCTCTCTTCGCGATCCCGCAGGTAACAAGTCACGCTCTTCCCCTGTGCTAGTCTCCCCCACTCTTCCCCCACTCTTCCGGCTGTCTTGTGTCGCTCCCTTGCCCATTGCTCGCCTGCTGATGTCGTCTCCTCTAGGCAATCAATTTCTTCATTGCTTGCAAGACAGCAATCGGACGAATCCATCCGTTCCTGTGTGCAGACGAGGTCGACCCCTGCTACTTCGAGGAAGAGCTAGGAGCATCGGACGAAGAGGAGAAGCATCCCACAGTTGTGTCCATCAAGGGAGGAGAGTTTTCATGGTGCAAGTCTGTTGCCGAAGACTCGTCCCTGCACAACCTGGGGCAGGCGGAAGAGTTGTCGAAGAGCGAGTCTCAGCGGGTTGTTGAGAAGAGGACGTTGCATGAGATCGACTTTGAGGTCAAGCAGGGTGAATTCGTCATGATATGTGGATCAGTCGGCTCAGGCAAGACGTCGCTGCTCGCTGCTATCTTGGGGGGGATGTTGAAGAAAGAGGGTACTGTAAGGCTCAAGGGAAGCGTAGGCTACTCACCTCAGGAAGCTTGGATCATGAACGCGACTCTTCGGGACAACGTTTTGTTCGGGAAGGAGCTCAAGCTCGATGTTTACGACTCAGTGTTGAAAGCTTGCTCCCTCGACAAAGACATTGAAATGCTCCCAGGCGGAGATGCCACAGAGATTGGTGAGAAAGGAATCAACCTGTCGGGAGGACAGAAAGCGCGGATCGCACTGGCTCGAGCATGTTACAGTCAGGCCGACCTTTACCTTCTCGACGACCCTCTTTCTGCCGTCGATGTGCACGTGGGTAATCACATCATGTCTCAGTGCATCGGCGGCCTCCTCGCAGGGAAGACCCGCATCCTCGTGACTCATCAGGTGCAGTACGCCGGGTTCGCCGATAGAGTTGTCTTCCTCGAGAAAGGAAGAATCATCGCAGCTGGTCGCCCGGAAGAAGTGAGGGCTGCTCATAGCTCATGGTTTCAGGTAAAGCGCAAGAGTGGAGAGGACGTGGATGCAGCAGATGCGAAAGGAGACGCAGGAGAAGGGGCTACGGCTGTGGATTCAGAAGCTGGAGACGAGAAGGAAACGCCGCCTAGTAAAGGGGCTGAAACGAAGAACTCACAGACAATCCAAGCAGAGAAGAGGGAGGAAGGAGCACTAAAGCGAAAGATATGGAAAGCCTACGCCAATGCGATGGGCCTGAAGATGCTGATTTTTCTCACTTCATCCTACCTCATCTCTCAAGCCCTGCAGAGTGCGAGCGATTTCTGGTTGAGCATTTGGTCCTCCGCTGTGATTGCCAGCGAGCCGCCAGCTTCCCGCCGATCACACGGGCTGTGGCTTCTGCTTGGCAGTGAACACTCTCTCCTTGAGGTGACAGGAGAGGGGAGGATGGCGGCGGACTCAGCTTACTATCTTATGGTTTACTCGCTACTCTCCTTGATCGCAATCGTGGGGATCGGAGCACGAGCTCTTGTTGTCAACTTTGCGGTGATTCGAGCAGCCAATCGCCTTCACTCTCGCATGTTGCGCTGCATCGTTCACAGTCCAGTCCGCTTCTTCGACACGACACCCATGGGCAGAATTCTCAATCGCTTTGGAGCTGATCAGTATGCAGCCGACAAAGAGATGCGGGAGAGTCTGGGTCAGCTTCTGCAGACGATGATGAAGGTCTTGCAGGTCATTGTCGTCGTCATGCTTGTCACTCCCACCTTCGCTGTGATTTTCCTGCTCGTGGTCCTCGTCTACTATAGAATCCAGCGAGTCTACCGTCAGTCCTCGCGCGAGCTCAAAAGGCTGGAGTCTGTCTCCAAGTCGCCTCTACTTGCCAATCTCCGCGAGTCCATGGGAGGGATCGACACCATCAGGGCCTTCAAGATGCAAGCGACCTTCGAAGAGACCTCGGACCGATGTAACGACGCCTACACCCGCGCTTACGCTAACTCCAACACTGCGAACCGATGGCTAGGAGTCCGTCTGGAGTTCTTGGGCAACATGAGCGTCTTTTTCGCAGCGCTCTTAGCGGTCCTGCAGAGCGCGCAAGACAGGACGTCGGCTGGACTGATCGGGTTGAGCATAACCTACGCGCTGGAAGTGACGCATGCTCTCAACTGGTTTATTCGAGGGTTCAGCCAGCTGGAGACGAACTTGGTCTCTGTTGAGAGGATCGATGAGTACTCGGTCTTAGAGACCGAGCCCATTGACGAGGAAGGGACTCCTCAGCCTGCCTGGCCAAGCTCTGGGGCAGTTGAGTTTGACAATGTCGAGATGAGGTATCGACCTGAACTAGAGCTGTCGCTCAGAGGCGTCACGTTTGCGATTGGAGGGGGGGAGAAGCTGGGAGTGGTGGGAAGGACAGGGGCAGGCAAGTCCTCCCTCGCTGTCGCCATCTTCCGGATCTGTGAATTGTCGTCCGGCAGGATATTGATCGATGGGGTGGACACGTCAACGATGAGCTTGAGGGAGCTTAGGTCTAAACTTGCGATCATCCCTCAGGACCCTGTTCTCTTCTCCGGTTCGATCCGCTACAACGTCGATCCTTTCCAAGAGTACAGCGACGGAGAGGTGTGGGAAGCGCTGAGAAAGGTTCACCTTGACGAGTACGTGCGGCACTCGGAGGGATCCGAGGGTCTGGAGTTGCAGGTTGCGAGCGGGGGAAGCTCGTTGAGCGTGGGTCAAAGGCAGCTGCTGTGCTTGGCCCGAGCGCTGATGCGGAGGTCCAAGGTGATGGTGATGGACGAGGCGACAGCAAATGTGGACCTCAAGACTGATGAGGAGATCCAAGAGATCATCCGCGAGAACCTGCAGGGAAGCACAGTGATCACAGTCGCTCATCGCTTGAACACAGTCATGAAGAGCGATAAAATTCTGGTGATGTCTGCGGGAAAAGTCGGAGAGATTGGTGATCCAGGAGAACTGATTGCAAATGAAGACTCACTGTTCTCGAGGCTCTGCAAGGACACCAAGCTCAACAAATAATCCTTTCATCCTTGTTTTCATCCTTCTATTCATCTGTAATCTTGTCCGCAAGGTTTTCGCCGCAAAAGGGTATTTTTCTTAGTAAAGCCACGTAGGGTGGTTCACTGTCATCGTCCTCTTCCTCCACGGTAGTTTGCTGGATTCCTGGTTGAGGCTTGTCATCATCAGCACCTTAGAGGCTTTCTAACGTCACCTTTCACTTTCTTCTCAACCGTCTCTTCCGGCGGCTTTTCAGACACGTCCTGTATTCGAACAACCTGCCGATGTCTCACATCCTTGCAACCCATAGGAAGGGTTCGATACCGTTGCTTGCCGCCTCTCATACGCTTCGATACAAACCTTGGCCAGGGTTTTACATTTGTCGGGAGATCTCTCATACTCGGGAAGTGGAATCTAGATTCACATCACAAGGTACAGACACAATATGCACCTGCGATCAACACCTTGTAGTTTGTACATTTCGTGCAAAACACTTTTCCCGTGAGACGGCAGTGAATCATCTCAGGTTTCTGTGATTGCTTCTCGTGACATTTGAAGAGAAAGAATCTACTTGTCTCACCGAATTTCCTTGTCGGCGGTCAAACCTGACATCGCAGAACCCGTCTCTTGGAGTCTCAGGATCATCGTTAAGGTCTGGGTCATGTAGATTGATCCGTCCGCAGCATTGCCTGCAAGCACGTCTCATCCTCTGTCACTTCCTGGTCTTACCGGACCTTGCGATCTCTGTCGGCTCCCCGTACCACCATCCCCGCACGAGAGTCATCGCATTCTTCCCCACGCCTGCATGCTCCTTCAGCTCGCCTTCTGACCATCTCTTCCGCTGCCTACCTTCAGTTCGCCAGCATGTTTCCCCCTGCGCTGTGACAGGGATCTGGTCGGACATGTAGCCCTTGTTCCTCCCGTGCTTGAGCGACTCGCCGACCAGCTTGGCATCGGAGACGTCGATGTTGGACTGCATGGCCGAGAGAACTCCTGTGTACTCCTGCTCGACGTAATCGCGAATGACCTTCCAGTGCCACCTAGACAGTGCTGAGAATCCCTCGACCCCTTCCATGTCTATCACCGAAATCTGTTGGGATCCTGCTCGAAAGGATCCTTGGACATGATTGTCGGGGTGTTCCCGTCCTCCGCTGCATATATTCTCCGCGCTGCCTGATATTCTTTTGCAAATTCAAGACACCTTTCATGTCACTCAGAGGTATGTCAAAGAGAAGAAAGCTCATCGCACTTGCTGCACACGGTTTTGCTGAAATGAGCATTCTCAATCTCTTGTTTCAGGTTCTGCAGATTCCTCTCAAACTTCTTCTGTTCAGCAAGTTCTTTCTCTATCCTCTTGAGGAGCTGCCCTGTCGCCTGTATGGACTCAGATGGAGGGGTTGGGAGGGGCAGGCGATACGGTCTCTTTGTCCGGCAACTCCTCGTCCTCTTCATCTGAATTGTTGTGTTTCTTCACTTTCTTCTCCTGGTCTGTCTTGTACATTCGTTTCCTGATGTTTGTCAGTCTGTTTGCCACGTGCATCTGACAAAGCGTGTGAGCGATCTCCTGTCGCGAGAATGCGCGGCAACCTTTGCGCTGTGAAGCTGCCGCTGGAAGTCCAACTCCTTCAAGACATTCTGCAGTGCATTCTCTTCTTCCCTTACTAGTATATCGACAATGAAGTCTCTTCCAACCTGGGAAGAACTCAATATCTGAAAACGCTCAGGTGAAAGTTACAAACCTCAAAACCCCAGTCAGGGAATCTTGTCACTTCTCCGGCAAAAAGGGTACTCGAGACAAAAAGTTTCCCACAGACATGGCAAGGGGACGGCAGTCCTTTGGCTCCCCCAAAGATGGCAGACCTGTCGAATCTTGTTCCTGACATTTTGAATGTGATGGCCAGCAAATGTTTGCCTCACGCTCGTCTACCTGTTTCACTGCACTTTGACATATACGGGTTGTCAAATGCATCGATGAGATGTAACATGTGTTGAACCATCCAGTTCTCATCGTCCGTTACAGACATGTCGAGGATCAGAGTGATGCTCCCTCCTGCATCATACCTTCCAGCTATCAACTCCTGGGCTGCCATGTCAGGATTGACTTTCAGCGCCTTAAGCTGCGACTTATCCAGCCTTCCGTTGACTATGTGAGAAAGAGGAATGAAGCATTGCTTTCCAAAACATCTCCGGTCTGCGTTGAAAGTTGCCACACAAGAAGAGCCAGGAGGAAAGTAAACATCTTCTTCTTCATCTTCTTCCAGCATCCGGTATACAGACTTGTCAAGTCGATTCACTTTAAAAATACCGAAACGGAATGAATGCTTCCTTGTATCTCCGATTTCCGCCTGCAGCCAAAATTATAACGAGATGAAGAATCTCTAAAGTTCACTTGTTTGCGCGAAGAATGCAAGTAGATCGACAGGTATTCACTCTTGTCCTCGTCCAACCTGTATCCCTTAGGATACAGGTCCAGATACCATGAACCGTCGGTTTCGAACTCAGAAGAAGAGATTTTTTGATTAGGCCAAATCTGCAAGCCGATCACTCAAGAAAGAACTGGTGTCAACAATACTTTTGAATGGATTCCTTCAAGATCTTTGATCATCCATCGGGTTCGTTGTCGTCCTTGCAAGGTGATCTCATAATCCGTTTCCGGAGGTTCGAGCTCAACCCCCGTGATAGCAAAGATCTCCACCTTGAAGATGAAGTGCTTCAGTTGAGGTTAGTAGTCAGCAAAAACGAGTACATGCATTGTAAAGGTTCCGTCTTGAATATCGGTCTCATATCCTGCAAAGAATGCATTAGAGATTGTTGTATCGAAGGTGTCTTGCCGGTCAAGAAGCAGCATCTGGGATTGAAGAATTTGTCAAGCTCTATGAAGCTTTCCCAACCCCAACTGCTCTCTTCTGAAGTGAACCTCTGAGAGAGAGACTTGACGACTGTTTCATCTTTGCATGTCATCAGTTCACACAAGATCTTCATGTATGGCAACGACCTTGAGCTGCCGTCTCTGACTGCCCCAGCTTACTTGAGGCTTGAGACTTTCCCAAAGACGCTTTTGAAGAAACCTCGCTCGCTGTTTCAATCGTATCAGATCAAATTCTAGAGCCTCGTAGTTCACCCTTGCTCCGAGATGAGGCTGAGCTTGACTTTGTGCTGGAGTGTTTCGATCGCACGCTCTGAGACGAACCAGATTCACTGGTCGATGAAGACCGCACTTCTCCTTTCGTTGACTTCCTCTTTCGATCTCCGTAGTCTGGAGCATATGACACCTGAATAGAAGCAAACATCGGGGATGGAGAGAAGAACTGTCTGCTTGTGATACCTTGATAGTTGCAAAGGCTGCGGTGTCTCTACGTGATGGATCGGGGAGTCTGTTCACATACAGACTAGCATATTCCATGTCGACACAACCTTGATCGCTTGTTATTGCATGATGTCGAAACAATCACGACAACCTTTTGGAAAGAATACAAGTTGCCATTCGTCGAAACCACACTGCACGGGAGGAAACATTCTGACGTCATCACCGAAACTTACATTTCTGAACCTTCCGACTTGCCAGGTGAAGGTGGTGAGATCGCCGACCTTCTTGAGGTCCTTCACTCGGTTCACGCTTCCTCCGAACATCTCAGCTCCATTCCCACGCCATGCCCATCAGTATCCACTAATAGTAACACCAACCCTGCACCACCCCTACCCCTTATTCATACTGCTTTCACCCTGGCATGTACCCCCCGTGTCTCCTGTTCATCGTGAGCGCGGGTGAGGGAGCATGGGGTGAAGGCAGTTCCAAGGATCCTGTGTGGAAGCTCGCAGACCAGGAGAGCAGCTGAGCATATAGAGAGATATGCCTATGAAGAGAGCGTGCTTCAATCTCCTAGTAGGCGCTGTGTGAGTAAATTCTCACTCTACCTTGTCAACGCTGCTCGCCAAAATGATGATACACTTTACTTCACTACACCAAAAGTGATCGAACTGAATTGGAATTTATGGAATTCCTCTCTCATCTACTGGAAGTTCAAAACCATGAAGGCTCTCCGCTTCATTGTAGCATGCACTCTCAGAGAAAACTCTGAGGTCCTTGCATCAAGCTCTGCACCTTGTGAGTTTTCTTTATCGCACAACGCTGCAATCAAAGTATGTCACTAAATTGTTAAAAACACATCCAACAACTTATTAAGTTCTCATTCACTCACCAGATAGAGCGAAAGCCTCTTCGATCATCTCTTTGACGATGATTTGACAGATGCGTAAAACAGTCTTGTTCTGTCCCACACCTCTTTCACTCCTTGGAGATTTTGACAAGCTTGTGCAAGTTTGATTTACCCCGCTTGTATCTCTCAGGTAGAGGGAATATGGATCATTATACCACTCTGAATCATCAACAACCGTCGGGCTGATAAAGGTTGAACTTGAATGTTCTTGATGGTGATCAGACAATGAAAGCTCAGACGCAACCAGAGGTGGAGCATGTCGACTCGAGTTCATTGTCTTGCAATGATATCAGGACACTGGCATCGTGAGCTTATAATTGTTTCCGACTTCAATCATTTTTTGTATTTTTTTCTAGAACTTTGACCTCTACTTCCATAGATTTTGACCGGAGCCTAGCAACGAATCATCCTCGTTGCCGTCAATTGCAGAAGCAATTTATCATTTTCGCTTTCAAGCTGCTTCACTCTTCGGAGCAGATTTCCCTCCGCATTCGGCTGAAAAGTTCGATCAAAGCTGTTCGCACAAACAAACAACACTCACCACCGCATGTAAGCTGGAGCGCAGCCCATTGACAATATCTTCGAAAATTGGAATTGATGACTTTGACAGGTCCCTGTCATGCTTCTTGACATACTCGTGATTAAACAAAGGCCACGCCCCAGAACCTCTTTCGTCATGAAAATCATTTACGTCAATTTTCTTCCGATACTGAGTCACATGGTGAAATCTTGAAGATTCCGCGCAAACAATCAATTCGTTCTTGGAAAGCAATTGGAAATTGGAGAAAGATCTGCTTCGCATTGGCCTTGCTTTAGCAACCTCTGTACAGAGCTCCCTAATTCTGCTGTCCGTTCCACATTTAAGGCACTTGTCGAATCGTTTGATGAAAGACTGTCTAGCAAGCGTAATATCAAACCATTGCCAAAAGGAGAATGAAAGAGAATTCCAAATTTCTCTCTTGAGGCAATGCACATAGAGCCTTCTTCGTGCCAATTTCTCTCGGGCTCGGTTCTCCAATATCAAGAAGCTGGAAACCATTACGATTCTACTATGCTTCGATCGCAGACTTTCAAGAACAAGCATGTTCTTTTTCCTGACGTTGGTCACAATCAAATTCCATTCGCAAAAAACAATCTCCTTGCATGACCTGCTGTCCCAATCCATGAAGTAATTGTCGAACTTTGAAATCCAATTCTTTCTTCTTAGTAGATAAGACCAAAGCGCAAATACTTGTTGAGATACAGAAAAATTCCGTATCTTCGCCTTTCGAATCAAGCCCGCCTTAGCTGCGATCAGGACTCTGGAATACATTTTCCAAGAATCCCAGATATCTTGTAGACTGAAGGATATTTGCTTCCGAATGCAAACAGCCTTTCGCACCCTCATGCCCAACGCAGATAGTTTTCTCCAAAGCAGAAAGCATTTCTCCTTTTCTAGACCAGACAGGGCTTCATTCGAGCGCAACATCCTCTCCACCATTTGCTTTGCTTTGACATGCTTTCTCCAAACATGAAAATATGACAAGAGGTATCTATGCAATCTATGCGACGAATTTTCAATCAATCGCTTGGTCCATTTTTTAGTTGACAAGAATATAGACCATCCATGAAGGACTGCTTCGAAAATCTTATAATGTTGATGCAATCGAAGTCGCTTAGGGTCTGACCGATGTGCCTTTTTTACCATCTCCCCCCATGTGCAAAACCAGCCATTTACGATTGTTCTTGTCTTCTTTTCCGAAAGCAAATTCAATGTGTGTTTCAAAACTTTCTTGGAATGTGCAAGTCCAATCCAATATCCAGTGATTTTTATCATCAATTCGTTGGTTTTTCTTGTCCTGAAGTTTGACATACGGATCCTTGTTTCAATTTTGTGGTAAAATGATTCGTACCATGTCTGAAACATGTGATGCACACGAGATGAAATTCTCTTCTGCGAAATAATTCTGAAAATATTCAAAATTCTTTGTCTTTGCGAGCAACATATGGACCAATCAAGAAAGTAGGACCACAGAATCTCAATGCGGATGTGGTTTGAATACTTTCGAAACGCTCCAAGAAGAAACCGACTTCTTTTTGAAAAATGTTTCCACATATCAAACCTTGCAAAGCAAAGTAATTTGAATTGTCTATGACGAAATGCTGTGACCAATTGCAGCTCCCATTTTTTGTGTGATAAAACTGTCTTGGTTCGCAAGAACCATCTTGACATTGTATCTGCTCTCACTCGAGTTTTTCTGCGATCTATCAAAGATAGCATTCTATTTCTAAGAAATTTGGATCTGTTTGCAAACTGTCTGATGCAGTTATACACATGTTGAACAGTTTGCCTTTTTTGGCGTTGACCTTTCCTTGTTGCCAATGAAGTATTGTGAATTTCTAGTTTCATCTCGAAAATTTGCCGAATCCATCTGTCAAAAAAATTTTTTTGGTGCCAACGTGACCATAGACTGATGGACGATTTCAATGCAATATTTTGCAACTTGAGGCCAACAATCCTGTTCTGTTGGAGAATTCGGAAGCATGTTTCCTGCAATAAACGGGACTCACAAAAAGCGTCGAGAGAGGATGTTGGGTACCTTCATTATCAATGGTTTTGATTCAAAGAAATGTCGAACTGCCTTGATACCGTGGACGTTTTGCCTCCAATATGTGAAACAACCAATTAGCTCACTTTTCTCGTTCACTGCAACTTTCAAAGTAAGAGATTTCATCTTGCAATTTTCCATTTTGTTCTCCAAAGCTGCAATTTTCCTTCCGTAAAGTTATATCCCTCCATTTCAACCTAAGATTTACCTCGTAAAGAACAAAGCAAATTGATCGCTCTGCTTGTGAGCCAACTCCAAAACAACACACGTGGTAGTCAACTCATTCTGAGAAATTTTGTTAGACTGATTCCGATGAAAGCAGTGAATACATCTATTCGCTCAAGTTCTTCCCTATAATGATCTCTCTCACAATCAAAGAAATTCGATATTTCTGCAATGCGCTTTTCCAATCGATATTTCTTGTAACATCATGTCATTTCACTTAATAAAGTTTGAAAGCAAAGGGATTTTACATCTTCAAGAAGAGCTTCCACTGACTGATTGTTCTGTGCTTGAGTAAGTGACGAGAAGGGGATTATATTAGAAATAGATACCCGTTTTGGAGTATTGAGAAGTAGATTTGACCTGCAACAGACAACGTAAACGATTGAATTTCAGCCAACATGGAGAACATACCTAAGGTACCATGGTTTTCCATCGACTGATTTGGGTTCATTTTGTATTCCAGCACCTTCAAACATAGCCTTTTCCTGCAAACAATAATTGATGGAAAGGTAAGAAGAGAAGAAAAGGAATTGTCTCTCTCACTAGGCCTTCGGGGGTCATTGGTATTTCACTTTTGGGACCCTCTTTCAAACGGATCGGGGTAAAAGGTGTTCCATCGCTGAGATATTTGTGTCAGAATCAAGAAACCAACATCGAAAAACCTTGCACCTTGATCGAAAGCCAATCTTTGCTTGAATCTGGGAACTTGTAGCAACATTTGGCCCGCTTTCCTCGAGGATATTCTCTTGCATTTCATCATCTACAGAAATTGAATCGGATCCGCATTCACGTAGGACACTCGCTCTTTGTTCAAGAATTTGCCTACGAAGTTGATCACAAAAATAGAACATACGTATGCACTCCTCATCACCAGTCTTCTTCGTTAGAACCGTCCTGCTCAGAGGAATCGTCCATTTTGATTTAACCTGCCATGAATCATTTCCACATCAGAGCAAATCGTATGGGTTCTTTTCATCTTTTGGCCATCCTTGTATCCTGGTCGTTGCACTTTTTTTTTGTCATGGAGAGAACCTTTCAACTTTCAACTGATTCAATCTTGCTTCTTCCATCAATTGCTTCTAGGTTGATCGCGGACAAAACATTCGTAACTCATCGTCGTCTAAAACGACCCTTAAACACCTATCGTCCTTTCTTTCTTTCCTACCATGGAATTCGAAGTTCTTTGCCTACATACTTTCTGTGTCTTTCGACTCCCCTAAAGCACAGCATTCTCCTCTGCTCTGCGCTTTGTTCTCAATCATTTCCGCACGATTCCTCTAGTACGAGGTAACTCTTCGGATCCTCTACCACCGTGGGGTACCCTACCTCGCTACTACCGAGTCCACCCCTGCTCTATCCATCATATACCCCACTGTCGTTGACCATAGGCCCTAAAATGGTTGGTAGGGTCGGTACCTTTCTGACCGAAGTTGGAGGGGTACCTAGGCCCGGGAGGCACTGTCATAGCCGCTCCCAGTGAAAATAGAGGGCCTACTGTTCGGCCGGGCCCCGGGCCGAGCTGGCCCGGCATGCCGGCATGGCCTCCACGAACTTGTTTGTCGTGGTCTGACGGTCAGTTACACGATCTGGCCCACGAACTACCACCCACCCATCTTTTGACCTTGACTACCCCCACCGAGATAGAGAAACAGGGTGCAAAAAGAAACTGTGTATCAACCAACACGAGGTAGGGATGAATCGAAGTGAGAGACTGTAGTAGAGCGAAGGAGGGGAGGAGGGAGGAAGGAAAACGAAGCACAGGAGCTTCGTGAAGGAGGTCCTTAGCCATCCTATCAGGATTTATCGAAGGACGACCATCGTCTTGTTTTTTTCTGACGCTTGTTGATTTATCAGGTACTGCCGATCGAATGTGTGAGGAAGTATGTGTATTTCAGCAACCTCCACCTTCAAAACCAACAAAGGATCTTGCGCACATGATATCAAACAAATTGTTCAATCATGAGCTGGATTCTGCTATAAGACAGATTTTGGTTTCTGGAAACATGATAAACAGTGCCGTTCAGAATCGAGCTATGTTTCGACTTGTGTGCTTGAGGATTGGAGTTGAAAATCAAAATTGCAAACTCAATGCAGATCTGCAAGGTCACATTTACATGCAATACCTAAAAATGAGACACTGCTTGAGGACGTCAATGAAAAATGCATCCAGGAAAAGGGCTTTCTTCCATTTGGTAGATGAAAACATTCTAGGAGACTCATACTTTATTCGGAGAGACAGATACTTGATGGGATTGCCAAAGCTCATCGAGACAAGAAGCAATGAATCAGGAGTAATACGATCTTTGCTGACCATTTTCGATGCATCTGACCTCATGAAGGCAAATATTGGTATTCAAATCTTACAGAACTCTTGCAAGAAAGGTTTGATCAAAGCCGTTGAAGAGATTCTACAAACTTCCGCAGCAGCAGAGCTAATCACAGAATGCGATCCCGATGGTAACACATGCCTGCACATCGCAGCTCGTGCAGGACATCTTCAAGTTATCAAGATGCTTGTTCTACATCCATCTGCCTTGTCATGTGTTTCCAGGGTGAATAAGTCAGGGGAAAGTATTCTGTCTGTCGCAATCGATGCCAACTCAAATGCGAACAAGATTGTGGAATTTCTGCTCTCCCACGAAAATATTTTTAAGCTTGCAAAGATAACGAGGCGAGAACAAGAGATCGTCCAATCCATCTTTTCTTCGTCTGAGCCAGACTTGCAACTGTTCAGGACGGTGTTGAATCTGGACTCCAAAGAAATCTTGTGCTGCAGGAATGCAAACTTGCAGAATATTTTACATCTCGCTGTTCATAATGGATGTACAACGATCGTAGAAGAAGTGATGGAGCACCAGGCTTGCTTGGCACGTTGGAAGGATCTCAACGGTCTCACCCCCTTGCATTTGGCATTTCGAAAATCTGATCACTTCTTGCTGCAACTTCTCGTCAATCACGTCGAAAATGTGCATGGTGCCGACTGCAGTTGCAGATCTTTGCCCTCTAGCCATTTGCTGTCCGAGATGGAATTGGCAATCCTCATCGAAGACATGAAACGAGTGTTGGAGCAAGCTCAATATTCAATGCATTGTTGTACAAGTATGACTTCAACTTTGCAACATGGTGCGGCAGACGTTTGTGCATTCAACGAGCTCTTATCGAGCAGCCTCACAAGAGAATTGACAAGCCTAGACGAGGACAGTCTTTTTCATGCATTCGATTAGCCAATACTTGCAACTAGTTCACTATCCTCGTAACACTCATCACAAGCTTTCTAGCTCTTCTTCTTCCTGCACCTGATCAATGAATTTAAGTATTTGCTGAGAGTCCACAAACGTCGCAAGCCCCCTCAAATGTGGAGGTGCTGTATCAGCGACGATGCCTTCGACTGTTCCCACACAGCTACCGTTGCTGTATTAATACCTTTGACTTCAGTACATTTTGAATGTTGCAGTCGACATGTTTTACCTGTCTAAGATGGGTCCACCACACATTCCCATCTGTAGCACACTCTGGGTTCTGGCAAAGCACTGGCACTATTCAGAGGAAAGTGAAATAAGACCAAGCCTACTTGTTGTCTATCGTTCATTCCAATGAAGCTTCCCGGTACAACACAAGGTTCCTGAAAAACATTCAAAATCGGTGTAGAGACAACCCAAACCAGGTGCATACTTGTGCCTGAGAATGATCCTCGGTATGAATGAGTCTATGACCATGAAAGACAATCTGAGTAGCGATCAAACGACCGTTTGATCAGCAACAAAGAAACAACAAACCTCGTCTCGGGGACACAAACTTGTGTCTCTCAAATCATGGAAAATGAAATGATCGTGAGGTGTTCCATCATCATTCTGTATAGAACTCAATTGCGAAATCAATTCATCATCGTCTTCAGCACGCAAAGCAGCCAAATCTCGAATGTGATGCGTCTTGTATGAATTGGCCAGCACGGTTGAGAACTTTATTTCACCATTTGGTTTTCTGATTTCAAGTCTGGCTTGAATATTCCTGCACAAACCCAAGTCAGAAAGCCTCCCATCTCATCAGGTGTACGTAGCAGCAGGACTCACTCTCGTCCAATGCTGTGCAGCCATTCGTATTGCTCCACAGGATAATAATTGGGGAACTGAAATGGCAAGATGACGTGCGCTGAAGCGATGATTCGCAGCACTCCCTTGCTTTTCTGACCTCCTTCCCAGTTACCAGTCTTGACAATAAAACCACTGGCTCTGCTTAGAAACTCAAATTCTTGCATCCCTTTCTCAGGGATGCGGAACCACGAGGATATGCAATAAGAAAGATGCTTGGCATTGGAAGACGAAGAAAAGAATCGCTTCGGATGCGAAAAAAAATAGTTTGCTCTCGGAAGAAAGTTGCGATAAATCATTTTTCAGCGTCCTTCACTGGTCCTTCTGTTCTCTGACCTCGCCCTTCTTCGAGTTGAAAGCAAAAGGAGTGTTTGTGGATATCATTTTTGAAGCTCCGGGAGTTGTCATGTAGAAAACCAATCCTGCTACTCCCCACGCTGCAAACGACTTGAAGCTGAACATCCTGTATGGTAAAACAATAAGGACATACACAATGCGGAATGAACGCTAGAAGACTCACCTGTATCCAAACATGCCTGAATCCAGAGAGTTCCACCTGCGCAATTCGTAAAACATTGAATTATACCATTCATGTTGTTTGAATCAAGCTCTTGACCTTTCTACATATTGATCTCATCTGATCCTACGACTTCCCTGCCCTCCCCGCCTGCTCTTCGCCTGATAGCCTATCATCCCTTCCTTCCTCTACCCTAGCCTTTTAGGTGTTCCGATGCTTCCTCTTCGGCCTCATCCGTTACATCCGTTACATATTCCTCATCCCCCTCATCCCGAAGCCTGTCAAGGGTCGCGGTTGGCATGGCTGAGGAGAATCCGATCCCTCGGCTAGACGCCTGCTGCGGGTAAGCTCCCCTCTCCCTCCTGCCCTCCTGCCCTCCTGCCCTTCCAGCCTCTCTCCATCCTTTGCTCCTTTTCTGTTCCTCTTCCTTTGTCCTGTCTCTCCTGCATCGCTCTACTCTCCATTCTCCTCTTTCCTCCTTTCCTCCTTTCCTCCTTTCCTCCTTTCCTCCTTTCCTCCTTTCCTCCTTTCCTCCTTTCCTCCTTTCCTCCTTTCCTCCTTTCCTCCTTTCCTCCTTTCCTCCTTTCCTCCTTCCCTCCTTCCCTCCTTCCCTCCTTCCCTCCTCCCTCCTTCTTCCTCCCACCTCCATCTCCCTCCTGCCTCCTCCCATATGCAATTGTTTTAGCTCAATCCTTTTACTCTCTACCTTCTCCTTCGGCTTTGCTTGATCATTTGTCAATCGCTCCTCTAGCCTACCAAACCCTTTGTTGTCACTAGACCCTGCATATCCTCCTCATGAATACGTGGCGTTCCTTTTGAATTGTTTCTCTCTTACGCGATGAGATCAACCCAAGTAAAACTTGCAAGTCTGACCTTTTTTCAGATGCATTCAGCTCAAGCTGGGTGTTCTTATCCTTTGCGTCCTGCAGGTTGGTTGTTTACTTCTCAGTTTTTCCTCGATTTTGACCACTTGCTTGCAATTTTATGGCATCATTAGATGATAGCATCTGGCTTCATGATGCTTCTGATAGGGTCATACCTTCTCTTTGGTTACGCGTGAGTTTCACAATTGTTTTCAAGTGTGGCATTTGGCGCCTAAGTGATGGTATCAGGCCTGGAGACAATCTTCCAATGCTTGGAGGAGCATTCACTCTGTTTGCCCTCATCGTGGTTTGATAATTCGTCTTCTGCAATGTATGTTCGATGTGAATCTGGAAATAGGTCATGCTCTTGACAGCAGCAGAGTTTGGCTTTGCTCTGTACGCGTTCAGGTCAAATTTCTTTTTATTTGGAGGAAATCTTGAAAGCTCATCAAGTGTTGCAGTGACATCCGTAAGGCAGAACCTCAGGGAATCAGGTCCTCCTTTTCTTCTGATCATCTCCTTTCGTCTATCTGTGTCATTTGCAGATGAAATGACAGCACCTTCAGATTCTATTATATTGTGAAGATTGTATCCTTCTTCCTAAGCCTGTTTGTGTTCTGCTTGACAAGTGACTGGACGTAAGGTCTTGAGAGGCTATGAGAGTGTAGATTTACATAACAGCAGTTCGCCCGAAATTTTGAACTTGTTCATCTCGTCGAGCATCAGCTTGTACTGCATTTGGTGCATATGGTCGTTGCATGAAGGTATCTTTTGCTCATGTTTTTGAAAGGGCTTGATCAATTTTTCAGCATTGATGCTGGGAGGAGAAGCCGCTGCAAAGGCTGGGTTTACTTTGGAGGAGGTGAAGATGCTTTCTCCATATGTTGTGCTGATCTGCGGCGTTTCCAGGCCTCGGCCACTTCACCTTTGCTAAAGAAGGTAGCGGAGGAGAAAGAATCCAAGGTGAGCTTTCGTTGAAGAGAGGAGTTGGTAATCTCAGCCCTGATTACAGGGATCCATGCAATCAGCGTATGTCTGACGGGCCACATAGTACTAGTCGCCCTTGTAAGTTACCGAAATGCAAGAGATGAAATCTCTCAAGTTTATTTTTGCAAAGATACGATAAAAGTCGTCCCCAGGGACATAGCAGACGCGCCAAGATTCGCAGACCATGACAAGGGGGAGCCTAGAAGATCGAACAGGATTGTAGTCAGGCAACTTCCAGCAGATTCTAGACGAATTAATCGCTGTCGGAATCTTCTCCTCGACCTCTTCGTCGCCTCGCGCGAGCTTCCTGCATCGAATCCGTTCATCACAATCATGTCACCCAGCTCTTGCCTCATTACCTCATCGTTCTCGTCACCCGATTCTCTGTTGCGTTTTCGACCTACATCCAAGCGTTTCAAGGCGGGTGTGGTGACTACAGAACATTGGTACCAGACTTGTCGTCCTCATCGCGGTCGCGGGTGAGATCGCGATTCTTGAATCGCTTGTCAAGCTCTTCATTCCTCGAACTGACTCCACCAGATGCGTAAATTCCTCCTGAACGGCGAGACGCGCTTTGAGCCGCTTCTGCTCATCAGAAATTACTCCCATCATCTAGACAGCACGAATCTCCGAACCAATGTCCACTGCTCCTGCGACCTGACAAACTCTTCCAAACCCTCCGCGCCCCTATGAGAAAGTACTTGACAGGCTGCTATCACTCCTCGCATTCAAGTATACCAAATCAAAGTCGAGTCGATACTCGTCGCGGACCTGACAACTAAGTTCAAAACCACCTGCTGAGCAAATACCTTTCCTCCTCACCTGTCCTCCACTTTTTCCTCGTCCATACTTCGAGTAAAACCAAGGTAAGGCAAATACAAATCAAGAGGCTTAAAAAGCACTACCTGCCGTCCCTCCACAAATCCTGGGTCTCTATCAAGTCTGCGACAGCTGTCAAAATTGCAGACCAACCAGTGAATCTCTGCCTGATTGGACGATCATCCAGCTTCAGTCCATTCAGGTATCGGATGGAAGCTTCAGTATCTTCTTCAGTGTAATACCTTGAATAGGGAGTCATGTTGCTGAACTGTGACTTGTGTACTCACTCAACGAAGCAGAAGCCGCAAGGTGTCTTCTGGAAGCGATCGAGCCCCATGATCACCCTCTTGACCTGTTCAAGAGTTTATTGCACGCATCATAAAACCCCCGAGGACGGACCTCCCCACATCTCGAGAAAAATTCGTAAATTTGAGCCTCTGTGGTGAAATACGAAAGGTTGCCAATGTACAAGCAGGTAGACTTCTCTATAGCTTGATGGTACTCCTGCAGTTTCTGTGAGCCTTCCTTACAACTCAATTTCAAGTACCTCATAAGTCATGCCACTATGACGATCGAAATATGGCGTTCTTTCATACTGGCAATAAAGATCTGCCATGAGGCCTGCAGGATCGCATGTCCGTTAGTTGATCTATTCTCTCCAAATCTTTGTGTTATCCTATTTTCAGTTATACCAGCTTCCTCCTCATCGGAATTTTACTTGATCAACTTTTCTTCTGAACATCAACTACTTGTTTGCTGTATTTCTCGAATCTCGGTTATGCCTTTCCATCATACACAAACACGGTCTTGAGGTCTTGAGTCCATCAAGACAATTCAAATCCTTGATCGTCTTTTCCTCTACCTCTAGTTCTCCTGCACCTTCATATTTCCCTCTCCCTCTTCATATTTTACACAGCAGCTGCGCAGAACAAGCACGCAGGCCCGCAGGCCCGCAGGCCCGCAGGCCCACGCAGGACGGTTCCGAGGCGGGCTCCGAGAAGTCCGAGGCTGTCACGGTCGCAGCCTCACGGCTCTGCTGACCCCCGTCACCCGGCAGTGTTTGACGGGGCACAAGTTTGTTAGAACGCAGATATCACATCGACCTTAGTTGTAACAAGACAGTTTTTGCTCAAGACAGAATTTTATGCACACAAAACAAGTATGAGAGAGTAGACTGTATGCTAGGGCCCGATGTGAAACCCACTGGCAAGCATCCAGACATGAGAGGACCTTAGCAAGACGGCTAGGAAAGCCCCCTCTCCGTCCCACACGCTACATGGGCCGCCCTGAAACACGTAAGAGTTGTTTTGGTTTACGGGAGAGTTTTTGTTACAGCACGCTTGGCGAGTCCATTATGATTAAGTCAAGTTACCGTACCGTACTAGAGCACCAGGCCAGTGCAGCTGCGGCGCCAGGCGTCACCGGGCCCATGCATGCTGAGCCTTGGACTCGGAGCCTCCGGGAGGCCTGTGCGGCCCGGGCCCCCCGGGCACCGCCGGCCGGCCGCTCAGTCGGACCACTAAGTTGAACTGAAGGCAGTGCTTCTCTATATCATCACAAGTTTTGGTGCCCTGTAAGATACAAAAGTGGGCGGGCTTGTTATCCTCTCTGTTGCTACCGGTCTCCCCAGGCAAGCCCTCAAGTCTCAATTTTTCTGTTTGCTCCTAAAGGTTATTTTCACTGCCTTCCTCCCCAGGCCTCCTTGCCTATAACTCACCTACACTTTTTGCCCTACCCCTGAAGTTGTTCACTCCAGCAAACGTCTTGGCTTATCCATGCTGGACGCACCTCACTACCGAGTCGTCCACCTCCACCAAGCTCGAGCATAGCAGGCATGTACAAGGTCGCGTGAAACCTCTACTCTGACCCTCAGCTCTTGGCGCTCTGTCAGCTGGCAACCTCCTGTAACCCTCCTAAACCTGATTCTGCAGAAATCGTTTTGTTTTGCCTTTGTTCTACAACCCAGTTATGGTTGGCACTCGATTCTTAATGTTTGTTTGCTTGCTTGCTGCACTGCACGGGCTAATATCGTGCGAATCTTTCAATGTAAAAATACTTGCTCAACCAAATGATGCAATCGTTTCACAAGTTTTAACAAAGGCTCAATTAGACTTCAGCTATGCCAGTCCTTTGAATCAGACAAATTCTTCCTTCAATTTCCTCGCTGCACGCGTTGCCCTCTTCTACGATGCGCTTCCTGTTAACTTTCTTCATGGACGCAAGCAGATAAACTTGACATCTTCGATAGTAGACTTTACAAACTTGACGATTGAGCACGTCTTCGGAATCAATTTCCAGCTTCGTTTTTTTGTCTTCAACTGTCAAGGAATTGTCGGTGACATTAACGGAAATAAGTTCGACGTTGCTCCTTACAGTGTACAAATCATAGAGGGACCTAATCGAATATATCTAGGACGCAAGTTTTTGTTTCGGATAGGATTTTTTGACAAACATCTCAAATCAATCGGCAGTTTGGGTCCAATCTCTGTCAATCTAAGGATTGAAGAAGGGCCAGAGCAGCTTCAGTTTCAAGCAATTTCTTTACAAAACGTTTCTTCAAATGGAACGGTTTTGTTTCAAGACCTCGAGTTCTGGGGTGATGTGAAGGGGAACTTTTCAGGATTGGTCAAATTCAGATTCTCTGTGCAGTATTTCAACATCACGATCTTTTCCGAGACACTCAATATCATTGGTCTTTTCTGTTCTCCTTTCGAATGCAAACAAGGAGAGTTCTTTAAAATAGTTAACGACATGTCGTCACAGCAAGTATTTGGACAATGTATCACTTGTTCGCCAGGATTCTACTGTCCAAATTCATCAGTGTACATGATTCCATGCCCTGAGGGCACGTACCTGGACAGAGCGGGTTCTTCAAGTAGCATGGATTGTGAGGTATGCAAAGAAGGAAAGTATTCTTCGAAAGGCGCCTCGTTCTGTTCGAACTGTGAGGAAGGATTCTATTGCTCCGAGGGAAACCGGTTTGCTTGTGCAGTTGGGACTTATTCAATGTCTAACATGTCTTCATGCATCGAATGTCCATCTGGAAGCTTTTGTCCTCTCAATGGCACGACTCCAATCCCCTGCCCTCCCGGTTCATACTCGCTATCCAAAGCAGTTTCATGCAGTCTGTGCTCTGCGGGAAAGTGGTCATCATCCGGGTCTAGCAGTTGTGAGTCTTGTCCTCCTGGGCAATTTTTGAAAGAAAATCTATGCATTCCATGTCCTGCAGGATTTTATTGTTCGAGCTTGAGTACGATCGCATGTCCGAATGGAACCTTCTCTCTGGGCAATGCTTCTTCATGCTCGAGTTGTCCGGTCAATACTGTATCTGCCTGCGGATCGACGAACTGTACTACATGTGAGTTTGGGACCAGTTGGAAGTCACAGTGCAGATTTTGTGACATGGGCTTCTATTCCACTGATGGACGCCCTCCATGCAACTCTTGTCCACCAGGATTTGCATGCCCTGAAATTGGGACAGCAAATCCAGTTCCATGTCCTTTGGGGACGGTGTCAGTAGAAAATTCTTCGGAGTGCTCTCCTTGTCCAAAAGGATTTGCTTGTCCCTCTCCAGAGCTGGCCTCCTTGACGATTGCATGTGTTAATGGAACATTTTCCTTAGGATTTCAATCCAACTGCACCACATGCCCTGCGGGATCTTACTGCACAAATGGAAATTCGATCCCTCGTAGCTGCCCGCCAGGCACATACTCTAAAGAGGCTCAGCCTCAATGCACTCCATGTCCTGTTGGCCATTTTTGTGCTTTTGCCAGCTCTACTCCTGAGCCATGCCCCAACGGCACTTTCAGGGATGTGACAGGGGCAGCATCTGTGTCGGATTGTTCATATTGTTCTGGCGGTACATTCTCCACATCGCCGGGCTCTTCAAGCTGTTCCTCGTGTCCCAGTGGATTTCGATGTCCCTTTCCATCATCTCCTCCGGTTCTCTGTGGTGAAGGGCAGTATTCAACTCCAGCTAGTGAGGCTTGCCTTGACTGCCCTGCTGGCTACAAGTGCGAGGACCCTTCACAGCTTCCTCAACGATGCCCGAATGGTACCTTCTCATCGGGGCGAGCATCTGTTTGCACCACTTGTGGAGCTGGAACTTTTTGCGTTGATCCTCAGCTTCCTCCTGCTGCCTGCCCAAGTGGAACATTTTCTATGTCTGAAAGCACATCTTGCATGGCTTGTGACCCAGGATACTACTCTTTGCAATTAGCAAATTGTTCAGAACTTCATTCAGGACCTATTGCTTGCACGAAATGTCCTTTTGGACATTTTTGCAAACCAGATGGCCCACCTGTTCCATGTAATGCAGGCTACTTTTCCATCGGTGGTCAAGAAGAATGCTCAATGTGTGAAGCTGGTTATTTCTCGCTTTCGACAGCGTCACATTGTTTTCCATGTCCAGCAGGGAGCTCTTGCCCACACCAAAATTCCACGCCTTCAGCTTGCACAGCGGGTACTTTCAGTATCTCTGCTATGACATTTTGTCAAACCTGTCCCACTGGAGAGTATTCAAACTCAAACTCGAGTTCATGTTTTCAATGTCCTGCTGGTACCTTTTGTTCGTCAAACAGTAAGCCATTAGATTGTCCAATCGGCACTTTCTCAGGCGTAGGTTCCTCTGTGTGCACTTTATGTGCGAGTGGCACTTATTCTCTTCAAGGTTCGTCGGATTGTTATGATTGTCCAGCAGGAGCGTTTTGTGCTTTGAATGACCAAAACGTGTCTGCAACGCCTTTGACGTGCAGTGCTGGATTTTTTTCAGCGGGAAAAGCAACTGTTTGCTTGCATTGCCCCGAAGGATATTTCTCTCCTTTGAATTCCAGCACTTGCCAAATATGTCCCCCGGGATTTTTTTGTGGAGATGGTAGTTTCAAATTGCCTTGTCAGCCTGGCACGTTCTCCTGGTCAAACAGTACCTTGTGCTCACTCTGTGCACCAGGGAAATACAGCAATCAACTGGAAACGTCATCATGTACCCTGTGCCCATCAGGTTCTCACTGCCCCTTGGACGGTGTTGTCACTCCAAGAGTCTGTGGCGAAGGCAGTTTCTCCGACTATGGTGCAGTAGAATGCTCTCGATGCCCAAACGGAACCTTTTCCACCTGTAACTCATCTTACTGCCTTCCTTGTCCACCAGGATCAATCTGCAACTTCGAGTCAGTGAGGCCAATAACCTGTCCTGAAGGTACATTCGCTCCTGGAGGTTCGTCTGTATGCGAGCTCTGCCCGCACGGCTCATACTCTCCTGTAAACTCTTCAAGCTGCTTTTTATGTCCATCTGGTAGATTCTGCGCCAATGGTAGTGTTCCACGTCCTTGCAACGTTGGTAGCTATTCGCTTGAGAGTCAGAACGATTGCACGCCATGTCCCTCCGGGACCTTCACGAATGAGACGGGAGCTTCGTCCTGCATCTCTTGCCAAGCAGGTTTCTACTGTCATGTAGGATCAACGTTTCCAAGTCCATGCAGCCCAGGATACATATCCTTGGAGTCCTCTCAGTATTGCACTCAATGCCCTGGAGGTACGTATGCTTCTTCAGCTGCTTCTTCAGCTTGCACTGATTGTCCTCCCGGCCATGCCTGCATCAATGGCTCATCTTTCCCAACAAAGTGCCAACCAGGAACCTTTGCAGGCTTATCTTTCTCTGCCTGCCAGACTTGCACTGCTGGGAAGTTTTCGTCTTGGTCTTACGAGAGCTGCATGATGTGCCCTCCAGGCACTCGATGTCCATACGGACTGGGACCCTTTCCATGCCCTGCTGGCTTCTACTCTCCAGGGTCAAGCACTGAGTGCATAGAATGCAGTCATGGTTATTATTGCCCTGAAAATTCCTCTGTTCCCATTCCCTGCGTCCCAGGCGAGGCATGTCAAGCTCCATCACGTTCTCCAGAAGCGTGTGGACCAGGTTTCTTTGCAGCAAAAGGAGCCTACAATTGCACAGTCTGTCCTGCTGGTCATTTCTGTCCATCGGCTTCACTATTCCCCTTTGAGTGTCCTTTGGGAACATATTCTTTGGGTGCAGAAACCGCATGCCATGGCTGTCCAGCTGGTTTCTTTTGTCCCGCAGTAAATTGTCAGACTAGAGTGAGCAACGAGAGCATCAATCAATGTCTCTTTCGATGTGCACTTGGAACATACTCTGAGAGCAATCAGACCTCGTGTCAGGCTTGTCCCGCCGGAATGCAGTGCCCTGATGGAAATCGAAGCATTATGTGTCAAGTCGGCACGTATTCCTTAGGTGCACAAGTCCAATGTCTCAAGTGTCCTGCCGGGTTCCAGTGCAACAACACCTACAGTCCACCAACTGTTTGCGGGATAGGATTTTACTCACCTGGTGGACTGTCGTTTTGCCTTTCTTGCCCTGATGGGTATGAATGTACCAAGGAAGGGACCATTTACCCGCAGCAGTGTGCGCTTGGCCAATGGAGAATAAAAGGCATGATAGCATGTGAGACGTGTCCAGCAGGAATGGCTTGTTCGATTCCCAATGTGGAACCTGTTCTTTGCACGAATGGAACTTGGTCAACATCGGGATCTACACAATGTACCCAATGCGAACCAGGGTTCTACTGTCCTTACAATGATGTACGAGACCTTCGTCCCTGTTCCCCGGGAACATACTCTCTAGCAAGCTCATCATCCTGCACCTCTTGTGCTCCAGGATATTATTGTCCCAGCGGAACGAACTCAGGGTTTATGTGCCAGGTTGGTACTTATTCTACTGGAGGACAGATTGAGTGCTCCCTATGTCCACCTGGCTATGAATGTCCATCCACAGGCAGTTTTCCCTCAGCTTGTGCACCAGGATATTACAGCGACTTTGGCAGCACTGCTTGCAATCAATGTCCAGCTGCTTATGAGTGCAAACAAGCTGACAGCCCTCCCACTCCTTGTCCTACAGGATTTTGGAGCAGTGGAGGTGCTCAGCTATGCCAACCTTGTGATTCTGGATATCTTTGCAAATTTCCTGCAACTGATCCTTCTCCGAGCAAGGATTTGTGCCCGACTGGAGGATATTGTTCTGACCCTGCTCGTTTTACACCTTGTCCAGCTGGCACTTACAACAATATTCCAGGATCATCCAGCTCTAGCTGTTGCAAAGTATGCCCAGCAGGGTACTTTTGCATTGAAGGAACATCAATTTATGAATCTGCTATTTGTCAACCAGGTTATTATTGCCCGACGGGGACCAAATATTCTATTCAGTTTCCATGTCCTGCGGGATCGTACAATGATAGATCAGGGTCAATGAGTCAGGTGGACTGCGTCTTGTGTCCTCCAGGAGCGTATTGTCCGTCGGGTTCTTCCACAGGTGGCATACGGCAGTGTCCGCCGGGATACTTCTGTCCTCCTGGGTCTTCACAGCCTAAAGGTTGTCCGTCAGGAACCTACTCAGCGTCTTACAACCTCTACTCTCAAGACCAATGCGAGACGTGCTTGCCAGGCTCATACTGTCTCGCAAAATCAACGTCTCCCGTGCCTTGTCCCAGGGGATATTACTCAAACCACCAAGGCAATCAAGCGGTAGAAAACTGCTTGCCATGTGATGCTGGATTCGCTTGCCCTGGGACAGGCCTCACAGCTCCTCAACTGGGTTGTGCATTGGGACATTATTGTCCGCAAGGAACTCAATATCCTACTCAATATCCTTGTCCAGGTGGAACGTGGAATCCGAACCGAACTGATTTGATACGAGAAGATGACTGCCTGCCATGTCCAGCAGGGTACGCTTGTCTCGCGGGGACTGGAAGCTCAAATCAACCGATCGATGTGTGTGCAGCAGGGCATTACTGCCCACTTGGAACAGCATTTCCTACCCAATTTCCATGCCAAGCTGGATACTTTTCTCCCAGCCACTCACTGACGAAAGCTTCGCAATGCCTTGCTTGTACAGAGGGATATTATTGTACTGGTGGTTTGCCTTTTGAATCCGGGATCTGTCCGGCTGGATACTATTGTCCACAGGGTACTTCAAGTGATACTCAGTTTCCTTGCCCTGCAGGGACATTTCTGAATCGCACACGCCAGACTTCTGTTGATTCTTGTGAGCCTTGTCCAGTTGGGGAATTCTGTCCACAGGGCAGTGCAACTCCAATTCCATGCTATGAAGGAACATTTGCACCCACTGAATATACACAGAAAGCTGGTCTCACGATGCCTGCGATGGACATTTCAACATTTCCATCATGCCTTTCTTGTACAGCTGGATTTTATTGTCCAAATCGTGGAATGACGGCTCCAATTTCGTGTGGACCTGGGAAATTCTCAGGTTTTGGATATTCTGTCTGTGACCAATGTCCAGCGGGACACTTTTGTCCCACAGCACAGAACAATACGTACGCGAATGTCATGGAATTCTTCGTCTGTGACGCTGGTTTATATTGTCCACCGGGAATGTCCTTTGTTCCTGAACCTTTGTCTTCTAGTTGTTCTCCTGCCTACTACTGTCCGAGAGGAACGCCTGAAATGGTCCCATGCCCTTCAGGGACTTACAATCCCCGCAACGGGTCAAGCTCCATCCAAGATTGCCTTGCATGTCCGGGGGGATACTGGTGCTCACAGAATACGTCTACATTTGTCAACAACCTTTGTGCACCAGGATACTATTGCCCGGCGGGATCCAAGACGCCGTTCTCTGTGCCTTGCCCAGCAGGAACCTACAGATCAGAGAGTTTTGGAAAAAATGAGTCAGACTGCGCTGAATGTGTAGAAGGATACTACTGCCCTCCGGCGAGTAAACGTGGATTAGTTTGCCCTGCTGGATCATACTGTCCAAATGGAGTGGGAGAACCAATAAAATGTCCTGCTGGTTACTTCAGGAGCTCAGTAGGAGGGCTTGCACTTGCAGATTGTGCATATTGTGAACCTGGATACTTCTGCGATCAACCAGGGTTGATTCAGCCTTCTGGATTATGTCAACCAGGATATTTTTGCACTTACGGACAATACACGTCAGCCCCCGAGAACGGAGTGTGCTTCGCAGGACATTATTGTCCGGAAGGCACAAGATCTCCTGTTCCTTGTCCTCCTGGCACTTACAATCCACTCAATGGATCCAAAACAACATTAGACTGTTTGCCATGCCCACCGGGGAAATCATGTCCGACCTTTGGGATTGTTCAGCCACCAGAAGCGTGCAGCCCTGGTTTTTACTGCACCCTTGCATCACGATCCTCCTCTCCATCGAACTCGTCGAATGGAGGTCTTTGTCCAGCTGGGACCTATTGTCCAGCTGGAGCATTTAAACCGAAGCCCTGCGATCCGGGCTTCTTCGCACCAGTCCCAGCCTTGAGCTCGTGCCAACGCTGTCCAGCGGGATTCTTTTGCTTCAATCTGTCTACCATTCTTCCACAAATATGCCCCGCAGGTCACTACTGCCCCGAAACCTCTTCTTCTCCTATTCAATGTCCGCCTGGTTCATATAGCAATTTGACTGGACTGAGGAATATATCTGAGTGCATCCCATGTCCCAAGGGTAAATATTGCTTCAGACAGGGATTGCACTCTCCCACGGGAGATTGCTTTGCTGGTCACCTGTGTCTTCAGGGAGCGATCTTCCCTAACGAGACCGTCAATGCCTCTGCTCTCTTCGGCCAGCGGCTCTCTTTCCCTTGTCCGCCCGGCTACTTCTGCACCACGGGAACGACAGCGCCGACGCCATGTCCTCCCGGTACTTTCTGTCAAGGCAGCAACAGCCAGCCCGATCCTTGCGCCGCAGGGACGTTCAATCGTAACTTCACTGCTACCAGCTGCAGCCAGTGTGCCGCGGGATACATTTGTAGCCCAGGCGGAGTAGCAGACTACGTGGCAGGGACGTACTACGCGGCTCCCTCGTTGTATGCCTGCGCGAATGAGAGCGGCGGCGCGGTAGCATGGACACAAGAGACAGCAACTAATGGGACATACGTGGCTGGAGACGTCGTGACAGATGTAGACGGTAACGCGTATGTGAGCGGAACCGTGTCAAGGGCGAGCGAGGGAGTCTATGAGGTGGTTCTGACCAAGTATAGTACAGCTGGGAGAGAAGTATGGACGAGTGTGCTGAGCTCGGAGAGCTCTCCGGCATCAGCCCAAGGGATGGCAGTCGCAAGCGCGGGGTCTCTGTACGTAGGGATCAATCGGGAGGGGGGATGGTCGGTGTTGAAGGTGAGCAGCTGCGGGCAGCAAGAATGGAGAGTGGACGATGCAGACTCTCTCGAGGACCAGGCGCGGCTCGGGCTGGCGGTGGGAAGCGACGTAGTACTAGTCGCTTGGACCAACGTCTCTGGAAGTACCACTGTCCGGCAGTACACGATGGAGGGGAAGCTGGCGTGGGAGAGGGTCATGATAGCGGGAGCCGCAGGGGCGAAGGTCATAGCGACAGGGCTTGGGGCTGACGCAGCGGGGGGCGGCTTCATGGTGGGGATGTACGAGGGACAGTTTGCAGGGCAATATGCCGAGGGGGGATGGGATGGGTTTCTGCTTAGATTTGACGTCGACGGACAACAAGGTTGGGTGCGAAATTTGGTTCTGTGTCTTCGGACGTTGTTCGAGGGTTAACAGTGGAAGGGAGTGGTATGTTTGCTTATGTTTATGGAGCTTGCAGAACAGCACCGATAACGTCAGTGCTGCCCAAGACTCATGCACAGTGGGTATTCGCAGGACTATCTCATCCCCTGTGTCCGGCGCAAGCGATGTGTTTGTCATCAGGTATGGAGCGGATGGAAACACGACCTGGTCCAAGGCGATTGGTACTTGCGGAAATGATAGACCTGTAGGGTTAGCGGTTGACAGCTTCGGCGGCATCTACCTACTCGGCCAGTCGCCTGCGGACGCGAGCCGAGGTGGGCCTATAGGCTTCAGCGTCAAGCTGAGCCGGGGCGGGGACCTACTATGGAAGCAGACTTGGGGACAATCAGCTGAGTCTGCGGGAGGAGGCATCTCCGTAGGCAGCGGTCTGGTCATAGCCGCCATGGACAGCTACAACTCAAGCTCCGGCTCCAGGTACTCCAACGTCACGGCGTACCTGTCTAATCCGGCTTGCTATGGGCTGAGCGAAGGAGGAAATTTCGTTTGCCCCCCCGGTCATTTCTGTGTGGAGGGTCTCAAGTCTCTTGCGGAAGGAGCCTGTCCCCCCGGAACGTACAGCAACCGCTCGGGTCTTGCAAGCTTCTCTGAGTGCGAGAGCTGCTTGCCAGGCATGTATTGCAGCGAGTGGGGGTTGACAGCGCCTACAGGACCTTGCGCAGCAGGTTTCTACTGTACAAGCGGAGCAGCAGATCCCAACGCCAGCATGTGCGACCCCCGCAGCGTCTCGAGCGTGCTCACATGTGCGACATCGCTGCTCTACAAGGAGTGCTCGCCCAACCTGACCTGTGGAGGAATATGTCCCGCAGGGTACTTTTGTCCTGTAGGCTCCCCTACACCCACGGCATGCACTCCGGGCTATTATTGCGACAAAGACGGGCAGGGCATTGTTTCAGGGCCTTGCTCTTCGGGCTACTTTTGTGGCTATAGCTCTGGAGGAGCAGGAGCTAGCACACCGACGCCGGACTCTGCGGACAGTCGGGGGCCTTGTCCTGTCGGATACTACTGTCCCGAAGGAACTGTATATCCGATCCCATGTCCCAAGGGCACTTTCAGGCCGTACTTGAAAGGGCAGGCCAACAGCTCATGCCTGGCATGTACGCCAGGATTCTACTGTCCCGTCCAAGGTCTCTCCAACGTGTCTGGGTATCCATGCAGCGGGGGCTTCTACTGTCCTGGAGGTCAGTCGACCGGGACGCCATCCGGGTATCAGTGCCCAGTTGGTCACGAATGTCCCGAGGGGAGCAAGAGTCCCAAGACTTGTCCTCCGGCTTACTACCAGAACGACGTCGGGCAGTCCGCCTGCAAAGTGTGCGAGGCGGGCTACTACTGCACGGGGAGCCCCGACCTGAACAGCGGCAGCGGGGCAGTGATCTGTCCGACTGGATACTACTGCCCTGCGGGGTCCGCCGAGAAGCTGTCGTGTAGTCCTGGGACCTACATGCCCAGGACGGGCGAGTCCGCGTGCTGGAGCTGCCCAGCTCAGTCCACGTGTCCCGAAGAAGGCATGAGCAGTCCATTGCCATGCCCCGCAGGTCACTACTGCCCCGAGAATAACTCCTTGCCCGTACCATGCCCGGAAGGCTCCTTCAGCGCTGATCAAAACCTCGCCTCTGCTGGCGAGTGTACAGCCTGTCTTCCGGGCAAGTACTGCGGCACATCAGGGCTCCGGTCGCCCACGGGAGATTGCTTTGCTGGTCACCTGTGTCTTCAGGGAGCGATCTTCCCTAACGAGACCGTCAATGCCTCTGCTCTCTTCGGCCAGCGGCTCTCTTTCCCTTGTCCGCCCGGCTACTTCTGCACCACGGGAACGACAGCGCCGACGCCATGTCCTCCCGGTACTTTCTGTCAAGGCAGCAACAGCCAGCCCGATCCTTGCGCCGCAGGGACGTTCAATCGTAACTTCACTGCTACCAGCTGCAGCCAGTGTGCCGCGGGATACATTTGTAGCCCAGGCGGAGTAGCAGACTACGTGGCAGGGACGTACTACGCGGCTCCCTCGTTGTATGCCTGCGCGAATGAGAGCGGCGGCGCGGTAGCATGGACACAAGAGACAGCAACTAATGGGACATACGTGGCTGGAGACGTCGTGACAGATGTAGACGGTAACGCGTATGTGAGCGGAACCGTGTCAAGGGCGAGCGAGGGAGTCTATGAGGTGGTTCTGACCAAGTATAGTACAGCTGGGAGAGAAGTATGGACGAGTGTGCTGAGCTCGGAGAGCTCTCCGGCATCAGCCCAAGGGATGGCAGTCGCAAGCGCGGGGTCTCTGTACGTAGGGATCAATCGGGAGGGGGGATGGTCGGTGTTGAAGGTGAGCAGCTGCGGGCAGCAAGAATGGAGAGTGGACGATGCAGACTCTCTCGAGGACCAGGCGCGGCTCGGGCTGGCGGTGGGAAGCGACGTAGTACTAGTCGCTTGGACCAACGTCTCTGGAAGTACCACTGTCCGGCAGTACACGATGGAGGGGAAGCTGGCGTGGGAGAGGGTCATGATAGCGGGAGCCGCAGGGGCGAAGGTCATAGCGACAGGGCTTGGGGCTGACGCAGCGGGGGGCGGCTTCATGGTGGGGATGTACGAGGGACAGTTTGCAGGGCAATATGCCGAGGGGGGATGGGATGGGTTTCTGCTTAGATTTGGCGTCGACGGACAACAAGGTTGGGTGCGTGCAATCAATGCATATCCTTCTGTCAGTGGCGTTGGAGTGGAGGTCGCGGCTGGCTGGCTGGTTGTGTATGGTAGAGCTTGGAGCTTGCAGAACAGCACCGATAACGTCAGTGCTGCCCAAGAATCTAACAATAACAACAACCTCCAGTTTGAACGAAAACTCAAGCTTGTCCAGGATTTTTCTTTTGAAATTTGATCATGAAATGGTAAGCCAAACACAGATATTCCTTGGGTCGAATCGAAATCTTCATAGTAAAGGAATAACTTTGGACAGCTTCGGCGGCATCTACCTACTCGGCCAGTCGCCTGCGGACGCGAGCCGAGGTGGGCCTATAGGCTTCAGCGTCAAGCTGAGCCGGGGCGGGGACCTACTATGGAAGCAGACTTGGGGACAATCAGCTGAGTCTGCGGGAGGAGGCATCTCCGTAGGCAGCGGTCTGGTCATAGCCGCCATGGACAGCTACAACTCAAGCTCCGGCTCCAGGTACTCCAACGTCACGGCGTACCTGTCTAATCCGGCTTGCTATGGGCTGAGCGAAGGAGGAAATTTCGTTTGCCCCCCCGGTCATTTCTGTGTGGAGGGTCTCAAGTCTCTTGCGGAAGGAGCCTGTCCCCCCGGAACGTACAGCAACCGCTCGGGTCTTGCAAGCTTCTCTGAGTGCGAGAGCTGCTTGCCAGGCATGTATTGCAGCGAGTGGGGGTTGACAGCGCCTACAGGACCTTGCGCAGCAGGTTTCTACTGTACAAGCGGAGCAGCAGATCCCAACGCCAGCATGTGCGACCCCCGCAGCGTCTCGAGCGTGCTCACATGTGCGACATCGCTGCTCTACAAGGAGTGCTCGCCCAACCTGACCTGTGGAGGAATATGTCCCGCAGGGTACTTTTGTCCTGTAGGCTCCCCTACACCCACGGCATGCACTCCGGGCTATTATTGCGACAAAGACGGGCAGGGCATTGTTTCAGGGCCTTGCTCTTCGGGCTACTTTTGTGGCTATAGCTCTGGAGGAGCAGGAGCTAGCACACCGACGCCGGACTCTGCGGACAGTCGGGGGCCTTGTCCTGTCGGATACTACTGTCCCGAAGGAACTGTATATCCGATCCCATGTCCCAAGGGCACTTTCAGGCCGTACTTGAAAGGGCAGGCCAACAGCTCGTGCCTGGCATGTACGCCAGGATTCTACTGTCCCGTCCAAGGTCTCTCCAACGTGTCTGGGTATCCATGCAGCGGGGGCTTCTACTGTCCTGGAGGTCAGTCGACCGGGACGCCATCCGGGTATCAGTGCCCAGTTGGTCACGAATGTCCCGAGGGGAGCAAGAGTCCCAAGACTTGTCCTCCGGCTTACTACCAGAACGACGTCGGGCAGTCCGCCTGCAAAGTGTGCGAGGCGGGCTACTACTGCACGGGGAGCCCCGACCTGAACAGCGGCAGCGGGGCAGTGATCTGTCCGACTGGATACTACTGCCCTGCGGGGTCTGCCGAGAAGCTGTCGTGTAGTCCTGGGACCTACATGCCCAGGACGGGCGAGTCCGCGTGCTGGAGCTGCCCAGCTCAGTCCACGTGTCCCGAAGAAGGCATGAGCAGTCCATTGCCATGCCCCGCAGGTCACTACTGCCCCGAGAATAACTCCTTGCCCGTACCATGCCCGGAAGGCTCCTTCAGCGCTGATCAAAACCTCGCCTCTGCTGGCGAGTGTACAGCCTGTCTTCCGGGCAAGTACTGCGGCACATCAGGGCTCCGGTCGCTATTTCTGTCCATCCCCTGGCTCAGTTGTAGGAAACGTTTCGCTCTGTCCGGTGGGAAGTTATTGTCCTGCTGGTAGCGCATCCCCCAGTGCTTGTCCGCCAGGAAGTACTTCGAGTGAGGGGGGCCTTGTCTCGGTAGATTATTGCATTAAATGCCCGGCAGGTTTCTACTGTCCATCGTCTCAAGCTAAATGTTCTCCTGGTCAAAATGTATCTGATTGCCTTGGGGTTCAGATTCTGTGCCCGGAAGGTTATTTTTGTCCTTCTGGGAGTTATGCTCAGTTTAGCAACCCATGTCCTCCCGGGGCTTATTGTCCAGCAGGTAGCCCATCTTTTGTGTCTTGTCAAGTCGGAGAGTATCAAGATGAAATGATTCAAACGCAATGCAAACCTTGTCCTCCAGGCCATCTCTGTTCGGGCGTTGGATTGAGCTATCCTCTCGCTTGTCCTCAGGGAACATTCTGCTTGAATAATGTCTCATATCCCTGCCCCATTGGAACGAACAACTCGGGTGAAAACGCCTCGTCTATCATGGATTGTTTGCCCTGCCCGGTAGGCACTTACTCATCTGCTGAAGGGGCCAAAATCTGCACTCCAATCTTTGCAGGATATTTTTCTAATGTGAGCGGTCTAATACTGGTTGAGAACACATTCAAAACATTGCAGTTTATTTTTCAATCTAATTTGTGCAAGAATGAAGGCTTTTTCTCGGTGAACAATCAAACGAGAATATGTAATGAACCTCTCGTAACAATGTTCGGGACATGTGAAGCAGGTTATTTCTGTTCTGGGGGAAGTTCTTCACCCCGCCCAATTCGCAGCGCCACAATCATGAATGGGGATATCTGCCCCCCCGGGTACTTTTGTCCCAGGCAAAGCAGTTTTCCATCAGCATGTCCAGCAGGCAGTTACAGCACCGCAAGAGGACTGATAAGCATCAGTCAATGCGTTCCATGTCCGAATGGGATGTATTGTGCTGGAACGGGAAACTCTGAACCAACAGGGCCGTGCAGTGCGGGTTATCTTTGTGGTCAAGGAGAGACTGAGAGCAAACCGAACCGACCCGATGCTATTTGCCCTCTTGGTTATTTTTGCCCTGCTGGCTCTTCAGACCCGATTCCATGCCCTGCCGGCACCTTCAACAACCTTGTAATGGGTGAGAGCATCTCTTCGTGTCTTCCTTGCGCTGCAGGACACTACTGCCCCACTCCAGGGATGTCGTCGAACCTCCCGGCTTGTGGCGCAGGCTATTACTGCCCTCAATCCACAACCTCAAGGTCCCTCGCGACTCTCTTGCACAACTTCTCGTCACCGTCATGGTGTGGAATGCTGGAGTCGATCGGAACTGTCTCCGTTACTATTGGCTTTGTTGAAAAATACCCTGCCCTATTCATGTGCCCAAAGGGTTACATGTGCCCGGAAGGGACATCGAGTCCCCTTCCTTGCTGCGTCAACATGACCCGCAAAGATTTCAATCAGAGCAACGGATGCTCACTCTTTCAACCAACGCCAGGAAATTCGTTTTGCCTTGATTGTCCCCCAGGCAGGGTATGCTTGAGAAATGTGGTATCGGGCGTCTCAACAAGCACGATAGATTGTCCCATTGGCTTCTACTGTGAGCTCGGGTATCCTCCAAGGTTGTGTGCTGATGGCACGTACGGAGGTAACGTGAATTTGTCCAAACAACTGGATTGTTTGCCATGCCCGCCTGGTAAGTGGTGTGCCAACGGAGTCGTTCAAGGTGACTGTGCTGCTGGCTTTGTGTGCAGAGGAGGTTCCGCATGCTCCACCCCGTCGAATCACTCGTGCCCCTCCCCTTCCATAGAGCTCAACGACATTTGCCCGGAAGCGCACTACTGCCCCAACGGATCCTCAGTCCCGCTCCCTTGCCCGTTCGGAACCAGATTATCCAAGCTGGACCTGAGCTACCCAGGTCGGACTCAATGTGACTGCCTTGCATGCCTTTCAGGGCAATTCTGCCAGGTCGGCAGCGCTCAAGGTTCTCCCTGCCCGAAGGGATTTTACTGCCCTCAAATCAATGCCAGTGACGTTCGCCTTGAAGCATGTCCATTGCGCTCAAACCTGATTCCTTGCCCTCCTGGAACCTTTCAGGATTTGGAAGGTCAAACAGACATAAATGCCTGCAAAGTATGCGGAGAAACACTTCTAAACATTTCCTTTCAGGGATACTACTGCCCAGAAAGCAACAGCACTGAGCAAACAGTCTGCCCTGCGGGACATTTTTGTTTGTCTGGACAGAGTAAGCCTATTGCTTGCCCAGCAGGCACATATAATCCCCTACAGGCAGCTAGTTCGATCCAGTCTTGCATAATTTGTCCAAGCAAGTATTATTGTCCTCTTGCCAGTACTGCACCCATCAGTTGTCCAGCTGGATCTTTCTGTGAGAATGGTTCATCAGTGAACACGACCTGTTACAGTGGTTACTATTGTCCTCCAAAGACTGCAGAGCCAATTCCGTGTCCATCTGGTGCTTACTGCCCGATTGCAAGTGTTACGCCTTCAGTTTGCTTCCCTGGCACTTTCTGCCCTTCGCTATCTCACTATCCTTCCCTGTGTCCTCTGGGAATGCATGGTGAATCGAATGTCAGCTTGAATCGGAGCTCAGTGGAGTCCTCCTGCATTGCATGTCCACCGGGAAAGTTTGGAGCAGATCCGCGAAGATTAACATGTGAGGACTGCAGACCAGGGTATGCTTGTTTCGGCAATACAACTCGCGGAGACCCAAGAAACGTAAGTTTGGACAGGGGAGAGCCTTGTCCAGCAGGCTATTACTGTCCCTTAGGGACTGGGCAACCTCTGTCCTGCCCGAAAGGAACGTTCAATGCAAAGGTAGAGGAAAGTGACCTGAGTTCCTGTCTTTCGTGCCCCATCAACTCATTCAACAACCTCACAGGACAAACAACATGTGTCCCCTGTGGGAGTACCGCAACATCCACCAACGATAGCCTTGCCTGCGTGTGCAAGGGAAGCAATAGGATATTTCATGCCTCAGATAGTGCCTGTAGATGTAAACAAGGTTACACGGTTTACAATGGATTAGGACAAGATCAAACTAATCTTGCAACGTCTGACGGTGTTCTTGACTGTGAGCCTATTATTCTCCCAAGGTGTACATCGAATCTTAGAAGCGAGGATGGGTCTTGTCTGTCACTTTGCTCCAATTCTGAATGTCCATCACCCCCGTGCTACTGTGATTCAAGTGGTTCAGACTACTGCAACAAGTCTTGTCCTTCGTACCAGGTGTCCCAAGCTCAGCAGCTGCAAGTAAGTCATTGATTGTGCGAGGAAGCAAGACTAACTTTGATCTCAGGTGGATTCTAGCGTTGGAACTACGATCGTTTGCAATTGTAAATGTCCTTTGGGCAGTTCGGACCCCAACTGCGCCGATCCCAATCAAGTTCCGATACAGACGTCGTACAACCTGTCGACTGACAGTGCTCAGAACACCATTCTGACGGTTATCAAGGCATCTGGAGTGTACAACTTTATTGTCAAAGGAATGAAAGAATCTTCTAAATCGTCAAACGCACTTTTTGTAGGTTCATCCGATACAGGTTTCTCAGGTCTTCTTGATGCGTCTCTGTCTTATTTTGAAAGCCTCGGGCTTACCAACTGTACTTTTGACGGACAAGGAGTCTGTCAAGCGACATCCCAGTCACCAACGGCAAGAAGGAGACTCTTGTCCAGGGAGAAATCTTCTTCTCAATCATACAACCTCCGCGCACAAACACCAACTTCATCCTTCCAAGGAGTTGCCTCCCCCGTGCTTTGTATCAAAGCTGGCAATGGAGTCGTGTGGTCAGTCTCATCCAACAACATTTCAAGCCATTATCCTGTTTATAACGTCAACTCACTTCTCAACACGAACCCTGCGTTTGACTATGGTCCTTTCCTTCAACTAGCTACACAACTTCAGAATGGGTTGGTCATCGATTCGTTTTTCTACAACTTTCAGGATCCCGGAATATATGTGTTTCACGACGCGAGTGATGTAAGCAAACGAATGGTTGTAGGTGTAGTCAATCCAGTTCTTGACTGCCCAGCTGCTTTTGGATCTGGAAATGTGATACAGCCTCTATCAGCTTCGCTGATACAATCATTCCCGTCATCAGCTCCTTCCATGATGACCAGCCCGAATTACAATCTCATCATTGCACTTGCTGTTTCCTTTGGATCAGTCCTGCTATTCAGCGTAGTAATCGTTCTTTTGAGAAATCGCGTTGGATGGGGAATCACAAATTCGAAAGGGCCAGCGCATCGCAAGCTCAAGCTCAATCTTGGTTCACAACGCGACAATGTCAAGGCCGTACGATCAACAGCTGTCCTCGATGAGTTGCACAAACGTGACGACGGTTACATTGATCTTGAAGGATTTAACGTGCAAATGCTTTTTGACAAATTGCAAGATCAGACTTTGTTGGTGACAGAGCAACTTACACAACAAAAGAATGATGTAAGAGAGTTCTATGACAAGCTCTCGCGAGAGACCTTGTCACTAAAGACAGTTATGAACATAAACTCGACTTCTAAGGAAAGTAATCATGAGCAAGTCCAAAAGGCTTTGAATCGCAAGGAACGAATTTTCTCAGAGATCCAGCGAAGGAAGGAGATTGGTGAACATACAAAATCTATGTGTCAAACCGCGTTGAAAACTTTGGAGTCTTATGTCCAGCCAGATATCAATTTCTTCAACACAAGCGCACTTTCTTTGAAGGAGGCAATCGATTTGATCCGTAAGAAATGCAGGAACCAAGGCTCTTCAGACGACCTGCACCGTATTCAAAGAGTTGTCAATGAGACAAAAACGGTGGTGCAAAGATGGAAATCAGCCGGTGGGATCTCGAAAGAGTTTGGCCTGGGGGCAAAACTGTTGGATGGGAAGAGGAAAGTTTTGAATAAGGTTGATTTGATCGACTCCTCTGGAAGGTTCAAACGACTGGATGGAATCCTTCAACTAGACTCTCTGACAGGCTTGACGGTTCCATGCAGAGGGACGGAGATGCAAGTAGCAAAGCACGTTGTTCCTGTTCCTGATGACTGCTTTGTCCACCCTGCGACAGGACATGTCTTGCCGATTGAAGGCAATCTTGTATACAACGTGAGCGAAGGCAAACTTGAGCTTGTCTCAAACGTCTCAATCGAAGGACTGATGGAAAGACCGATGTTCTACATACGTAACAAGCAGAATGCAGAGGGAGATTCTTACCCATCCAAGAAAGCTCCTTACACAAATTTGCTTCCAGCAAATAACTTCAGCCCTCCGTCCAACAAGAAAAGAAGCATGCTGGATCCTTTCACTGGGCTCGAAGTTGCCATCCTCGGAGTCACTCACGATCTCGAAACCGGAGAGCTTGTAGCCGTTGGGGGAAGTATGCCTGACGCCGTGACGGGGATCCTCAAGCCGATCAGCCTCTATGGGATTATGCAAGGAGTTCACTCGACAGCTCCTATCTTGATCACCGGAGTGAAGATAGATGAGAGAACAGTAGTCCCTGTGCCTGTGGGCGGATGGTATGACGTCATGTGCTGTGAAGATGATTTCCTGACGTGTTGTCGCAGGCTGGACAAGGATCCCTCTGAGCAAGGCAAACCGATCTTTCTTGGAGCCGCTTTCAACGACGAGTTCTCTGGCCTCAAGCGGCACTGCACGATGAGCCTGCCGGATCCATTGAACAGAAGCTGTGTGATCCCGTACCAGAGCGACTTGCTGTTCCATCTCAAGCTGAACCATCACAAGCTTGTCGAAAGTTTGCTTCAGCAGACCGAGCATCTCAGCCACGTTCTCCAACAGAAATCGAAGAATGATCCACAAGAGATTGAAGGTCTACTTAGAAAGCTGAACGAGACTGACCACAAGTACCACAAGATCAGAGACGTGCTGCTAGGAGAGATGAATGGCCCATGTCAGTCTCTAAATGTTTGCATAGCAAGCATGAAAGCGCTGGCTGAAGATGGAGGCCAAAGAGGGAGATTTTTCGACCCATATTTGTCCGAGGAGCTTCCGATCTTGCTAGGATGTAAGATGTATGATGAGCGACTGGAAGATGAGGTGATAGCGTTCGAGTTGCGGGATGACGGACAGACCGACGAAGCTGAAGTAGGAGGCTGCAGGACCCTTGACCCTGTAACAGGGAAAGTGTCAACTGTGAGCATCGGGGGTAGGATGCGAGACATCAAGACTGGCAGGATCCTTCCTGTGACGCATATTACAAGAGATGTGAGCACGAAAGAAGTCGTGCCAGACTCAAACCTCAGAATCTTTGCCAAGGAGAAGAGCTACAAGGCAGAGAATGGAGCTTCCATGGAACTGATTTCAGAGCTGCTGCAGAACCTCCTCTCGTCAAACAGCAACGGTCAACTTCTACAGGAGCTAGTGCACAACGCAAAGCAGCTCAGCCCCACCCGTGGGAAGAACGTGCAGTTCGATCACTCGGTTCCACATTCTCCTGAGTTGGACGGGTTGGATCACCTGTACGAGATGGCAGCGGACGACATGCATGAGTTGATGACGGCGAACGAGCTTGAGACAGCTCCCACATTCGAGGAGAAGCTCGATGAGATCATAGCCGATGTGAGGGCCAACAGCGATGAGTCGCTGCATGGAGAGATGGTCGAGAACAAAGCCAAGGCGCTGCAGGAGATGGAAGGATATTCTTCTCTGCTGGATTCATTGAGCCAAGAGATCCTCCAAGAGCTTGATGCCGCCAACGTGGGAGGCTCTCAAAAGGACAATGAGAGGATAGCAGAGATTATCTCGTCGCTCTTGCATCACGAGAAGCAGAGGCAGATGTCTGCATACGAAAGACTCGCACTCTCTGCCTTCGAAAAAGCGGCAAGGAGAAGGTCAAACCAGGACCTTGAAGCGAGGAACCTCGAGGAGCTGGAGAGCAACGGTGAGAATGTCTTGTTTGAGAAAGCCGCTCTCCGAATTCAACAAGATCATGACCAAGAGTTGGCACGAACAACGGCAGAGATCGCCAAGGAAAACATCGAGAAGAGAAGCCGCGAGCTTGCACAGGAGCAAAAGCATCTACAGCAAGCGTTGATGTCTCTTGGACCCATCACAGACGAGCAAGTTCAGCTGCTACTAGCAGAGTATGACAAGACCGCTGACAGGTTGGAGGGTGTGAGCAGAAACGAGCTCATCAAACAAACCTTCGATGTCGAGAACAAGTTGGACTCCGCAAAAGGCCGGAAGCTTGCAAGGCTCCTTGAGAAGTCAGTTCAACCTGCCGCACAGGAGAGTCGTTGGAAGGCAAAGCTCGATGAAGCAGATGATATAGAATTGGCAGACATTCTTGAAAAGCATGATTACCTGCGAACAAGACTTGAGAATGCTCTGAAAACTTACGAAGAATCAGAAAAGAAAATGTTTGAGCGACAAGTGGACGAAGAGAACCGAAGGAGCGAGATGGAGCTAGAGTCCAGGTTCCTCTCTGCGCTGGATCAATCGGTGGATGAAGAGGAGAAACAACGGATCCTCACGAGATATACCACAGATCTGACTGACTTGAAGCAGAAATTAGAGACCGATAAGAGGAAGCAAATGATGGACTTTGAAAACAGACTGCAACAGAAGCGAAAGAAGAAGCTGGAAGAGGAATACTTGGCCAAGATGAACCAAGAGGTGGACATGTTGAAAAGCAATGCGCCAAGAGGCGAGGCTCTCAAGTTGGGCTTAGAGATTGAGAATGCGGTCTATCAAGAGATCGAGAATGCGAGGTTGGCTTCAGCCTTGTTGAGCCAAGACGAGGCAGATCTTGAGTCCTTGAGACAAGGTCTGAAGTCGACAGAAGAAGCTCAGGTCTCCGAGCTCATGATCAACTTAAGCAAGGAAGTTCAAGATGCGGACGCTGAGACCAGAAACAAGCTGATCGCCAACCACGAGCTGAACATGGCGAGACTGAAAGCAGAGCTCGTGATCTCTCGGGGTCGAGAAGAAGAAGCTCTGGAGAAGAAGATCCAGGCAAGAAGGCAAAAGCGGCAGAAGGCGCTGGAGGATCAGCACCGGGAAGAGAAGAAGGCGATGGAAGAGAAAGACTTGCAGGAGGCGCTCAAGGAGATCGAGAGGATCAAGGCGATCTCGACTCACGCCATCCGCCAGGAGGAGCAACGAGCTAAGGAACACCTCGACATGTTGAACCGAGCCCAGGCTGAAATCAAGTTGCTCCGCGAAGAGCTTGATTCTAAATCGAACATGTCCATATCTGCAGAGGAGAGGAGGTTCGAAGACAAGCTGAATGCACAGAACCTGTCCAAAGAAGAACGTGACCTGATGATCAGGAAGCATGAAGACGAGATAGGGCATATGAAGGCTCTGCTGAAGATGGATGCTGCCAAGCAGATTGCTTCCTTGGAAAGCAAGCTGCAGGCAAGAAAGGCTAAGAAACAAAAAACGCTGGAGTCCATGCACGAGCAAGAGACCTCCAAAGTTGAGCGTGAGTTCTCTTCGATTTCAGCCTCAATAAACGAAGCAGAAGCCAGGGGAGAGCATGAAGTGGAAGCAGAGATGGAGAAAGAAATACAAGGACAGATGAAAACTCTCTCTGAGAAGATTGATCATCAACGAAACCTCATGGTCGAAGAAGAAAATTCCAAGTTTGAGGATCAATTGAAATCTGCTGAGTACTCTGGGATAACAGATGCGGACAGGGAACAGTTGATTCAACAGCACCAGCAGAACGTTTCGAAACTGACAGCATACATGGAGATGGAGAAGAACAAGAAGGAGCAGGAATTGAAAGACCGGCTCCAAGAAAGGAAGCAGAAGAGACTTCAGAAACTTGAGTTGGAGAAGCAGCGAAAGCAACAGGAGGAAGAGATCGATAGACAGCAAAAGGAGGAGATGGCAGAACTCGAGAGAAAGCATGAAGAAGAGATGAAGCTGGAGATGGAGAAAGTTGAGATGGAACTACAAGTAGAACGAGAAAGAGAACAACAGAAGCTGGCAAGAGAGATGTTGCTGTCCTCGGAATTCAGTGACAGCAAACAGAAGATGGAAGAGTCCAGCACAGAACGTGAGAAATTGATGGAGGACGCAGAAGAAAAAATGAATTTCATGAAGAGCCGAATGGAAGTTGAGAAGGAAAAGCAGGAGAAGCTGCTGCAAGAAAGACTGGAGAAGAAGGCCAAGAAGAAAAGGGAAGAGATAGCGCGAAGACAAGCCAAGCAAAAGGAAGAAAAGCTTCTGGAGCAGATACAGAGTGCTGAGACGATTCTTTATCAAGACGATCAATGGAAATCAATCGAGGAAGAAGAGAAAGGAGTCGTCCCACAAGCAATGACCGAAGAGTTTGAGAAAATGCTCCAAGCTGAGAAGGAAAAGATTGAACAGGAAATGAAAAAGACCATGGAAGAACAACAAAGAATGAGAGAAGAGTTGAAGAAAAAACAGGAGGACGAGCGAAGATTGCTGGAGGAAGAGATGAAACGGGATCAAGAAATCTTTGAAGAAAATCTGAGGAAGGAGCAGGAAAAGAAAGCCGCAGAGCTGGAGGCAAGAAAGAGAACGATGCAGGAAGAGATGGAAAAGATGGCCGAGAATGTCACGGCAGAAGAGAGGGCCCTGCTGATCAAGAAGCATGAAGAGCAGATCCATCAACTGGAGCAGGAGAACATCAACAAACGAGCCATGGTGGACGAGGAGCTGCAGTCTAAGCTCGCCAAGAGGCGGAACAAGAAGAAGATGATCCAGGAGAAGAAGCAGCAGGAAGAAATCGCTCAACTCCAGGAGACCAACGTGCAGAGAGCCAAGATGATGAAGAAACAGATGAGAGAGAAGGAGATAGAAGCGCTCAAGAAGATGGTGAAGGATGGAAACGAGGCTGAGGCTCTTCAAATCTTGTCCAAATCTCAGAGCGATGAGTTAGAAGAGGTCAAACTCCAGCAATCCGCCGAGTGCGCCAGACAGCTTGCGGCCTGCGAGACTCAAGAGCTGGCAGACAAGCTGGAAGCTGAGCTGAAGCTCAAGCACGACAACGAGCTCAGTGACATTAAGGCTGAGCATCAGTCGCAGCAGAGCGCGTTGCTGGGCGATGCACCACCCTCTGGGTCAGGCTCGATGAACAAGATCAACGAGATCGAGGTGAGAGCAGAGCAGCTGAGGCAGGAGAAGGAGGAGCTCAAGGCTAGGATCGAGGAGGAGATCAAGAGGATGGAGGTGGAGCATGAAAAGCAGATGCAGGAGGAGTTGGCCGTCTTCGAGAACAAGCGGAAGCAACTTGCCTCCCGAGCAGCCGATAGACGAAAACAGATGGAGAGTCGGATTTCTTCGGCTGCTTCCATGGGGCAGCAGACGAGGGAGGATGTACAGAAAACGTTTGAGGAGGAGAGGAACGCGCTAGACTCAGCTCTCTCCGAAGAGCAGCGAAGACAAGACGAGTGGCTGAAGCAGATGCTGAAACACAGAACGCAAGCGAAGCAAGATGCCATGAGGGGCAAGTACAGCGAGCAGCTCAACAAGTACGAAGAGGTCATTCAAAGCTTGATGGACCGCGTCGGCAAGGAGGAGATGAATTTCCGGTCTCAGATGAGCAAGGAGGAAGCAGACAACGCATGGAAGGTTGTCTCCGTCGCCAAGTGGACCATGGCGAGCAAGTTGAACCGACCGGAAGTCAAAGCTGCCAACAAGTGGCTGCGCAAGACGTTCAATCGCAGCCTTCGCATGATGTACCCCAACATCAACCCCAACTACTTGAATGCCCTCCAATCCACCAGCAAAGTTGACCTCAGAGGGTCGAGGAGCGCCTGGAGCCTCAGGGAGAATTCTCCCCGCAAGGAGGTGAGTCCCGCGTGCCTCTCTCTCTCTCTCTCTCTCCTCTCACGTGCCTTGCAGCCCTCTGGCTCCCGCCCTTCCTCCGCCTTGCGCTCTCCGCACGACACGTCTCCGGACACGCCAGCGCTTCAACTTCAGCTCAGAAGGCAGCAGGTAAAGCCCCCTCTTGATTTCATTGACCTCGCTGACTCTGGAGCTTTTAGAGCGAGATCGAGAGGCTTAAGCGAGCCGTTGAAGATCAAAAGGCAGGTGGCGAGCAGCCCAGCTCGGAGGTTAACCGGTTCAAGATGGCGAGGTCAGAGTCGGCGTATGGGCCGTCCAAGGAGGAGGTGGTGGCGCTCCTCAAGGAGTGGGAGTCGCCGATCCTTCCCAAGCTGGAGGAAGTGGAGAGGCTGCTGAGACTTGTCTTGGAAGAGAAATATGCAACCCCTCTCAAGTGATCAAGGAGAGAAAGAAGAGTTAATACTTGAATGAATAGAGTGATTCAATGTTGTCACACTTTGTTTTCACTGATCACCAACGTCCCCTCCCTCTTCTCCACCTTTGTCAAGAATTTCCGCCGAACAAGTCCTTCCGGCACCTGCGATCTCCGTCACGCTGACCTGGTCGAGACGAACATGTTCGTGAACCGTATCAACACAACTGGGCAGGCAGAAATGAGTTGATTGAGGGTCGCTCTTCATCGTCAAGTCAAACAATTCCTGCACGACACGTGAGATCTCAGTGTGACATCGAGCGCATGTCAACCAGCTTCTTGTCCAAACAATGAATCAGATCCTTGAGATTGGACGGCAGCATCGGTCCCTCCAACTGCTTCTGAGGTCAGAGATCTCTCTCGCACCATCATCGCGACCGTGACGACGTTAAGCGAGTGTTGTCTATTGATTGCTTTGACTGTTTCTGCCGTCAGATCCTACAAATGACGTGCATCACATTATGACACCTTGGCTTTGCTTCAGCGATATAGGTTTCAAGGTAGCAAAGAGAAAGGGAATCTAACCCAGCCGGATCAGATACCAACGCAAGTGTCTAGATATGAATACCGGAGAAAGAAGAGTAGGAGAGGCTGAAAAATCCTGCAGAGTGCTTGAATTTTCGTGCAATAACCACACGTTGCATCACCATATTGTACAGAAAATCGTATAAAGATTGCACGTGAAAAGTTCCTTTGACGACACTGTTGCGGAAGTCTCACATCAGGCTCAACCTTTCAAATTCACTCACAGAAGAGATTGAGGGCTGCCATCTTTGACCAGCGTCCCGAGATTATGCCTCACTTCCCACTAGAGTGAGAGAGAGGGCGAGAGTGCCACAGCGTTGAAATGAAACACCTGGGAATGAAGTCGAAGATGCAAAGTCGCGCAGCTCTTGTAAGAGACTGAAATTCTCGTCTCACTACGACGGAGAAGAAGCGAAAAGTTCACCTGAGATTGTCTGGGTCTTGTGACCCGTTGCGATCGTCGGGATCGAGCGGCATAGCAAACTCAACAATCTTGTCTCGCAACCCCTTGCGGAGCGACTGAAGACACGTGAATGAAGACACGTGAGAGAAGGAGAGAACCTTTGTTGAGCTCGAGATGAAAGCGATTTGCTCGGCTTTGGCTAAATCTTGAGAGGAAGAAACGACGTTAGGCGAGCTGTCGCGGAAAAGAACGTGAAAATCTTCGCTCATCAGGTAGAAATATCTGCAGGTAATCGGTGAACGCAGATCTCAGAATTGGCCACGATACCGGCACTGGCCGTTCTTGTAGAGACGATAGAGCGAGTGCAAAGCATGTCTGAACTCTTGCTGATTCTTCTCCATCTCCTGCGTCCATCCAGAGTAAGCAAAAATTGAGTCGCTTGAAGCCAAAGCACTGACCTTCTCTTCCGCCTTGCTCCTTTGCACTGGTTCTCTTGTACTTAGCTGGGACGCATTCGACGGGTAACGCCATTGAATGAGAGCGCGAGCAAGCCTCTCCTCCTCGTTCATGTCTGAAGTTTCTCTTGCATGGGCCGGATAGAAACTTGCTACAGACGAGAACTTGTACTGCAACCAGCCCATTGGCTGTTCAGACTCAACCCGCAAGGTCTGCTTGATGGACCAATCTAGTGGCAGATCATCTAAGCTCACCTAGAATCTTCCTCAGGGTTGCTGTGATACCGCCTAAGACAGGGAGCCCACTCACCTTCAGTTTCTCATCCTTGGTTTCGTTGTGACTTGCCACTGCTCTCCCTCGGGAGGGCTTCACATGCTCGTTGTGATATCTTAAGCTTGACAAATCTAGTTCTTTCTTGTTCTTCACTGTCTCTATCTCGCACTCTTTGCCCATGTTTGTCTGGAAGAAGTCCGCTGGCTTCACCACCCGCACGAGCTTCTCCTCCATGACTTCGAAACACTCCAAGTTCACCTCGATCTTGGTCTTGTCCACCCTGCCCCACAAGCTCAGAGTTCCTTCATACACTCTCCACATGCTCGCTTCCTTTTCTCCAGACTCACCCGCTCGCTCTCGTGCTGGCCGTCTCTATTCTGTCGGGTCTTTCTGCCATCTTCGCTTTCTTGAGTTCCCTCGCGTTCTCGTCGGCAGCTGCTGATCCATGGTTCTTCATACCATGTTGCACATTTCTCTCCTCCTCGACCCGCTCTCCCCCTCCCCCCTCCCCCCTCCCCTTCCTCCCCCCCCCTCCCCGGCATCGTCGCAGAACCACTCGCCCCATTTTTCCCGCGTTTGCGCCGCTCACAGATTTACCGAGCCCGCCTCACTTTTTGTTTCAATGCCAGACTGCCATCAGACGCAACGAGAGGGAGGAGGTTGGAAGGAGAGGAGATGAGAGGAGATGAGCGAATGGTGGAGGAGGGAGTGGAGGGAGGGATTGGAGCTGGGAAGCTGAAGACAGACGTCTGATTCAGTGGACATTCACTCCCAACATGCCTCGGACCCTCCGGTCTTCCGCTCTGACCGCGATGAGCTTGATCTGGTTCCAAGCATCTTGTCGAAGATGTACCGTGACTACCGAAGTCAAGATGGTCACAGGAAGTTGTCTGCAGCTTCGAGGAGGAAGCCTCGATTCTGTCGTGAATTTCAATTTGATCAAGAGTAGATTCAATCGTAAGGACGAGGAGGAGGAGGAGGACGAGGAGGACGCTATATCAGCTATATCTCGACTTCGCAAAAGGAAGCGACCAAACGAGGTCCAGGAGCAGCCGAAGAGTGAGTTCACGCCAGAGGAAGAGCTGTTTGCGGAGAAGGAAAGGGAGAGAGTGTGCAACCTAATCCGAGCAGAGGAGCAGTATGATGAGACTGTCGATACGACGGTGCAGGATGGTTTGTCATTTACCGAATGGCTCGCAAGGATCAACGAGATCGAAAACCTTCGGCGAAAGAATCGTCGGCATGTAGAGACCGACTATGGTCAAGGATACGTGGACGGGAGATTCGGAAAAGACGACATCATGGGATGGGTCAACTACGTTCCATTGCCGCAGGATGTGAGGAGAGAGGATCTGTTGGTGCAGCCCCAGTACCGCCTCAACCGGCACCTTTGGAACGCCTCTTCAAAGGGCAAGAGCGCACCTGAGGGGTTCAAGGAGTGACTGAAGCCCTTTCCGCAGGTGACTTGCGACTGGTGTGTATGTTGCTCGAGGCCGGAGCAGATGTCAGGTCCTACAACAATGAAAGCTATCTGCCCGCCGAGATCAACTTCGGTCTGAGGTACTTGATGGCGGATGCCTTGATTGAATGACTCTGATTGCATCTGAAGCTCGGATCAAGAAGAGTCGCCGACATGCACGTATGGCTATGTTGATCTGCAGAACTCCAAGGCGGTGGTGTGTGTACACATGTGGTGCCCTCTACATTGGGCTGCCAACTACAATCATGGTAAGTTTGCGTGTGAGGAGCGCATGGAGGAGCTGAGGACTAGCATTGTGCAGCTTCAACAGTCGATCTGCTCATCAAGTATGGGGCCAATATAAACCAGCAAGATGTTGACAATCGTACAGCTCTGCATCTTGCGTCAGCTAGTGGCCATGCGGTACCCTAATAACGCAGCAGCTTCTCGTCCTGTTGTTCCTTGACATGAGAGATGACCAGGATGTCGTACGTGAGCTTCTTGCCAACAACGCAGACTTGGAATCAAACGACAGTCGCGGCAACACACCTCTCTTCTACGCAGCATGGGAAGGACATGTTCAAGTCGCTTCGCTTTTGCTTGCCGCGGTTTCTCCAGCCAGTCTCTCATCGTCTCTCAGTGTTGATGGGATTGCGTGCAGGGAGCCAATTGCAATCACACAAATGATGGAGGATACACAGCGTTGCACTGGGCTGCTAGCGAGGTCCTCAGCTTTCAATTGAAAACTCTGCTTGACCTCCATGCAGAATCGCCTCGGCGTTGTCAAGCTCCTTCTTGAGCACAACATAAACGCCGAGGAGTTGACGAAGGAGGAAGAATTGGATGCGCTTGACCTTGCGGAGAAAAAGGTAGGAGGGAGTATGATCTGTCCGGCTGATTCAAGATGAGCAGAAGTATCTGGATGTGTGTGAGGTGCTGGCCGGAGGGATGGGTCTTGTCAAAGTACCGATCGATCAGTTGTACTCGCACGAGCAACAGCAGGTCAGTCCTGCACAGCTTCCTTATCGTTCTGACTGTCTTCACAGCTAATGGAGTATGCGGAGAAGAAACTCCAAGAGCTCAAGGAAGAGCTCCTCTACGTGACTCGTGTAGGGGATAGCGAAGTAAGGAGTAGCATCTTTGCTCTAGTCCTTACCTGCTGCAGATCATCGTGCCCGGCAACAGGACAGAGATCGAAAATCGACCCAGGTCAACGATCCTGGAGGACATACAGCAGAACCAACACATAGTCGATGTGGTGCAAGAGCTTAACCGTCGGCATGCAGAGCAGACTGCCAAAGCCCAGGGAAACCCTAAATTCGCTGCTCTGGGTCCTCAGACCTGACGTAATGTAAAGACTTTTTTCTAAATTCGCTGCTCTTGGTCCTCAGACCTGACGTAATGTAAAGACTTTTTTCTAAATTCGGTGCTCTGGGTCCTCAGACCTGACGTAATGTAAAGACTTTTTTCTAAATTCGCTGCTCTGGGTCCTCAGACCTGACGTAATGTAAAGACTTTTTTCTAAATTCGCTGCTCTGGGTCCTCAGACCTGACGTAATGTAAAGACTTTTTTCTAAATTCGGTGCTCTGGGTCCTCAGACCTGACGTAATGTAAAGACTTTTCTTTAATTCATCCTTATGACTGGATCCTCGCTCGTGATGTCCTTCAAGCAATCACCTACAGCCTGCTCAAATTGCCCGACCCTGATCGAGAGCTCGTCCTCCTCTTGTCCTTCCATATTCAGCATCACCTAATTCGACCCACCCCTTAGCAACTTCCGCTGCACTTTGACTTTCTCTCTGCTGCCTTGGTCTCATCCTCGCGCGATACGATCACTTTCTCTCCCTGACCGACACTTGGCGAATCGCCTGACTCTCCTGCTTCCATGGGTCTTCTGCTTACAAGGCGATAGATTTCTGTAATTTTTTCATGTCAAATAAGGACTCATCGATCAATGCATCACTCGCCTGTCAAGATGGTCTGAAATGCTTGCTCTACATTGGTGGAGTCCAGGGCTGAAGTCTCGATGAAGGACAGGTTTCTCTGTTCGGCATATCCTCTCGCATCATCTGTCGCAACCGCACGAAGATGTCTCAAGTCGCTCTTGTTACCAACAAGCATGATCACGATGTTATGATCTGCATGATCCCTAAGTTCCTTCAGCCATCGATCCACATTTTCGAAAGTGACATGCTTGGCGATATCGTAAACTAGAAGTGCGCCCACCGCTCCACGATAATATCTAAAAGACAGGCATAAGGAATATTGCAGAACAAAGACGGTGACTGATGGTAAACGACATCCACTAGAATCAGAAACTTACGCGCTGGTGATTGCGCGGTAACGCTCTTGCCCAGCTGCACAAAGAACATTACAAACACTTTCAAGTTGGAAATTTCATAACGTCACCTGTGTCCCAGATTTGTGCTTTGATAGTTTTACCATCTACTTGGATGCTTCGAGTTGCAAACTCAACTCCAATTGTACTCTTTGACTCGAGGTTGAATTCATTCCTTGTAAAGCGTGAAAGCAAGTTTGATTTGCCTACTCCGGAATCGCCGATGAGCACAACTGGATTCCATGACATAATGAGTGGGAACAAGGAATCGAGGTACAGACACCTTTAAAAAGGTAATCATACTCATCATCCTTCGACATCTGGAGAAACTGCAGGAAAAATCAGCGGCAAATTTCTTAGACATAGTTCCAGCATGAGATCAAAGTCGAGCAGGTAACAATGCAATAGCAGGAAATAGTTCAAGTGCATTTCGCAGGATTGTTAAGCAGGGTTACCTTCCAGAGGTCACTTTTTCAGGGCTATTCTTAACACGAAAAATCCGAGGGCTTCTGCAGGACCATTTCGATTAGAAAACATCGTACTGCCTCAAATTTGCACCCACTTGGAGTCCTTGGAGTGAACACAAGTTTCAAACTTGAGGTTGACCAGGTATCTCTGCAGATCAAACCATCATCCATCCTGCACCGATTCCCAACATTGAACATCCCTCAGTGGAAGAAGCCGTCTCCCTATCTACATCTCGCGACTCATACTGGCTCTCATCTTCCTCTTCATCTTTTGCCTTCAATCTCATCACCAAATCTCACGGACAAGGGTTGGGTACTTCACGACGATACTCGGGAAAACCGAATCAGGTTAAGGCAGTAGTCATAAACAGCACCGAGATCTTTCTTGTCGATGTTAGATTCTTACTGAGGAGGGACAAGAATATTCACACCATACAAAACACTTGAAGTTTCGTAATGGAGGGAGCAACAACAGGCATGCGATCAAGTGATTCCACAAATAGACTGGTCAGCAAAGCAGGAGGGGGGTAGGCAAGGGACTTTGGCAACGGCGACAATGCAACGCCAAAGAGTTACACAGTTCAGTGAAATTGACTATGCATATGAGTTGGCAGCACACAAGTAAAAAAGAAAACGTTTGAAGGGGAGCAAAACAAATGAAGGGGAGCAAAACAAACGGAAGGTGACAAGCGAGAGAAAGGGAGAAGAGGGAGGAAACTGGGACAGCACTAGGGGTGGGAGAAGGGACACGAAGGTGAAAAGAGTTAAGAGGAGGGCGAAGCAAGTGAGCAAGTAAGCTGGCAAGAACCGAGGCAGAGAGAGGAGAGGAGGAGCTCAGAGACAAACAGATCGAAGCCATTGCCGCAGAGAGAGGAGAGGAGGAGCTCAGAGACAAACAGATCGAAGCCATTGTCGTATGTCTCAAACAGGGACAGCAGAGATGGGGAAGCCATGGAGGGCGTGAAAGGATTGGTGGTGTGGTGTCAGCACCGGTGGGTACTGGATTGCCAGGGTCCATCACTTGAATTTAAAATAAACAGGGGTGGGTGATCTATCGCACCGGTCCATTTAGAGGTAGAATATGTTCAACTGAAGGGTACCTCCCATATCTCTACGGGTTTGAACAAAGCTTTTCTGAAAAGAGATGGTAGGGTAGAGGTTATGTGGACAGGGTGGGTAGTATGAAAGGAGAGGAAATGGAAATTCAAGGGTGGGGTGAGGTTGTTCGAACTTGCTGTTACATTGGGGGTAGGGTTATTTGATGAGGGGTGGTGAAGGTTTTACTTTTTTTACATATTGGGTTGTTTTTGAAATCTGTATATTCCAGATGTTATAACATTTGAAAATTCAGTAGAATAATCTATCAAGAATTTCCAAAATATGAAGAATAAACAGTTTGGCGGTATACGACAATGTTTTCCAATTCACCACCGGTCATTGAATGACCCCATCAAATCTTACCACCCCCTCCGACATCATTTACCCCTACTACCCACACTCCATGTTTTCAAAAAGGAATGGGGGAACAGGCCATCGGTAATCTATAGGGTAGGGTACTGTGTTATGTATCATCGGTGGGGTAGTACTGATCTGTTCTGGGAAAAGTGAGGGGTTGTAGCAGCTCGATGGTGGGGTCTGATGTGGGCACCACGGGTTCTACTCACAACCCTATGAAATGAAGGAAAAGAGGGGGTATTGTGATGTCCGTTAATAGTTCAAAGGAGGGTAGGGATAGGGGGTCCCCTCTTCTTTCCCAGACGCTGGAGGGTGATTAGGGGTGGTCTTGCCTGAAGGGGTACGACAAGAAGCAGGGGTAGATTTCTACCACCAAGGGAGAGGGTAGGTGGGGGTAGTCCACGGGGGCGTAGAGGGGAGGTAGAAGACAAAAATTTTAGTTAACAATTGGCTACGGTGATCGGCCCGGGCCCCGGGCCCACGGGGCACTCGGTGACCAGCTGAGCCGCTCGGACCGTGCTGTACCGTACGGTACGGTGATGGCACCGTGCCGATAGGCGGGCACTAGGCACACGCCCGGCGCGGCCCTCTGAGTCCATCGGATTCGGCGGGACTCATGGCCATACTGATATGATGATCATGCCATGCGGCGCGGAGTCCGACGCATCATCGGGCATCCGGGCGGCCGCGAGTCACGGCGGGCCGGCCGATCTCAGGCTGATAAGTTGAAGTTGCTGTCTTCTTACCTTTATACATATTAGTTCTGAAGCGAGCTTGAAGCGCTGAGAGTAGGTAGACTAAAAAACCCACAGCATGGGGAACCAGGCGCTCCACCTGGTCCTGCTGGTCCTGCTGCTGGCCCTGGTGGGCAGGGGGGATCCCCTGAAGTACGAGGGAGGAAGCATGCGATCACTCAGACTGAGAGGGGGGGGAGGAAGCAGCGACGCAGGATCCCATGGACAAGGTGTAGGTCTCCTCTCCTCCAAGGGAATGCAGTTCCGACCTTTGCGAAAGGAGGGGACGCGAGAGGGAGGAAGCAGAGGGACCGAGGGCGACAGGATGGAGGATAGCGCATCGATTGTATCCCAGAAACCTGAGGAGAAGGGGAAGATGGATGAGCGATACAGTGCCCTGTGGAGGGCGGTGAAGGACAGACGCGTCGATGTAATCTTAGATCTAATGGACAAGGGACTGAATTTGTCTCATCCCGACGCCTCGTTTGGAGGATGGACATCATTGCACTATGCAGCGGCAGGAGGAGAAGGACATGTAGTCGACATGCTCCTCTCCCATGGAGTGCCTGTTGACATCTGCAACGACCAAATGTCGACGCCGCTAGCTATCGCGGCCTCTGAGGGCCACCTGAATATTGTGGAGAAGCTGCTGAGAAGAGGAGCGGATGTGAACGCCTCCAACAATTATGGGATGACAGCCCTGCACAGGTGACGGAGGAAGAGACGGGGGGGTGTGGCTGAAACATTTCCACGAGCAGGGCAGCAGCATCAGGCTGTACCAAGACTTGCGCTCTTCTCATCTCCACGGGGCTAGATGTCGACTCTCCCAACGTTGCTGCCTCATCCTCCCAGCACACCCAGCGGCTGAAGCGTTCCTGCAGGTCATGGAGGTCACTCCCTTGCATCTCGCTGCTTGCGGGGGATTCCTCGACACAGTAGAGACTCTCGTGGGGCATGGCGCCGATGTCAACCAGCCGAACAGCGATGGTTGGATTGCCCTGCATTACGCAGGTGAAGGAAAGTAGTGTGCTGGGTCTAGCTCTGAACATGGATCTATCAGCACTGAAGGGGAACGAGGAGCTTATTGAGCTGCTGCTGTCTAAAAGATCGAAAGTTCTGGTTTTGTTGCCTACTGTGTGAAGGTGGTGGGTGAAGTTGGACAGGTGCCAAGCAAACTCCTCGAGACGCCAGTAGGGCTTGCAAAGAAGTACGGGCATGTGAGCTTGTCAGATGTCTGAAACCCTCTGTGACCTGGCTGCAACCAGGAAAAGTCGTTCCACATGCTCCTGAAAGCAAGGTGAGAGAGCCGTGGCAAGATGCCAACGACCTCATGTGCCTCATCAGCTGGGAGGAAAAGGACGACAAGCAGCACATGGACATGAAACAACGCCAGCGAAGGGTTTGATGGCTTTCTTAGCTTGCCTTAGACAAGTGACGTGTCGTCAACAGGAGATAGATGATGAGTACGACAAGTTTTGGAGCAAGATCTGGCAGGAGCAAGTGAGGAGACATCAGAGTTCGGGTGAAGGGAGTTCCACATTGTCGGACGTCTTGGATCATCACAAAGCCACCATGATGGGAGCTGAGGACGGTATTGTTTCTTGGCCGAAGCGATATCCCGGTCAAGGTGTGGGAGATGATTTGGAAGATGGCAAGAAACCAGAAATCCCTGTCACCCCTGTACCGATGAGCTTCAAGAGCTCGGCTGGCACAGGGTTGGAAAAAATTCTACCCGATGAGAACGGAACTTCATGTATCGATTACGATCTCCTTTTTGAGAATCCAAAAGGAGAAGTGGAGAAAGTTGTCTTCGGCGTTACGGTTGGACTTTTTCGATTCTTCTCCCTCCCTTCTCTTCAGTTCACCAACCTTTGAGATCTCCATTTCCCTATCCCCTCCCTGTCCAGTCACTGATTTTCTTGACAGCCGAGGGACAAGGAAAAGGAGGCTCTCGACGATTTCTACAAGAAGCACATGTAAGAATGTTCCCCTGCTGTCTTGTGTTTCATAACAAAAGGTTCAGTGAGCCCAAGATGTCACTGGACGAGCTCGAGCTGAAAGTGCGGGAAGCGCAAGCGCTGGCGATGGAGAGAAACAAAACAGCGCAAATGCTACAGGATGGATGACACGACACTGTCTCTGGACTTTAGATCGATAGTTTCTTGAAACTTTATGTACAACACATGACTCGACATTCACCGAAGTATTAAAACTGTGATGCAGACGACAACATTTGATCTTTACAAGTACGGAAACAATAATTTGATCTAAGACCGAGACTCGAGGAATCCACATGTCATCATCCTGATCAAGTTCTCAACGGCACAGGGATTGCCGTCTCTTTTTTGTTCTGGGATCGCAGGAGTTCTTCGAACATGTTCTGCGCAGACCGTCAGTCCCGTCTCGAATGTGACGAGGCACAGGAAGTATCCTCACCTTTCGCTTCTCAGCTGCGATAATCCGGCCGTCTTCCGACAGCACACGGACGGTCGACGCCGCCTCTGGGCTCTCCAGGTCCGTCAAGATCTCCAAGCACTCGACACGTCCCATTATCTTGTCGTTGAGATCTGTTGGAAGGGATAAGAAAAAGCGAGCATGTGAAGGGAGGGAAGACAGGGAGCAGGAGGAGGAGTGAGGAGGGGAAGGAGGGAGGAGAAAGGAGGAAAACACTTACTCGTATCGATTCGCCAGACTTCCTTTTCCTTTTCAGTCCCTACCCCTGATATCCCATACTTCTGCGGGGTATGACCTACTATCATGCGCTTCGCGTCCATGGACTCTAGCATCCCATCCAGAGTTTCTAGCGCCGCCTCTGGTACGATGGGCATCCCGTAGACACGCTCCCACAAGGGAGAGACGGTCCTTCCTCCCTTGGGAACAGGATCGAGGAGCCAAGGCTTCACGTCTGCGTCCTTCCGGAGCCAGTCGGCAACCTCCTGGTTGAGCTTGTCGATGCCGTGCGAGATCGTCTCCCTGGTGAGGCCTCCGTGCACGAACACGTTGTCGCCTATCTGCACGACCACTGGCATCGTCGACATGAGCATCGCAAGCTTCCCCTTGCCCCTCTGCATGAGCTGGGCCCTCTTGCCCTTGAGCACAGTCTGCAATTTCTCCGCCATGTTGAACTTGTCGTGCCAAGAGTCGAACGAGTAGATGTCGGGAGCGTAGCTGAAGTCTAGATCGGCGTTCATGATCTCATGGTTGCCCAGCAGGGTGATCACATCCCCTCCTGCGTCCTTGGCCTGCACCTTGAGGTCTCTCAGCATCTCGATGCTTCGAGACTCGTCCGACCCTCTGTCAAGGAAGTCTCCCATCTGGACCACCACTGTGTCTCCGCCAGTCCACCTTCCCTCCTCGTCCGCGCATCCAGAAATCCTGCACATCAGTCAGTTAGGTGCAGCACAGGCACAGGACAAAGCATCCTCACTTGAGCGCATGATGGAGCTCGTTGAATCCCCCGTGAACATCGCCGATGGCAATGATCCTTGCAGCAGCATCAAGCTTGTACTTGTGCGAGGACGTATCCCTTCTCAACGAGGGAGTGCTGATTACATGGTCATCGGCAGCCCCGCTGGTCAAGTGCATCCTAGGCATCAGTCTGCATGAGCGGACTGCTGAAGAGCTCGACCCAGACCTGAACCTGAACGCACGATAGGACAGACTTGGGTCGAAGCCCACCAAGAAAAGCATGAAAAAGTTTCTGAAAAGCTTCATGGTAGCTCCGCTTGTTGGTTGAGAGCGAAGCGCGAAGGGAGTGAGAGAGAGGGAGAGAGAGGGGGAGAGAGAGTCAGGAAGTTGTAGTTTTGTCTAAAGGGCCGGTAATAGTACTCGAATATGCAAGTGGGAGAGGCTTCAAGCGCTTCAATCTCTTGCCTCAATCTTCGAAAGGTTTGCACGAGAAAGGATGATTGTTGTGAGAAAGGCCGATTTCAACGAGTTGAGAACAGAGTGACTATCGAAGAGGAGATTGAGATCTGTGTAAGAGGGAGGAGAAGGAAATAGGAGGAGCGGGAGGAGCGGGAGGAATAGGAGCAAGAGGTCAGGAACGCTGTCGTAGAGTCGGGGGAATCGAGATCTCAGTTAGAAAAAGGGGTTTCGTCAAGGGTTTCCCTTTCTCTTGGCAAGAGGGTGGTCATTCGGTTATGACAGGGTGGGTGGTGGTGCATAGGCAATGGACAGAAGGGGAGGGGTACTCATTTGGACGCATATGTGGGTGAGGAGAAAGATGGGGTGGGTCCTGTTCGAAGGAAATTTTGCTGAGGAAAAGACGGGTAGGTTGATCGTATCAGGGGGGGTTATGGAAGGGGAAGGCAATTAATAACGATTGATGGGGGTGGGGGTACTAATTCTGTGAACCTGGGGGTAGGGGTGAAGCAAGCGATCTTGTGGGAACGTAAGAGCTGAATGATTAAGATTCGAAACGATGCAAAACTAAGTCTTCTTGTATCACAAACTCCCCGAAGTCATATCCCACCCCCCTGGATTGGATGACTTCTTGGGATGAGCACCCGGTAGACTTGGAAGCAATCGCTGACTCCTTGCTGACCTGATTGACAAGATCACGGACCAAGTACCCACCCCCGAATTGATCTCTGCAGTTACCCTGGCATCATCACTGAAGGTCTAGTACTGAGACTAGAAAGCACGGGTAGTAGGCCATAGTTGTAGGACCTCAGTATGACAGGCTCTACACCCTAACAAGAGATCTTTACCACAGCTCTCTATAAAAGATGCGGCTGCTCACAATCCTTTAAAACAGTAATATCTCAAACGCTTTGTTCTTGTGATCTGTGTTGTAAAGCTATGGTGCTAACTAGCTGTCTTGGCCTCCAATTAACACACCCCACCCAAGGCTTTCTCAGTTTTACCCCCATTTTTGTCCGATCAATTGTACGGTCAGCCGCTCAGCTACCGTACCGGGGCCCGGGCCCCGGGGTAAGTAGTGCCAGGGGGGTGAAAAAAATTGAAGGTCATCCGTGTCAGATGGCTGACCTGAGCCCTCCGGCGTTCCGGGCCGAACCGTCTGCCTAAGTCATCGGACACTGCAGTCACCACGGTGCTCCGTGGCCCTGGCCCAGTGGTGAAAGGGTGAAACCGTCCTGAGTTTATAAGTTCTGGCAACGGTGACAGTCACTGTCGCAGACCGGAGTCAGCACGGTGGCCGCGGCCCGGCGCCGGGCCGGGCCGGCCCGCCCAACTTCCGTTGAACCGGCCGGGCCCACGGTGACTCCACTTTGAGTTAAAGGATGGTCGGCCGGTTCAGTTCATGCCCTCGCGCATCCGTTGTTAGCTCCTGCTGGCAGGAGAGTAGATGGGACTGTTGTCTGGACAAGCCCAGAGGAAGGTATCCTCTCAGATGGCTTGGAGAAGAGGAGAAGGACCCTGATCGCTGCGATATCCTTGACAGTACCTGAACTTGCAACCTGTTGCTCCTTGGGTCATGATGCAAGGAAGGAACGAAATATTGGATGAGAGTTCCGTTGGAGAGAAAATATTCCATTCCATGATATCTTTGGAAAGTTTCAGACCTAGTAAGGAAAAAAAGGCTGAAGAGCATGTCTGCGAGTTTGAGACTTTTCAGATGAAGAGAAAGTGGTTCAGGCAACTCCAAGTTGTAAACAGCAAGCATTCTGTTTTTGTGCAATCGTCACAACGGGACAAGGGTCTCATGGAAATAGACGGGATTTTACATAAAGATGTATGTTTGCCAAGTTCAGAAACGAAAAGATTCTACGAAAATTTTCGCCGGAAATCAAGAATTGTGAAACGAAAATGTTGTCTTCCAATCGATAAATAACATGTTTTCTCTAGGGCCTTGGCCCAATGTTCTTGCTCCCTGGTCGGCCAAATCATCAGTGGTGAGCATGCTTGATGTTCAAGTGATGCTGTGGTGAAGTGAGACAGTATGTGATGAATGCTGTGTTTTTTGACTTCAGGGAGATCGATTCGGAGGAGCAGGTTCTGTTTGAGAAGAAGATGACCGAAGAAGGTTGAGAGGGAGCGATGTTGTTTTCTTCTTTAATCCTGATTTTCTTTCCCAGCGCGCCAAGAAGTCGAACGTGATCTTTGCAACCGAGACTCGTTCTCACATGCGCACGATACTGCTCTTCTAGAACAGGTCTATCCTTCCAGATTGGAGATCATTGAAATTTCAGCTCGCCATCTCCCCAAGCTCGATCTCTATGGAAAGTGCGACCCATACTGCAGGATAACATTCTGTTCGCAGACAAAGATAACTAGCATACAGAAGACTACCTACTGTCCTGACTGGGACGAGGTCCTGACCTTCAAGTTGCCAGCTTTCCAGGAGATTACCCCGATGAAGATAGAGCTGTTCGATCATGATTTTGATAGCGGGCCGGATTATGTAGGGCAAGCGATCTTATCGAAAGAGGACATTCAAGATGTTATTGGAGACTTCAACCCCAACAAGACCTGGACGACCATGAAAGCCTTCAAGCTGTGCAGTGCTGATCATCAGCCCACAATTGGCGCTGACCAGCTCCGGTCGACATTGAAGATCTTGTACATTTCTGCTCGCTCTCAACCCCTCTCTCACCTTGTTCTCTAGCTTCAGGTTAAGCACTGAACCCAGCAAGAGTGGAGCTCCGAGCCCGACTGGAGAAAAGTCACGAGCATCATCGTCAGGTTCAGCTTGGGACTTGCTCAGAAAGACAGGTTCTTCCTGCAAGGTACCTCCTCCTGCCAAGTTTGTCTGCGCACAGTTTGCCACTTGGCTGATGGTGTAGTAGGGGAAATCAATCGCACGTTTCTTAAAGAAATCTGGATCGATCAAGCCTGGTGATGATGATCAATAATCGCCGGGACTCAGGCAGTGCCATGATGCCCAGCGGCTGGTCCCTCGTATAGTAAACAAGTTTCGCGATCACTGAGTCATGATGCCACCGGACCGTACATCGGCGCCACCCGTGACACGGCCCCGGCGGGCTCTGACTCCGTCCGTCCCGGAGTCCGATCAGCCCCTCCGTCCTGCATAGTCAGTATCCGAACGTGACTTGAAACCCGCCGGGCCCGGGCCAACGGTGGTCGGTCAGTCCGAGGCACCGTGGGCCGGATTCCCGGCTCGCCGAGTCACGGCGCCGGCTCGGACAGGCTCGGACTCGGAGGCTTCGGCCCGGGGCCCGGGGCTCAGCCGTCGATTATCGGCCGTCCGGCGGACGGTGCACTGAGCTAGGGAGGAAGGAGCAGGGGAACGGAACAGAGCAGGGGAAGACATGGAGGAAGTAGATGAGTTGAGGGATATTGAGGCAGGAAGGGAAAGGGGCCTGAGAATGAGAACCGTGGCAGAGGGCATGTTTCAGCTGGAAAGGATGGAAGATCGCATCCAGTTTCATACTATTCCTCAACGAGCAGGCAGAAGGTTCCAAGGATAGCGGCAGCTGTAAACTTACGAGATATGGGACATGTTACTTGGAATGGCAGAGGCGAAGGAGGGAGGTATAGGACAGGTGATGGCAAGGAAGGGCGGAAGGGAGCAAGGGAGAGGGGGATGAAGGGAGGAGGGGAGAGGGGGATGAAGGGAGGTGGGGAGGTGGGGGGGATGGAAGTTGAGAGGTAAGATGGTCAGGGAAGGATAGGAGATGATTATTTCCTCTGACAATCTCTGTACTGATTGCTCGCAAGGGCATGGTGGCTTCAGGCAGACTGATGAGGATGATACATCTGAGCATGTTTGTTCTCTTTCAGGCAACCTCTGCTTCTTGCTTCATCAGCAACTTGAGGCAGTTCAAAGGTGCGTTTCTTAACACCTTCCAACGGAATTTGAAGCATCACAAGCAACTGCATATGTTGGACATGCAGGGCAGGAGGGAGTGGGAGGACCCTGCGGTGTTGAGCAGGAACAAAGAAGATCCACACGCTGCATTCTTCGCGTTTGAGTCTCGGAGGTCCGCCATCCTTGGCATCAAGGAAAAGTCCAGCAGGTTTCTCAGCTTGAACGGACAGTGGAAATTCCACTGGAAGCCGCACGTGAACGCGTCGGATGATGAGAGGGGGGAGAGCAATTTTGCAGCGGAAGATTGCAAGGATGACGAATGGGGCGAAATCACCGTGCCGGGCAACTGGGAGCTACAGGGCTACGGGTTTCCGATGTACACTAACATAGAGTACTTGTTCAAACATGATCCTCCTTACATCTCGTACAAGGGTGAAGATCCAGGACCAAGCTACAATCCTGTTGGCTTTTATCGTAAATTGGTAGATGTTCCCAACGATTGGATGAGAGAAAATTGCTCGGTGCGAAGGGGGAGGGGGAGGGAGAGGGAGAGGGGGAGGGAGAGGGAGAGGGGGAGGGGGAGGGAGAGAACGATAGGTTTTCACTCCGATATTGACATTGTCGTTGTAAGGTATATCTTCATCTTGGGGCGGTGACGTCTGCTGTCTGGGTTTACGTGAATGGAAAGGAAGTAGGGTTTTCCAAGGATTCCAAGTTGCCGGCCGAGTTTGACATTTCCAACTTCCTCATCCCTGGCCGCAAGAATCTGATCGCGCTTAAAGTACTGTGCTGGTGTGATGGAGCGTACTTGGAGGACCAGGACATGTGGTGGCTTGCTGGTATCACTCGAGACGTGTTCCTCTTCGTCCGGGACCGCACTCACGTCCACGACTTCACAGTGCGCAGCTCAGGCTCTTGCGAGTTCCCTTACTTCGACGTCGACGTGGATATCAGATGGAGTGACCCACAGGACAAGGATGAAGGCGGCATGCAGCTGACTGTTGAGATCTTAAGGGATGAGAAGGGTGGAATTCCAGCCTTGCTGGGAGATGCCGATCGATATGGCAGCGATCTAACAGGTGTTTCCGTCCTGAGCAAGGAGACTCTCGATGTCCCTGTCAGCAGTGCCACGAGTAGAGTTACCCAACGTGTGCGATTGAGCATCCCAAAGGAGGCAGCGCGGGCATGGAACGCGGAGAATCCGTACATGTACACGCTCCTGCTCTCGTTGGAGAGCAAGGGAGGAGAGCGGTCGGAGTTCATACGGAGCCGAGTTGGCATCCGGAGCGTAGAAGTGCGAGGAGGGAGGCTGCTGGTCAACGGCAAGGTGGTCAAGCTACGAGGCGTCAACAGACACGAGCACGATGCTGAGCGAGGGCATTGTGTGGACGTGACGTCGATGATGAAGGATGTGAAGTTGATGAAGGACTTCAACTTCAACAGCGTCAGGTGCTCGCACTACCCCACCGACGAGACCTTTTACTCCCTTTGCGATGAGCTCGGGCTGTACGTGATCGACGAGGCCAACATCGAGTCGCATGGAATGGGTTTCTTCCCCTCCAAGACTCTCGCAGACCGCAAGGAGTGGGAAGCAGCGCACCTCGATCGCATCAGGAGGATGTACGAGCGCGATAAGAACTTCGCCAGCATCATCATCTGGTCACTGGGGAACGAGGCAGGGAACGGGCGATCCTTCCATCACGGCTACGCCTGGCTGAAGAGGAAGGACACGACGCGGCCAGTGCAGTACGAGAACGCGAGGATGGAACCTCTGTGGGACACTGAGAGGATCGAGACCATCGACTTCAACACGGACGTGTACGCTCCCATGTACCCCAGCCCAGCTAAGATCCAGCTGTACGCCGAAAGGCACAAGTCTGACCCCGACGCGCGGCCGCTCATCATGTGCGAGTACAGTCACGCCATGGGAAACTCGTGCGGGGGCTTGTCGGACTACTGGCAGCTCATCCGTAAGCACGAGATCCTGCAGGGAGGATTCATCTGGGACTGGGTAGATCAGGGACTGCTCCTGCCTCCTTCCTCCCCGAAGGCTCTAGAGGCTCTCAGCAGGAGAGAGGAGGGGCGCGGGGAAGGGAGAGGGAGAGGGGGCGTGAGTGCTGCGGGAGGCAAGAAAAGGCCTGTGTTCGGGTACGGAGGAGACTACGGGCCCAGGGGGACGCCCTCGGACGAGAACTTCTGCATCAACGGCCTAATGCAGCCCGATCGCCTCCCGAACCCGCATGCGTGGGAGGCGAAGTTTGCCATGCAGCCGGTGGAGGCGGAGGTGAAGGAGGAGGAGGAGGGGAGAGCTGTCCTGTTGGTGTCAAACCACTATGACTTCACCTCGCTCTCAACGCTCGACCTCGAGTGGGAGGTGGCGGAGGACGGGGAGGTGATTGATGGAGAAAAGATTCCCCTACCTCGCTGCGAGCCTGGGAGGCAGCTGGAAGTGCGAGTGGAGAGCGCGGCACTGAGGAGGGCAGGAGGAGGAGAAGTCAGTCTGATCTGCAACTTCATGCGAAGGAGCGATGGGCACAAAGTTGGTTTCTCCCAGATGTTCTTCGGTGAGGGAGTGCAGGAGGAGGCGTTGGGTGCTGCTGCTGCTGCTGCTGGAGGAGGAGGAGGAGGGGCCATCAAAGTGGATTCTTCTTCCTCGCCAACCTCCATCATCGTGAACTGCGGGCAGACTCGAGTAGAAATTGACAGGAGGACAGGGCTCCCTGCCGGAATCCAGCTGGGAGGGGAGGAGCTGCTTCACTCTCCGCTCCTCCCAAACTTCTGGCGTCCGCTCACGGACAACGAGATCGGGTCAGGGCAGCAGGAGCACCTCAAGCACTGGAAGTTTGCGGGCCGACCGAGGGAGGAGGGAGAGGAGATGCAGGTGGAAGAGAGCGAGCAAAGCGTGCGTTTCTTGCTTTCGCGCGAGGTGACCGAGGACGGAGTGATGCTGGCGACTAGCTGCACAGTGCACGAGGATGGGAACATTGTGATCGACGGGAAGGTGTGGAGGAGGAAGGTAGATCCCGCTTCCCTTGGTGCTATCAAGGACAAGGACTTCAAGTTCTTCCTGCGGAGCTCCGATCGCAGCAAGTACGTTCGTGTCCTCGATGACGAGCTGCTGGTCGACTCGGATGATGCGGGATTCCTCCAGCAGATGTCGATGAGGAGATGCGAATCTTCGGGAGAGGACGACAAGGACGGTGATCAGCCGCTGCGATCGGGGGCGACAGTCTCCATCACCGCACACCATGGGAGGTACCTGGAGGCGAAGGAGGAGGGAGTGAGGGCGTGTGGGCAGAGGAACGGAGAGTTCGGGCCGCTCCCTCCCTCCCTCCCTCAGATCTTCGCCGTCCGCAAGAAAGGTGGGAAGCCAGGGGACGTGATCTGCTGGGGGGATGAGGTGGAACTGGAGGCCACCCAGCTCAAGAGCTTTCTCAGCTCTGATGGCCCCACAGCCAGGGTCCTGCTGGGGGCGAGGCCCGAGGCCTTCAGGATCGAGAGGGGTGAGCCGTCCTCACCGCTGCGCGTCGGGCTTGCTTGCAAGCTGGACAAGCGGAGGGCAACGAGGATGAGCTGGTACGGTCGAGGGCCGGGGGAGAGCTACCCGGACAGACAGGCGAGCACGAGCATCAGGAGGTGGAGGGCTGAGGTCGGGGATGAGACTTTCTACTATGTGAGGCCGCAGGAGAACGGAAACAAGATGGACACGCGCTGGATGCTGATCTCCGACGAGCAGGAGAGAGGAATGCTGGTCGTTGCTGCCAAGGGGAATGGCGGAAGGCCGACGGCAGAGGGAGGAGGAAGAGGAGGAGGAGGATGGAGTCGAGGAAGGGCATCGCTAGCCATGCAGTGTCACCATCATGACCTCGACGAGTTCGACGTCCTGCTCCCTTCCAAGTCTCCTCGCTTCCGCCATGGCGGCGACCTGGTCCAGCAGGACTTCACCTCTCTCTGCATCGACGCGGCGCATGCTGGGGTCGGCGGCATAGACAGCTGGGGTTCGCTTCCTCTTGTCTGTGACAGGCTGCGACTGTCTCACCCCATCTCCTGGTCGGTCATCCTGCGGCCATGGGCAGGTAAAGAGTCGGGCGAGGCAGGAGAGGTCGCTCGAGCCCTTCAGAAGCGCTTCGGAGGATCGTGAAGAGCTTCCGAGTGGAGAGGGAGGAGGAGGGGGGGAGGAGATACATCCGAAGGAGGGTTTACTCAGGGATGAGGTAGGGAAGGAACGCGTTGTGCTCGAATGGATTCTCGTGGCCTACTCCGTATAGCTCGCGGTCCCTGTACTCCTCGCTCTTCTTTGGATGAAGAATGGAATTCTGCACAAAAATGAAGCTCAGTATTTCGTATGTTCCTGTTCGTCTCCATCCATCCTTCGCAACCTTCTCCTTCTCCTTCTCCTTCTCCCCTCCTCTCCCTCTTCTTTCTCTTCTTTGCCCCTCCCTCCCTCCTCGCCATCTTTTCCTCTCACAGCTCCTCGCCTCCTCCTCATGTACCATCTCCGACTCAAACTCTAGGCGCCTCCTTTGCAGCATCGTCGTAAACCTGATCGCATCCTTGACCCTGCGGTTTTGTGCGAAGAAGGCGAAGTCGAGGGCCGTCTGCAAAAGAGGAAATGAGATTCTAGACCAAGGAGCCTCACGCATTCGACAATCACCAGGTTGAACCCGTTCACACTGTTGTGATCGGCATCGAGCGACAACAGCACCTGTTATCATCAGCAGCACTGTCAATTCTCGCTTCTCCTCCTCCTCAACTCCTAAACCCTCGACCATCTTTTCCTCTCACGTCCTCATCATCATCACACTGCATCTCTCATTCGTCACAAGCAATCTCATCTCGATGAAACAAAAGCTCGGCTACCTCAGCAGCACCACTGTGATTGCGCTCTATCGCAAAGTCAAGTCCAGAGAAGTTGAAGTACGTTTCATCCCTTGCATTGATGTTGGCCCTCTCTGCCAGACTGCACACACAAACGTCAAATCGCTCTCGCCCCTCCTCCTTGCTCGCTTCCTTCTCACCTGTAGATCTCCTCATCCGCTGCTCCTGTCTGGCAGGCATGCCAGAAGCGATGCTGGGGTGACCGCTCGGGGTCGTGCAAGGGGCTCAAGACCTTTCTTGCTTCCATGTATTCTCTGATGCTCTTATGTGTACCCAAGAAAGATCGCAGCTCAGGTGAGTAGGGGATTTCTTTCTTCTCGCACTCGGAGAACACGCGCACATAGTGAGGGTTGAGAGGTTTCCCAAGGTGATAGGCTTTCAGTCGTTTCTTCTCCATGAACTTGGGAAAGAACATCTCATAGAAGATGTAGTTGAACCGATCTTGGTTTGTGTACTTGAGATCCTTCATCAGCCGCTCTTGGCATTCCTCTAGACTCTCTCCCTTCCTCAGCCGCCAGTCCAGCTCCGGCCTGGGCTCATCCTCGTCGTGCTCGATGCCTTGCCTGATATAATCCGGGGCCTCGTACATGAGCTCACAGAAGCGATTCACTTCGTCATCCCCCATGTCTGTTGCTGCCATGCCAAAGGGATCCTGATACAAGTCCGGGATGACCCGGAAGGTTTCACGAGGGCGGCTCAACACCGGAGCAAGCACGCTGCTTGTGTCTACTGTTGTGACAGCCCATGCTGCAATCACTATGGCAGCGAACAGTCGGGGGAAATGCATAAGGTCAAGAACAAGAGTGAAATTTTATGTTGCGCAACCCAAAGTGTAGGAGGGAGAAGAGAACAGGAAGGTCGCGATGAGAAAAGGGTACTTGAGGAGGAGATAGGGCTGAAGGGAGGGAAGCAGGCTCAACGGAGAAGAGCAAGGAGGAGGACAAGGAGGAGGATCAGCCGTGCAGGAGGAGGGAGAGGAGGAGGGAGAGGAGGAGTAGAGTTAGAGGACGGGCAGCGAGCTTTGACCCACTCAGTCCATTGGCGGCTCCAGCCGCATCGTTGCCGAGAACTTTAAAACTTTAGCAAGATTGAACCCCTTGAAACTTTGCAAAATTTGATACAATCCGAAGTTTGTCAACCGAACAGCAAGACAGAGTGTACCCCGCAAACTTTCTTCATCAAAGGAGGGTGGGGTGGTGTATTATTGTCTTTTTCACCCCTTCCTCATACTTCAAGAATATATTAAATAGTGGGTAGGGTTTCCATGTAGGGGGTGGGGGTAGGGAGCAAAGTTAGTCGCTTGCGTGGTTTTGGTGCCGGTTTTTGCTGCCTCCTTCGTTTCCTAGTATTTTATTGAGGCGGGTTTGTAGGCTTTATCCTCCCCCTCCTTTGTTTGCTCCGGTTTGCCCTTCTTTTTCAGTCAATAAACTAGAATTTTACATCGGTTGACCAACTAGCCATGATACGTGATGAACGAAAGTAGAACCGAGACGAGCGTTGAACAAGGTTGCTGATACAAACAGCAACAGTCTGTTGAGATATCTGCACATCTCTCCTGCTCATCTCATCGCCAAGATATCTCAATATAACCTTGGTTCAGAAGGTTGTACGACAGGGGCTGGGCTGTAGACTGGTGCAGATCTAAAGATGTTTGGAATGAACAATGGCATCTATCACACTGACAAGCATTGGAACTCCGTCTATCAGTATGTCTTTGGAGGATTTGTATTGTTCTTTCTGGGCTTCCTCGCGAAAGTTGGCAAAGATCTCGGCAAATTGATATCCGAGAATATCTACGAACGGTTGACGTACACGGCTGAGTTCACCAGTGAAGACGAATCGTTTCGATGGATCTCCGCATGGATCTCGACAAACCCATGCTTTGCGCAAGCACGTGAAATATCCATCTTCTCCTCTTTCCGTTGTCTTGGTCCGCTGAACAGAGGGTTGGATTCGGAACCTGGCAAATACGTTTACCTGCCCCTTGACTGGGTAGCGCTGAGGCACAGAGGATACTGGATCCTGGTGCTACGGAACAAGCGCATCTCAACGCAGAAGAACATCTCCTCCAAGCACGAGATCTTGAGGCTGCAGATCCTTGGAGGGTCCAAGTCCTTTCTGTTGTCAGTGCTCAATGAAGCGAAAAGCGCGTACGAAGCTGCGGAGGTCAGCAGGACCAACATCTACATGGCTGACAGCGACATGGAGTGGAACAAGATCGCGTCGAGGATGGCTCGCTCGCTCAGCTCTGTTCTCATGTGGCCAGCTGACAGAGCCGATGGGATCGTGCAGGACTGCTCAAGGTTCCTCGATTCTGAGATCTGGTACGCTTCCAAAGGAATCCCTTGGCGACGCGGGTACCTGCTGTACGGGCCTCCAGGAACAGGCAAGACGAGTCTTGTGTGCGCTATCGCTGGTGATCTTGCTGCCTCTTGCTCTTCGACTCCTCCTCACGCGTGTTGGCAGGCGAGCTGAAACTTCCCATCTACATAGTCACCCTCTCCAACCCCAAGTTGACTGACGACTCCTTTGCCGACCTGCTCAACCGCTCGGCCACCAGGAGCATCCTCCTCCTGGAGGACGTTGATGCTGCGTTCCAGCAGAGGAGCGGTCAAGAGGTGTCGGGATCTCTTACCTTCTCCGGCCTCCTCAATGGCCTCGATGGCGTCGCGTCGCAGGAGGGCCGCCTGCTGTTCATGACGACGAACCACCGGGAGAAGCTTGACCCTGCGCTTGTTCGTCCAGGGCGTGTGGATGTGGAGCTCGAGTTCTTTTGCTGCATGAAGGAGCAAGTCCGCAAGTATGTTGAGAACTTCTTCAACAACATCACGGGAGACGAAGTTGAGGAGTTCTGTGATGCGGTGCCCCCAAACACGGTTACAGTCGCTGAGCTGCAAGCTTGCCTCTTACTGCACAGAGACAACAAATACGAAGCTCTCTCTGCAGTGAAGAAGGTTGTGCAACAAAAGCTGCAGCTAGGTGAAACTTCATTTTAATATTGTACAGACATTTGTAACTATATGAATCATGACAAAAGTAGAGGAATCGCTCGAACTGCCGTCTTGAACACTTGATAAGCTCTGCGAGCCCATCTTTCTTCTCCCTCCTCCCTCTCCTTCTCCCACATCGCTCTCCTTCTCCCTCCTCCCTCTCCCTCTCCCTCCTCCTTCGCTCCTCTGCTCCTTACCTTCGCTTCCCGACTGAAATCCTAACCCGCCCCCATCTCTTTCGAACTGTGGGACCCAATGGCCCTTGAAGGGGTGGGTGGTGAATTTGGTAGGGGAAAAGGGGTACATTTCATTATAAAGTAGAGTATAATTGAGTGGGTGGGTAGCTATTTGTTAGGGTGGGGTAACACGCATGTGCAGAATTACTGCACTAGGGGGACTGAGGAGAAGAGAGAACAGAAGGCAAGAAGGAAAGAAGGAAAGGTAGAGAGCAGAATGAGCGGGGAGAGAGGGAGAGAGGGAGAGAGAGGGAGAGAGGGAGAGAGAGGGAGAGAGGGAGAGAGAGGGAGAGAGGAAGGGGGCTCAGTGATGAAGAACCGGAACGATGGCACTGAAAGAGTGTCGAAGGAAATTGGATCAAAGTTGACAACAAGATCGTGAGAGAGGAGGAAGAAGAGGGGGAGCAAAATGGATGCTCTGCAAGCCCTGAAGGATAAACGGACAATCATCAAGCAGGAATCTGTCGGCTCAGATGACGACTGGACGCCGGTTAAAGTTGAGAGGGGATCTAGCGAGCAATATGATGATGAAGGTAGTGAAGATGACAACGAGGAGGACGAGGACGAGGTCGAGGTCGAGGAGAAGGACGAGGACGAGGACGAGGACGAGGACGAGGACGAGGGCAAAGCTCTAGATGGGTTCGCTTCCTTTGGCGTATCCTACAAGAGAGCACGCGTCTCTTCAGCGGGGAAGGCTCCTCCTATCCGCTTGCCAGTGGTGAGGGTGGAGGGCAGGCAGAGCAGGTATTCGCGGCTCAAGGGGGAGCTGCTGCATGTGCATCAGGCGATAGGAGGGATGATGTGCGAGGACTGCGGGACGACATGCAGTAAGCGCTGGAAGTTCGTCGTGCTCAACGGGGGGGACACACCCTCTCCTCTCTGTGCAGCCTGTGCTCTGACGCACGAGAGGCTGAACAGGGGGAGGAATCCTAGGGCCATAGCGGCTGCGTACAGGAAGAGGAGAGAGCAACTGGTAGAGTCTCGACATTCTTCCTGGGGAAACCTCGACCTCCTTAAGGCCGACCCTCGACTCATCAGCATCCTCCACCCCCTCAGCCGCGCTCCAGTCCACATGGTGTGCACACCGCTGCCGTTAGAGCTTGCCGTGTGCATGTCCACATGCTGGGAGGGGAGCAAGAAGCAGGAGAGGAGCAGAGAGCTGTCGAGAGGCGGGATAGGCCTGTGTATCATGGACTCTCAGGACCCGGAGACGATAAACCTCCAGCTCCGGAACCTCTGCCTCCTCCTCCGACACGACCTCCTGACCCGTGACTGGGTCGCGGCTAGCGAGAGTCTCCTGGCACTGCTGCTGGAGAAGCGAACGGTCCCCGACGTTGTGTTCAAGGCAGGAGCACAGCTGCTGCGAAGCTCGAAGATGCGAGGAGCGCAGCGGGACAGGCAGCGCTTTCTCCGCTCGCTGGTGGACCAGGCGACGTTCCCTAGAGCCATGCAGATCCACCTGGAGACTGTGCGGTTCCTAATCGAGAGCGGGCAGCTGGCAGATGCGAGGAGAGAGCTGGAAGAGAAGCTGGGAAGTGGGCGACCGTACTCGGAGGACAGCCGCTATCATGCCCTCCTCGGGATCACTTCCATCCTGATCCTATCGCACTGCAAGGAGACGATGGAGGAGGAGAGCAGCGGGCCGTCGTCGAGCGATGAGAGGATGAAGAGTTCGGTGTACGAGCTGCCTTGGTCGCCATCTCAGATTCAGAGGAGGAGGATGAGGAGGAAGGAGGAGGAGGGCGACTCTCTGAACGCCTCGGGGCTCTCCATGTTCATGGGGAGGAGCGACATGAGTTTCAGCAAGGGAGCGTGCGAGCAAGTCAAGTTGATCACGGAGGGAGTTCTCAAAAAGGTGGTTCCCTCCTGCCCGTGGGAGCTTGAAGAGTGTGTGCGCGTCGGGCTGGGGGACGAGGGGAGGAGGATGAGGGAGGACGAGCTGTACAGGGAGGCGAAGAAGGAGTTGCAGCGGAGCCTGGCCATATCTCGATCGGAGGCCATCTCCTCCCTCCTCGTCCTACTCCTCTGTCGTGGAGGAGAGCTGGAGGAGGCAGTGGAAGAGCTCAGCTTGCATCATGCGGCCGATCCGAAGAGCGTCAACGCCACAAGGAGGATGGCGACGCTGCTGATGATCCTTGGGGAGGACGAGGAAGACTTCCTCTCGCAGGCCTTCACGCAGCCCTCGGGTGCTTCCGCAGGCAGGAGGGTGGACCCCTCCTCCTTCCCCTTGCATAGGCGGCTTGAGCTCGTTCTTAGCTGGCTCGCGCTTGACCCATGCTCGCGTCCTGCCCTTGGATTCCTGGAGAAGCTCGTAGACCGGGTAGAGCAGAGACCTTCTTCCCTCCTGCTCCTGCTCCTGCGCCTGCTCCTGCGCCTGCTCCTGCTCCTGCTCCTGCTCCAGCTCCTGCTCCAGCTCCAGCTCCAGCTCCAGCTCCAGCTCCAGCTCCTGCTCCTGCTCCTCATCCTCTCGCTTCTTTGCTCTTGCAGATTCTCCTCTACTTTGTATCAAATTGTTGCGGCTGCTCTGACTCTGTTGCTCTTCTTCCTGCTGCTTTTTTTCTTCAGGGTGAGGCAGATCGTGTCGATCTCATCTCGAGCTTGGCGTCAGCACTTGACTACCAGAGGTTGTCCCTCCCTCCCTCCCCCCAAACCTCCGCCTTCTCCTCTCCCTGGCCGACTGCTCCTCCTCCATCTACTTCTTGTCCTGCTGCTGCTGGTGCTGCTGCTCCTCCTCCTCACTTTCCCTCGACTACTGCTCCTCTTCCTCTTCCTCCTCCTCCTCCGATTCTTTCACTCTTGTCTCTCCTTGTCAACCTCTTCCTCATCGTGTTGTCAGCTGCCCTGAGCTCGCGGATAAGCTTGCGGAGAGCGTCTCGCTGTTTCTGCGGGGAGATGAAGCAGAGGAGGCGAGGAAGGGAAGGGAACTCGAGCTCGAGACGGTGAGATCCTCGTGTGCATGCTGCTGGTGACGAGGATGCAGAGGGTGTGGGGAGAGAGGAGGCGCTGGTGGCCCCGGATGCATGGCGACCAGTTCTGTCGGAGGTTCTGGCAGTAGTGGAGGGGAGGAGGCAGGGATGAACGGGAGGGTTGAGGGATGGGGAGAGGGGGAGTGGAAGGGAGGGGGAGGACGAGGGGGAGGACGAGGGAAACATGGACGAGGAGGAGGAGGAAAAGAACGAGGAGGGAGGAGGAGGAGGAGAACGAGGAGGGAGGAGGAGGAGGAGGAAGTGAAAAAGGAGAAGTTCACTATTGCTACTACCACACGATGTCACGTCTAGATTTTATGTTGAATAATAATCATGCAACAGCCTTCCTCCTTCCTGCCCACGCCGAGCTGCGCTCTTCTTCCCTCCCTCCCTCCCTCCCTCTCTCTCCTTGATTTCCCCCTCCTCCCTGTCCTCGCTATTCATCAATGTCGAACATTCTCGTGGGCTTTCTCCGCTCCCCAGTGTTTCGAAAGCGAACGTCTCTCCCTTCCCCGTCAGCCCCATCTCCTCTAGCCGTCTCACTGCCAATCCTGTCAGTCTCCGCGTCCCCCTTCCTCCTCCTCCTCCCCCTCCTCCCCCGCCTCATCGACCCTCTCCTGCGCCCTCTCCTCTTGCTGATGCCCCCCCACATCTCCTCTCCCTCTCCCTCTCCCTCTCCCCCTCCCCCTCCCCCTCCTCCTCCTCCTCTTACTGGTGGCATCTCGTCTGTCTTTTCCACCTTTCTTTTGTTTCTTGCGGAACTGCCAGTAGAAGACAACGAGCAT